CGAAGAGTGGGTGTGTGGCACGTGTACCTGGTGAGGAGGATGGTGGGTGGGCTGCCGTCCAAACGTCGTCTGCAGGGCGGCGCCTGTGCAGGCGGACTGTACTGATCAATAAAGATGCGCGAACAATCATCTCCATGCTTCCTTCATGGGCTGGCAGTATCGGAGCGCTAGAGTGAAGTCGAGTTTGGGGATTTGAAATTGGCCACCCGGATAAGCTCGGCAACTGGAAAGCATGTGTAGTAATAATCCGGTGCAAGCAATTACCTTACTGATAATGCGACGACAAGAGCATGCAGCCGCTTGGGCCAGGCCGATTCCGGCACACTACTTAATAATTATTATGACACCAGTGTTCTTTATAGCAGCGCATGACCTCGTACGATCCTGATTCAGAGCCCGGGATACTGGTATGTTTCACTCTGATCAATTAGAAGAAAAAAGAAAAGAAAAGAAAAGAAGCTGATCTATTGAAAATGGCATCCTGTGGTGTGCCCGCCCCTGTGTAACCTGAGTGTTGACAGTCTGGCCCAAATTATGGTTATCCCGACCTTTTGAATGGGGGGGGCCGGAGACAAGCCGAGACTCTGACCGCTGCCCGATTGTGGCAGCACAAAGAAGGATGCGCCATCTTATCAATCAGTGAGGGGTGGCCATTGCGTCGCTCGGGCGGTTTGTGAGACTGTCGACTGTGTCCAAGTTATGGATCATCACAAGTGGGTTGGTGATTAATTGGATTTTCGTTGTAAAGGAATGCTGTTTGATGCGCAATAAACCAGCATGCGTCAAAACAATTACCCCAAAGCGGACGCCAGACAGAGTCGGGTCACGCCCCTGGTCATGCTTTGCATATCATGACTGATTGATTACTGGCACAGCGCCCATGCAGACCTCGCACTGTGCACACCTTAGCAACTCCCCCAGCAGTTTATGGAGCACTAGCCCGGCCTGGGCAGAGGCAAAGCGAGCGCATTAGGTACGGGTACATATCCATAGTCTAGGGGTCTAGATTGATAAGAGGAGGGTAAACAAGGATAGCGCGAACTCCGGGCCAAGCCCAATATACTAATACGAACACGGACTGCCCCCCTAAGCAGGAGCAGGCGCGCAAGTCGGAGAGAAGGTGAGAACGTACCAGTATTTTATCACTGATCGATTGATAAGTCAAGAGTGTGAGACTTGATGACACGCTGTGGCGTGAATCGGTTACTCACAACATGCTGACGAAAGTCTTTGGGCCAGAAGCATCACAAAACGAGGAGCACACTTGCACGTTTTAAAAAAAAAAAGGGGGACACTAACACAAATGTTGGACGCCGCAGCGATGTTATCCCATCATTATTATATCATACTTGTAAAAAGACCAGTCAGCTGCCAGCACGGTCTTGCTCCTCTCCACCAGCCGGCGCCGGCTTCTGCAAGCCCAAGACCCGGCGGTGGCCCTTTTGTCAGTTCAGCACATTCTGGCGTTGGGGGCTAATAATAAATGTCTTCATTTGTCTGCTGTTTGTTAGTGGCCCACGAATCGTCAACTTCTCGCACTGTGCTGCTTCACGGAGCCTCCGTAGCCGGGGGCTTGTTACAGTATGCACCAAAGAATGGGCAACATGGTCCTCTCGGCTCCCCGGCAAGGCACATGCGTCAAGCTGCAGCCCAAGCAAAAATTCCTCTACTGGTAATTAGGTTTGCCTCTTCCCCGGCCCTTGCTCGCGCACTCCGCCGCCCACCAAAACGCCCAGGCAGGCCTCCTCCTCCTCCTTCCCAACGACGACCTCGGCGGCGACTCGCACTGTTCCGTTGAATTCCCTTTTCTCCCGGTGGGCGCCCGCCTCCTCCCACACACTCCACGACCTCCCAGACCACCACCTGTCCTTCATTAAATCTTGCTTTCCCGTCGTCCTCTTAATTGTATTCTACTCCTCTCGACCTTTCCTACAATCTACCAACTGATTTTTGCAGCCATCCTACAAATTACTTTGCAAACGGCTTCTGGTGCTCCATTCTGTTGCCTCCAGACGCGTCTAAATTCCACTTTACGCCACCCACCACACACACCATCCCACCATCCCAGCAAGGAAAAAATAGCCTGCTCGACAACCCTGGTGAACGACACCACTGGTCTGCCACACTCACATCACAACACGCTTGCGACTGCACCAACTGCCCATCATGGTCCAGTCGCCGCTTGCCACCGCGGCTACAAAGGCCCTCATTGCCTCTGCGGGCGATTGCGTCCCCTGCGAGCCCAGCAATGCCCCATCCATTGCCCCATCCTTGACCTTTTCTGACGAGTCGGACGATGCCGAGGAACCAGCTCGCCCCGAGAAGCCGCGACATCGCCGCGCTTCCACGCGGCTCATTGCCCAGAGCGCCCGTGACATCCAACGTATCACCGGTGAGACGACGGCTGAGTTTGTCGGTCGATGCTGTGGTGGCGGCTGTTGCTTAATGGGTAGCCAGCGTCCTGTCGGCGTCGATTACGAACCCCTCGTCCTGCCCGACAATGCAGCATTCAATTCTCTCGGTCTCAAGTTTCCCGAGGAGATTCCCACCAAGCTTACAGCTATTCTCGATCCACCAGCCAAGGTTGTCTCGTTCAAGTCGATTCCTCGCCCTCTTAGCAACCCTTCAGACTCGGGCATTTCCATGGGTCCCGATGGTGACACCTCCTCCATTGCCTCTGTCGGCAACACCTCGGAGCCCGTGAAGCTCAAGTCTCTTGACACTTCTATTCAACCCCCCAGATTTGTGCAACCACACCCTCCATATCACGTATACCCTGCCAAGATACATACTACTCGCGAGCTCACCAGGGATGGTGCTGAGAAGCGCACATACCACTTTGATTTGGATGTCACCAACTACCCCGACCAAGAGTCCAACGACTTCAAAGTCGGCGGTGCTATTGGAGTTCTTGCCCCCAATGACGATGCCGTTGTTGACGATGTCCTTGACCGCCTCATGGTCCCCCACTTCGTCCGCGACAAGCAGACTCTGATGACCACCACCTCCGGCCGCTGGCCCACTGTCTGGGGTGACGAGAAGCCTCGTGAACTTGTCACCACCCGCCGCGATGTTCTCAAGTGGTGCACCGACCTCCAGTCATACCCTCCCACCAAAAATGTATTCCGCGTCCTTGCCGAGCACGCCACTGATGAGGTAGAGAAGAAGGTCCTTCTGTTCCTCTGCTCCGCTCAGGGTCAGGGTACATTCTGCGATATCCGTACAGGTCCCCACGTTACCGTATCTCAGCTTCTCTATGCCTTCCCCAGCTCGCAGCCACCTTTGGACGAGCTTCTGTCCGTTCTGCAGCAGCTCATGCCTCGCTTCTATTCCCTCTCCAATGACCCTCACGACTCTTACCAGATCCGTGACCAGAAGCAGCACCGCTTGATTGAAATTGCCGTCACCGTTCATGAGACGAGTGACTGGCGCAAGGGTTCTCGAACTGGTCTCGGTTCTGGCTTTTTTGAGCGCCAGGCCCAGCGCTTTCTCCAGGCTCAAGCTGTCGGCGAGCCCAACCCCGAGGTTTACATTCCCATGTTCAAGGGACTCATGGCCAACCCACTTGCCAAGGAGTTCAACTCGGATGGTCCCATGCTCCTCATTGGCGCTGGCGTTGGCATCGCTCCCTTCCGTGGCTTCGTCCAGCGCCGCCTCAAGCAGGCCAACTGCGCCAACAAGGTCTGGGTCCTGCAGGGCATCCGTGATTCCCTGGTCGACGAAATCTACAGCGGCGAGTGGGGTGTGCACGAAGAAGAGGTCAAGCGTGTTGTGCAGAGCCGGCGTGGCGAAGGACGATATGTCCAAGAAGAGGTTCGCAACCAGGCTGACTTGGTCTGGTACATTGCCAACTCGGTTGATGGGCGTGTTTTTGTCTGCGGCAGCTCCCAGGGCATGGGTGAAGGTGTCGAGGAGGCACTCATCGATGTCGCCATGTCAAAGGGTAACCTGGAGCGCGACGAAGCCCGCAACTTCTGGGACCTGAAGAAGGAGGCAGGACAGTATATTGCCGAAACCTGGTAAAACTGGTTATCTCTCGTTTTATGTGTAAGAGTATTGCGTCCCTTTCTGTTCTCTCGCATGCTTGTTTCGTGTTCTTTTTTTTCTTTTTACATCATAAATACCTATTTCATGAAGCACTTCTTTTTCGGCCTGGGCGGGTTCTAGAAATAGGAGCACTGCGCAAGCATTTGGCTCACACATCAAGGGGGCAAAGAAAAGCAAGCCAGAGATTTTATGGAGGCACCATAGGCATCGGCGTTGGGTACTTTTGGAATGATCCAGTTTTTGGAGGGCATTCATCGGTTTTGGCTGTTTTGCTTTCTTCTGTGAACAGACAGACCACTCCTTGCTGTGGATTAGACTTGGAAGGGGGAATATTGTCAAGGGGACGGGGACAAGGGAATTTTGTCAGATATATAGGGGACCCTCACATATCAGCTGCGCGAGACTGAGTGGTAGAAGATGATTCATTGATCCCGAAAAGCGTGCCTCTACACAAGATGTTATGTCATGTGTAATAATGATAAGGTCCTCAGGTTTTTAATGCATCTATGAGCCTAGCTTCCCTTTCTAGCACTTTTCGATGCTTTTATGCCACAGCGTGGTCTACATGACATGCCAGCACGCTCATCATGTTGCCTCTACTCTTCATTCACGCGGCCTAGCGCCTGTCCCATCTTGACGGTCTGGCCCTTTTCGACCATCCACTCCCAGCCCTTCCTCTCGGCGCCGTCTGCTGCTGCTCCGGCGGACGAGGCTGTGGGCGCCTCAAAGACGAGAACAATGGTGCTGCCGAGCTGGAAGCCACCCATTTCCTCACCGCGGCGAAGAGCATGGCCATGAAGAACGGGGCTTGCGGCCTGGTAGGTGGCCTCTGCGAAGCCGGTATAGGGCTCGCCGCGGCGGGCGGCCTCATCAGCGGCGCGGTCGGCGGCGGTGTCGGTGGTGAGGCTGTTTGTGCGCAGCTCGCGGTCGAAGTTCACACGGATGGAGCCCACGTTGGTGGCGCCGACGGGGACGTAAGCGAAGAAGCCGTGGCGCCAGCGGCCGAGCAGGACGACGCGCTCGTTGAGTGTGAAGAGGCCTGGCAGCGTGCGCTGTAGGTACGGCGACACGCTGTAGAGCTCGCCAGCAAAGTGCCGCCGCCGCTCGACGACCCAGTTCACAGGCGAGTGGAAGCGATGGTAGTCGCCGGGCGCAAGGTAGATGACGGCGTAGTACAGCGACGTGGCTTTGTCGCGCGGCAGGACGTCGTACCACGCGCGCTCGCCGAGGGCCAGGTCGGCGCGGACCTCGGAGACGGCCGAGTATGAAGGCTGCGTCGACTGATCCTCGACAGCGCCAGCACGCTGCTGCTGCTGCTGCTGCTGCTGCTGCTGCTGCGCCGTCGCCGCGCCGTCGTCCTTTTGCCCGGACAAAAGGTCGGGTAGCGTGTACGAGATGCCGTTAACGCGGCCAAACTCCTCGTCCCTGCCGATGACGTCGTTGTCGCTACCAGAGTCGTGCTCGCGCTGTCGGGGCGTGCTGGTGCCGCTGCCGACCGGTGACGCGCTGGAGGTGCTGGGGCTCGGCGTGTGCTTGCCGAGTAGGGCGTCGACCGAGTATGTCATGCCTTTGACCTGCTCAATGTTGCCACCGTCAATTTGTCCAAACTGGAGGACCTTGCCGTCCGATGGCGACAGAAGCACCTGTGGATCGGGGTCGAGAGGTCGCGCACCGGGTTTCAGGGTGCGGTAGAAAAAGGCGGCAAGGTTTGGGTAGACATGGAGATCGGGCTCGGAAACTTCAGAAAGGCTACAGAATGATAAGCATTTGTTCCCGAGTATAGCCGCCATGCGACTTACTTGACTCCGAAGACCCAAGAATATAGTTTGAATCCAGGCACGCGTAGGTAGTATGGTATGGTCAATTCGTTGAACCTGCCCCAGAGGCGAGATATGGCCTTGAGAGGCAGAGTCGACATGACTTGGACTTGCCTAGGGTCTTAATGTTAGCCTTTGGTTTCGTATCTCAGAAAGTCGGCAGAAACACACCATGGTCCATCAGGTTGTATTCTTGGTCGGGGCTTTGGCTTGTCGCCGCCTTCTTGCTTCTCCCGCTCCCGCGCCTGGACCTTGTAGAACTGGACCAAGCCCAAAAATCCCACGCCGAGCCCGACAGGAATATGGTACCACGTGATCTTTGTGTTGCGGAGTGCATCACCCAGTCTTTGGGAGAACCGAGGGCGCTGGCCCGAGGGCCCTGACGAAAAGTCGCGTGCCGTGCTGGGTGTCCGCGGACGCAACGAGGCCGTCGAGGGCCGTCGCGATGCCGCGCTGGCGCATCGCCGCCGCAAAGGGCTCAAGGCGTGGCCCCTTACAAGGCGCGCCGTGCCGAAGCCGAGTGTCGCCGCCATTGCCACCAAACACAGCCACACCTTGGTGTTTGGTTTTTCCGTGGTTAGGGTGAGCATAGAAAGCTCCGCTGTTGTCAGTCGTGTGGGAGAAGTGGGCGAAGGCTTTCTAGTGCAGCGCAGTTACTCCCGCTGCTGGGGCCGGACGTCACCAGTCTGTAAGCTGCCTTTGCACTAATACGCTGGACAAGTCAAACTTGTCAGTGGCTCTCGCGGGAGGAGCATGCGGTTGGTCGCCAGAACCTGTGTTTGAAGGCGACAAAGCACAGTATTTAAGTATGCTTGCAAGGGCATGCATGCCAAAAAGAAGCAATTTTGCACAATACCACCATCTTAGCCCCTTGTAAATAGCTCGACCGAGGTATGCACAGCTCATTACAATTATGCTTACATAAATGTCACCGTGTCGCGTTGTGCAACCGCTAAGCCGGAAGTGGCCACTGTAATCGCCCAGCCCGATTTCAACAAAGCCACGGTGGAATTTGCAAGCTGTCTAGAGTAAGTAATTAACCTAACTTTTGACACATCTCGCCAACGGGATATCGACAAACGTTGATTCTTTCTGGCAACGTTGCACACACTCGTTTGTGACATCTTTATCAGTTGCCTGTCGACCTTGCACGCACATTGCCCATCTGATTTACGCATTCACACGCCATCAGCGAAGACATCCGCCTTCCTCTCCTGCTACTACAGGCACAATCGAACAGTCCCGCAGAGCCGCAACTCTCATCCCCCTTTCTCTTCTCGGTGACTCCTCGAAGGCGGATGCCACGCGGCTTCTCAAGTCATGGCCTCGCAATCTGCCAGAAGTGATGTCGTTCCTGAGCAAACGAACATCAACCTTCAAATCGTCTCGCCATCTGTTGGGGTAAATCGCCCGCTACAGTTTCCGGCTACACCGGCGTCGACAACAATCAAGGCGCTAAAGGGCCTGATCCGCGATGCCCTTCCTCTGCATCCAGCCGACTCTAACCAGCGTCTCATTTATCGCGGCAAGGCTCTTCTACGTGAAGATGCGACCCTGCTCGATATTCTGGGTGCTGAAGCCGTACGCACGACCGACCTGCATACTATGCATCTAGTCCTTCGAGATTCCGAAATACCCCCGGCCCCAAATCCGCTCCCGACCATCTCCAACAACGCCTCGACTGGCAACCAGCTCCCGCGACCAGCAGCGCGTTTCTCCAGTCACCTTGGACACGGCTTGGGTGGGGTCCCGACACCCGCTGGTGCCCCGGAGGCTGCCCAACCCGGCCAGCCACAAGTGCAGCCAAGAATGCCCTCGCCAGCGCCAATCGGTCAGCAGCTTCCGCCGCCGGCCGCGGCTGCTTTCCAGCAGCAGCACCAACAACTCACGAGCTGGCTCAACCAGGTACAGCGGGAAGCCATGAGCCGAGTCGTCAACCAAAACCAGAGAGGAAGAGCGCAGGTAGGCATGCGCGGGATCGCGGATCCTGCGCAAGATTCAAGCAGCCGCCGGGGCAGCCCGGCACCTACACATACCATATACCGCGAAACACATGGTCCAAATGGCCGAACGTACCAGATAGAGTCCGTGATTCGTAATTCGGCAACAACTGGCAGCCAAACCGCAGCGTACAGCGTCGCAGACATTCAAAACATGGTACGCAATGCAGACTCTGGCCGAAGCTCGTCTGCCACAGGGGCGTCTATGCGGCGCACAGCATCTGCAGCCTCTTTGCCGCCGAGATCTGCCCCCAGTCTTCTCAATCTGGCATCGGCGCCCCAGCAAGGGTCACAGACTCGACCAGGCCTCGAACTGTACCTTCTATCTTCCCCCGAAGGTCCCCGTGCCGTCCTCATCAACAACACCACCATGGAACACTTCTATACGCCGAGGAACAGCACTCCAGCACCCCTTATCACTACGTCTCGCTCGCAATTAACCGTCCGAGAATGGCTTTCAACGCCACCCGACGCTCCAGGCTATGAGGATTCCTTTGCCGACTTTGTCGGCGAGCCGCACGAGCCTTACCGGGAACTGCCTAGGCGCCGAGCCTTTGATCGAGCCAATGTGCTCCATGACCAAGCTCAAGCGCAGGCGTCCCCTCTCGCTATACCACGGGAAGGTAGAAGGAATCAACCCGAGGTCCAGCCTGCTCTCCAACCTCTGCATGGGGCCAATCCCATGGCTGGGCTTGGCCAGGTGGCTCTGCGCCTTGCTCCCCATATCTGGAATATTGCGAGGCTTGGCTTCTTTGTCTGGCTGTTTGTTGGACCAAACTCGAGCTGGACTAGATGGTTTGTCGTCATTTCGGCAGCAGTTGTGACCTTTGTGGTGGGCACTGGTGCCTTGAACGGCATGAGCGAACATCTTTGGCGGCCTATGATGCGTCACCTTGAAAATCTCTTCCCAACTCTTGACAGGCCTAATCAACGGCAGCCAGTCCCTGTAGCACAGCCCGGGATGGAACCAAATCCCGCCGGTATGGCTGCGAGACTCGTCGCAGATCACAATGGTAGACAGCCGTGGCTTTCCGAACAACTCCGCCGAATAGAGAGGGCAGGACTATTGTTCCTGGCCAGCATTGCCCCGGGGGTGGCAGAGCGACACATTGCCAACCTAGAAGAGTTGGCTCGACAAGAAGCGGTACGCAGGCGAGAAGCAGAAGCAGCAGCGACCGCTGTTGCTCGAGACGCGGAAAGACAAGCAACCGAGAATGGACGAAACAATCACGGAGCTGTCGTGGCAGAGTCTTCCCGACAGGGAGCATCTGATGCGGCTCTCGAGAACAACGGTGAACAAGTTCCTGCAAGGGATCCGCTTGTGGCCTTGTAAACGTGTTCATAATGAAAGCACTTGTATGATACGTATATGATTATGTTTGATTCCACATCAGCGGGCGCATCACAATAAGCAAAGAAACTATAGCGGAGGAGTCAGGAATAGCATATCATTCTCACTTCCATAGGTGTAGACGGCTTGCTTTTACTAGAGAGGACTAGTTAGATTCATCCGCTGCAAAGCGTACAATCAGTGGCGGTTTCTCGTCCCAAGAATCGATATTTACAGTCAGGCTTATCTCATCAACGGGTTTGGTGGAAGGTGGGCCTTCGCAACACCGAGCTTGTTCCCACCCTACAGTAGGCAACTCTCGCATTCGGCATAACCTCAATCCTGTTTGCGACTGAAAAGCAAGTATTTTAACGCGATTGGCGCGTTCGGTCTTTGTTGTCAGGATTGCATTCATCTGATACATATATACAACCACAGTGGCCATGAGTGAGGGTTGGAACACAAGTCAGTTCAAGGTTGAGTTACGGCTCTGTTTTGCCATTCGTTAACCGTTGCTACTAGTTGAATCCGATGCGGTACAGAAGGATTGCTTTTCACGAGATCAAGAGACGACACTAATACGGGCATAGGGTGTCTTCACCTCGCTGATAGAGAATCTGGGCGTCAAGGACATTCAGTTCGAAGAGCTCCTCACTCTAGACCCTGCGGAGCTGCTTGCGCTGCAGCCGGTGCACGGCGTCATCTTTCTCTTCAAATACCCGACCGACAAACCCTACGCCACGCCGGACGGCCCTCTCGACGGTATTTTTGACCACGCCGCGTCAGAAAAGCTCTTCTTTGCGGCGCAGACGATACAGAACGCGTGCGCCACGCAGGCGGTGCTTAGCGTGCTGCTGAACCAGACCGGGTCCGGCACCGTTGATACCTCCTCGGACGCCGGCCGCAGCAGCAACAACAACGTCGACATTGGCGAAAAGCTGCGCGACTTTCGCGAATTCTCCATAGTACTGCCGCCCGAGTTCCGCGGCGAGGCGCTCAGTAATTCGGACCTGATCCGCGAGGCGCACAACAGCTTCGCGCGCAGCAACCCCTTTGTCGACGAGACGCAACGCGACCCTCACGCCGAGGCCGAGGACGCCTTCCACTTTGTCGCCTACACGCCCGTCGACGGCACGCTGTACGAGCTCGACGGCCTGCAGCCCGCGCCCATTTCCCACGGCACCTGCAGCGGCGACGACTTTCCCGCGCGCGTCGTCGACGTGCTGCGGCACCGCATCGCGCGCTACGAGGCGTCGGAGATTCGCTTCAACCTGCTGGCTATGTGCCGCGACCTGCGTGTGCGCGCGCGTGCGTATGGTGATGCCGAGCTGTTAGAGCGCGAGGAGCGCAAGCGCCGCGAGTGGCGCTTCGAGAACGCGCTCCGTAGGCACAACTTTGTGGGCTTCGCGGGCGAGGTACTCAAGGGGGTGGCGACGGATCGGTTACGCGCGGGTGGCGACGAGGGCATTGAGGCGTGGGTAAATGGGAGTCTGGAGAGGAGAAGGGTGACGGAGAAGGCGTTGCGAGGCAGGGGAGGAGCTGGGGATGTTGACATGGAGTAGATGACGAGGGCATACGCGATCGAAGAACAAGAAACATAATGATCAGAAGAGGTAAAGCTGCTCTAACCGTGACAACATACCCATCTGCTGTCCTATCATCACCGCGCAGAGAAACGTCCTCTAAAGGCCAGACTATATATTCATCGCACGGAATAATCTCTGTTGTGACCTTGTAAATCTTCCTACAGTATTGCGTGCATTTTTAGCTACCTTCTACGCCCTCAAAATCTTTATTAAGTACGCAGTCATTCAAAATTCCCAATTCTTCATCATACATGCTAAACAAGTTAGGCACCTTGCTGCTCTCCAGCACTGCCCTTTCTTATCGCGACATGCACTTTATCTGTTCCACGGCAACTCAACCTCCGTGGCAGGCAAGCGGGTACCAAGAACATTGGTCAACTTTTGGTAGAGTGTCTGTGAGATGATCGGCGTCATTTTTGGTAACCGTTTGGCAGGGTTCTCGTTCTCCTTGGTCGAGCGCTGCTCTTGGAGACTGCCCCTCTCCTCTCAAGACATTCGCGTCATCTGCTCTGGGGTTGGCCGCGACAGAATTGGCTGCTCAACCACTGTCGCAGCCTCGCCCTTGGCCGAGGATCGGCCTTGCGAGTCACCCGAGAAGGAAACCACGCGCTCCTGCTGTGGCGAGCGAAATTCCGGAACGCCAGCTGGCGTGGAAACATCCCGAGCTGCCTTCTTGCTGTGGTGTCGGATGGCGCGCACGAACCACGGCGGCTGGCCGCTGCCTTTCCAGCTCCAGTACTCTTTGAGTTCATACTCACGAGGCTCACAGCGGCCGCCAGAGATATAGACCATGGCACCGATGAGCCCGTTGAGCATGGTATAAACAAATATGCCGCTCCCACATGTTAGCAGTGTCATAGCCCTTTGATGGCCGAGGGGACTTACGCAATGAGCCCATATGCCACGCTGTAGCTGAATGGAATGAATGTCATGACGACAAACGAGGGCAGCACGTCGCCTATGTAACGCCAGTTGATCTGCGTTATCTGCCGAATCATCATACAGCCAACCTATGGACTATGAGCGAGAGATAATATCAAAATAGTGTTGACAACTTACCAGAACCAAGGTGCAACCCGTGGCCCAAGGCGGAATCGAGGCAAATATTGGAGCAAAGAAGACGGCCACGATAAAGCATAAGCCTGTCACAACGGCTGTCAGCCCGGTGCGCCCGCCTTCTGCAATACCAGCACCACTCTCGATAAAGGCCGTGACGGGAGATGAGCCAAGCAGCGCCGAGACGGAGATGAAGGCGGCGTCGGTGCAATACGCAATGGTGGAGCGGGGAAAGTCACCGTCCTTGTCGACGACGCCGCAGAAGCGCACCATCGAGTACAACGTGGCTGTGGCATCGATAATATCCACGTAGAGAAAGGTAAACAGCGCGAGCGCAAAGTTCGAGCCGCTCGTCTGGATGTCCCATTCAAGCTGGTTGGCCACACGGCTCAGCGGATGCCAAGCTACGACTTGCTTGAAAAATTCGAAGCGCGAGTCCCCCTCCTCGGTGTTGGGAAAGTATGTAACAGCAGTGTTGCGACTGACCCTGTTAGATGAAGTTAGGCTTGCAGGTAAAAGTGCGAACTTACGGCCAAGAGATGACAGAAACCAAGGCGATCCCAATAACGAGAGCATACTTGATCCGATATGCCATCAAAAAAGCAGTGAAAATACCACCGCAGAAGACACCAAGCCAAAGCTGCACATGTCAGCTTTTATTGCATATTTCACAGAAATCGTGATTACTTACCTTAGGACTCGACATCTGACCAGATGTGCACATGCCGCTGGCAGGATCGAGCAACTCTTTTGGGCAACCTCCCAAAGTGAGCGGCGAGCCACCACCTCCTCCCGTAATGGCGCCGATGCCAGAAGAGTAGGACAGTCCGACTTCCGTAAGAAGAAAGCCGATTCCAACACCAGTCGCGGTTTTGAGTGTGGCGGGGATAATCTTGACGAGCCACTGTCGCATGCCAGTCAGTGCGAGGAGGATAAAAATGAAGCCTTCGATGAAAATAGCAGTCAAGGCGGTGCGATACGGAATAGAGCCGCTGCCGTTTACACCCACAACCTGAAAAGCAAAGTACGCATTCAAGCCCATGCCAGGACTCGAAGATTATTAGCAGACGTCGCGCAAAATAAAGTGTGTACACCGGAAGTCGAACATACGCAATTGCCACGGGAAGATTCGTGAGTAGACCGAAGACGAGTGTTGCCATGCCGGCGATAGCAGCCGTGGCCGTAATCAGGTCGCGTCGCACCTCTGAAGAAGTCAGAAGAGCCCGCGACGTGTCAAATCCCTACTCACCTTCTTTGCAAGTCACGAACTTGGGAATGCTATCACACTGGTGTTTATCGGTCAATGTGCATTCACACGTGCCACCTGTTTGTGAGAGCATGGAAGCCTTGGCCGCTTGTTAGAACTGTGCGTCGTACATTACTACTGGTCGGCAGACTTACATTGACCGCGATGATGTACGCCATGGTTGCAAAGGTGGTCAGTCCTGCGCGAACCTCTCGGAAAACTGACGAGGTGACAATCTCCTGTGGCTGACTTTGTTAGATGAAAGTTTCTACAGGTTTTCGCAGGAGCCTACTTACATGGCCGCTTCCACCGAGGCGAAAGAAGTGACCGAAGCGCGATGCAGAGAGCCATAGGTCAGCCAAATCGCAGAAGTCACGTAGACCACAGAACCTGGAGCGTCTAACAGCAGGTTCTTGAGATTCCACGACGAACTCGTCGTGGCTTGTTCGGGACATGATTGCGACTAGTTGCTGGAGTGTTGCTTGATGGTAAAGAAGCGACCGCCGCTACTTGTTCTTTGGGATGCACACCACAGCGCTATGCTACGTGAGCGATGCTGTCAAGATTGGTTTGTGCAATATCTTTATCGGAACTGTACGGGAATCTTTGTAATTGAATAGGAGCCAAGATTAGGCAACACGCTTCGGCGGTCAGCCTGGTACAAGCGAACAACCCGACGATGATGGATGAGTGAAGTGAAGAAATCCGAAGCTGCCCAGGAACCAGGACTTTCACAGCCGGAAAAGTCAATGAAAAAGGAAATCACCCGTGAAAAGCGGGGTAAAAGGAAAAAGTCTGCCAGCTGGCAAAGAGAACGTCCGGCCCGTTTGTCTTCTATATACAGAGTGGTGCCATGGGTCGAGGCTGGGCAAGCTGCAACGCCACGGGCATGGAAAGGACAGACTTGTGAGCAGAATGATCGAATACTATACTTGTTGGTGTCCGGAATCTTATTCACTAAAAAAGAAAATTGTAGCGGAAGGCTGCTTTTCTGCTCGTCTTTGCAGTGGGCACCCGAAACTGTCCCCCGTTGCACGCTGGCTAGAAGCAGATTCTGGCCAATATGCCTGCCGGGATGCAAATAGTAGTGTGAGAGCAATCATTCGTGACGCTACATGCATTATTACCAGTTAACTTGGCCTGAGCGTGTATATAGGTACGCACCAGCCCGATCGGCGTCCCCGGATGCAGAGCCAAGTCCAAACGATCTGTTTATGCAAGCAAGTCTGATGCGCAGCCATCGACATTCATTCTGCTTTCGCAGCACTTCCAATCAATTTGCATTCTGACTCTTGTTTCAAAGGAAAATTGGCTGCGAGACTTGTGGCAGGGAGGACAGCCGTCGATGCAGGAGCCAACCAAGCGAGCTGCAGGTCTCTGGTGCGAGGCTCGCTTGTAACACATTGGGGGATGACCCGACGGCTTCCTACATAAACACGAGAGAAGTGTCGGTATGCTTTGGTAGCCCCTTTGCTGACCACCTTATTCCTCTGATTTCGTGACACACCGGCGTGATGTGTACAACATTCGGCCAAGTAGCCCAAATCAATCTCGTCATTCGACGTGCAACAACAGCAGTCTAACATGTGTCCACAGCGACACAGCCGGAGGCGGCCAAAAGTTGAACATATGGAAGTTGTAAGGAATAATGGGAGCAAACACGCGGCGCACCTTACTCACCTAGCAGCGGCGTACTTTCTCAAGACCTGTATAGGTATTCGGCGCCACCGCTCGCTCCAGTGCGACAGCGCTGGGTCGCTGATGCATTACGCGATTGTCGAAGGAGTACCCGGGCAATATTACAATATTGAGTCACACTTGACTATTTGAAAGTCTCAGCGGCACCAGGTGAGCAAGTCTCCATCTTTCTGTTTGCAAACGCGCCGCATCGACCACTTGGTGGCTGGACCAAGTCAGATGAATTTCAGCAGCGCGGGTGTTTCGCGGGAAAGAAAACAAGAGCAGCCATAGAGTCCTTTAAAACCATCGTATGTATGATATCATTCGAATCGGAAAAAGTAAATCTCGGAGAAGAAACAAGCCTATAATGAGATGAAGTCGTTTGCAAGGCGATCATCTGCTCCTGCTCATTGCCTAGCCTTTATTCGCCAGCTGGCTGTACCATACAATGCTTACAGCATTTGATTATCTGTATTCCATAGGTCGCACCTCTTTGCGCCTCCTCCAATACGTCGCACCTCAGATTCATCTCAGCCGAATACACCTCGCTACGCCACACAGCATTACAATTTTGTGAAAGCCTCCGAATGGCTGCATCTGTTGTGCCTGCGATCATCTGCGCCGCACCTCATCAAAAGCGAAATCGGCAAAGTATCTCCCACACAGGATTCTGGTACATCCTGGCAGAAATATCGTCGTTTGTCTTCCGCAGACGAATTGCGAGCATATGAATCCCTGACTCGCCAGGCTCCGAGCTCAACTATTATTATCAACAGTTGCTGCACCAGTCCCTCGAGCCATACTTCTGCCCCAGACATTTGAGTACACCAGAAGAAGTTTCAGCCAGCTCCTCGTTCGATTAGGAGGAAAAGTCCTTTCCGCTTCTGTGACACTTATGCCCCCGCCTAATCGACGGCAACGCCGTGGCGAGATCCAGGCTACTCTCTCTGCAAATCTGCCTCTACCAAGACCTTCGTCTAAACATTCCTTCTGCGAGCTTCCGTGAAGATGTGGGATGTAGTATGGACCGACCCAGACAAGGAGTTAGTTGGAGAACATCGCGCCAAAAAGGATCGACTGAAGCAGGACAAGGAAAAGAGTAGCATCCGCTCGGGACGAGACTCGGCTACTACCTCGTCTTCAAACTCTTCCTCCGAGACGCCTTTCAGTTTTTTTCGATCTAGAAGCGGCAGAAATGCAGTCACATTAAAAGGGAAAGATCCCAACCGCTCGCCATCCTTCTCTGGGCTGGCAACACCAAGCCTTACGTCCACCATTTCGCCATTCTCGCAAACGTTCGACTCCTCAAGTCAAAGAAGCTCAGGTATGGTAACCACGGCACCAACATCGCCCAACAAGGACGGGCTTGAGCTTTCTTCATCTGCCAGCAAACGGGACACGTTTCCCTCGTTTGATGGTAAGACTATTACTCAAATCATGATAAGCAAATGACTGATATGTTATAGAATGTCTCTCACAGTCATTTGGAAGTATCGATTCCATCACTGCGAACCTGACCAGCTCTTTTCTTGATCGGAGCGGCGCTGAGCCTCCTAACATTGCTACCTTGATCGAAATCTTGGGAGACTTGCCACCTAGAGTCGAAATCCGAGATGCACCGCGAGTTGCTCTCAATAACCCTGATTCTACTGGCAAGTCCAAAGAAGCAGAAGGGCGGATGCCATCGATCGAAGCTCCGTTTGTCACACCGCCAAAGCTGCTCTCGAGACTGTATGCAGAATATCCAAACCACTGTGTAGACCACGTACTGACAATTTCAAAGTTCAGGGAGTGCAAACCACTTAGAGACCGCACTCGAATCGTCAGTGATTTTGACGCCGCCCCCACGATCGCCGCGTCGGCCCGCGCCATCTCCATTGGGAATCAACAACCCTGTGGCATGGCGAACTCCATCACAATGGGCAGAACATGGCGCGAAACAGATCAGAAAAGCTGATGAAACCGTCTTACAGAAGTCTGAAAGAGTATCTGTCATCAAGACGGAAGCATCTGCCATTGCCAGCGCCACACAGGGTTTTCGATATGCAGCAGGTGCACCAACTGGGATGATATTGGCGAAAGTCAAGCAACTCTTGACGGAGGAGGCTGGTGAGGGCCGGGAGATTGAGACAGAGAGTCCCAAACAACATTGGATGCTTTCTCTTCTCCATGGTCTTGGTTACATAGCAGATCCAGACCTCAACCAGGACTGTCGCTGGACTCCGCTTCCTCCGATAGCACTGGTCATGTTGCTCTACGAGACGAAAGGTGATTACAGCCCATTTTCATTTCGAAGAAATATTTACTGACAATTCCAGCGTATGCAACGTACCTCAGCGCTGCTCACCCTGGCACGCAGGTATATCACCTCATTAGGGAGAGCCCAAGAGGCAGCTGGCCGCACAATATTCAGCTGGTCAGAGCGCCTCCAGTAGAGGCTACGAACTTTCCTGTACCGGCGTCGCAATTCCAGACGGTGTATTCCTTTTCTTTGCCGTCTGGATGCCCCTACCACATGTTGCCCAATGTCCTGAGCAGTGTCAACAAGTGTTTGAAGCCGGGCGGATCTTTCAAGGTGACAATAATCGATCCGCTGCCGTATCCCGAAACTCTTGGCCACAGGCTCCGGACTTGGGTGGAAGAGCATCTTTTCCCGAATCTCGAGAAGGAAGCACGCTGTTTGGAACCGAGTAGGTTACTCCCGAAACTACTCGGTGACGCTGGTCTTCGAGGAAAGGGAAGCAGGCGAACAAAGGTGAAATTTTTTGCCCTGCAAGAAAATGCACGCCGCTGCGACTACCACGACCCGGATCCCAGCATCGAGAGGATGTATCGGGAACGACGAGATAAAGCGGAGTTGCGCACCTTGGTCGGCCGCATGTTTTGGGTGGAGGTTTGGGGCCAATACTGCACACCGGCAGGTGCTCGGTGGTGGGACGATCCCAAGATTGTTGAGGAATGTCGGGAGCTCGGTACTTTTTGGGAGTACCACATCATTGACTCTGTGAAGGCAGAGCAGAATACCGGTTGAGGGCATTTTGTGGACGGGGTAAATTATTGTACGAAAACGGGGAAGGCTAATCTCATTAACCAGTGGAAGTGTTTGATTATGTTGAATTTCGGTTGAAAGTGGTCAGTCAATTTTGTCGCGAACAGAAAGTTGGCGTAACGAACCATGATGAATTTACAGATAAAAAAACCAGAACTTTGCCCGAAATTACCATCAAGTATCTGGTCGTCGTGTGCATGTTTTTGTGTAACAAATACGGCCGCAACGTATTATGTAATCCCAGTGCAATTTCAAGAGACAAATCCACTTGCATTGTCCAGGAATAAGGTAAAACTGGATTACGACACCGGATAATTGTGGGCAAATGCCATGAATCAAGACCCCTGCCCGCTGATGGCCGCCAGGGGTTGACTAACTACCTTAGTACTTTTACTAGTGCTGCATAAAACGTGGGCTAGTCAAAAGGAGCCGGTCTGGTGGGGGGGGGGGTCTCACGTCTCCTTCCTCTCTGAAGAGCCCGATAGTCGTAGTTGTTGAATACCAAGGCCCCGTGGAGCGACGGTGCTCCATTGTAACCTTGATCATCCTGAGGATGCGAATTTAATAAGTGGCTTACAAGTCTCGGATATTGATGATGCCTCCCATGCAAAGTGGTGGGGTACGATATTTGCCGACATTGCTTGCATTGTCGATCTGCTGCTAAATACATAAAAACTAAGTTATACAGAATCAACTATAGAAAGGGCCGTAGAAGTGAATTATGTACATGAAGTGAGTCGCAACAGTCGATCGAGATTGTTCTGCATATCCACATGGAGACGTGTCGGAGGACGAGGCGTGCCCATCCCAGATTGAAACGGAGAGAGAATGTAAAGAAATCCCCGATCCCCCAGAGATTAGAATAGATAATAGTGACAGTCGTAAAGTAAATGTTTGAGCAGAGAAAGTCGAAAGAGTGACGGCCTCTTAGGTGCGGGGGCCGGCTGCAGAAGACGTTCGACTGACGGACAGCTCCGTGGCGCTCTCGGTGTCAAACGGCTTCGCAGGCGTCTTCACTCTGGAAGAGCCCAGTAATCTCGTGCTAAATCTGTTGTGGTGATCGCCAGAAAGGGAGGTTGATGGATACTCGGAATGCTCCGCGCCAGATGACGACATGCCGCCGACGAGCTCGGTGACATCGGGAGCGCGCCCGTAGCGAAGGTCGTGTGCCAGGTGCTTGCATGCCGCCCATGAGGTGACGGCGTAGATGACGGCGTTCCAGAAGCCCTGCAGTGGCAGCACAAATGCGCTCATAAACTCGAGAGCCACGCTGATCTCGTTCTGGTGGATGACCGAGTACACGCGGTTGGCGCTCGACGGGATCCAGGTGATGAGAATAGCCGTGAAGAAGAGAATGGCGCACTTGGTATAGGACCAGGCCGCGTTGTTGAGCTCGTGGTTGCGGCGGCGGTGCGGGTTTGGCACACGTGGCACACGCGGTACCGGCTGTGGCCGCGTGCTGAAGCTGCTGATCGGCTGGGGCGGCAACGGCGCCGTCGTCTTGAGAGTTTCCCTGTCCTCGCGACCCTGGAGAGGCAGCTCCACGTCTTCGATGGACTGCGCAGACGCTACGGAGTGAGATGTGACATGGATAGAATACGCGCGATTGTTGTCATCGCTGATCATCTTCGGCTCTGCGGTGATTGCGGTGTGGCGACCGAAGGGTGTGGATGCCCCCTCAGTAGTGTTGATGGCTTCACTGGTGATGGTGACTTCGGTGGTCTTCACTGAGAATTGGCCGGCCTCGCCGTTGACAGACAGAGGGTCGGGGTCGGAACTGTGGAAGTCACGCAGCTGCTGGCGCTTCTCGTAAATGGTGCGCCCGGCACGAATATATATGAAAAAGGTGACAATGATGACGACCCTTTTGCAGATTAGCACCGCGAAGCTGACAAAGTGGTTAAGGATGCATGTTGTGCGTACCAGACTGGGCCATAGAAAGATGCAATGCGCCAAATGTCCCATTCTGGAGAGATCCAGCACCAGAGCAAGGCGTTGCCATAGACGCGCGCGCCGTGGTGGTCTTGGACAAATATGAAGACAAAGGCCGGAATCATGGGCACACCATAGCAAAGCACCAAGTAGGGGATCTCCATACGTCTCAGTGCTACGGCATCAAACTTGTAGTAAAAGGTAAGATAGACATTGACCGCCATTGCCAAGGTCCAGTATGCATCAGCCGGCATGAACCTGCGCAGTCTGTGTTAGCGGCTTGTCTCGAATATTCGGCTTGCAGACCCCAAAAGAGGCTCGCTCACATCTGAATCAAGAACGCTTGGAACTGGCAGCCGGCGGAAAGTATATTGTGCAGGTAGGCTCGCGACATGAGGGTGCCGACATTGGTCATCATGTTACCAAATGATGCGTAAAAGACGAGCCGGTTGATGGGCTTGTGAAAGGCGCTCGACGAGCAAAACGTAATAATCGTGAAGAGACATCCGAGAAGCGAAAAGACGGAGCAGGCTCTCTCAATGGCACTGATAGCCTCGAGCTGCCCCTCTGTGAGCGTTGAAGGCATGGCTTCGGCGCCAAAGTGAGTGAGAGAACCAGAACAAACGGGCAAGGGCTGATATTGGTTGGTTCAAGTGTTGGTAAACGTGTAATGTCAGGAACAAGAAATGGGAACGATATAGTTCGGGTATCAATAGAGGGAGGGGCACACTGTTAGAGAACGAGCTAGGAAAAATGCCAGACTTAAAACGTCTGGTCGAGGCTGAGTGTTTGAGAGGGAATCGCAGAAGGCAATCTGGGGTGTTTGGTGGAGTCGGGGGTGGGCTATATGTATTTGGAAGTCATCTCCGTTTTCTGCCCGACAGCAACTGCAATGAAAGCCAGTCTTCCCCTCTTTCGCAAAGGTTGTCATCTATCTTGCTGCCTCGTTCTCCTTCTTTCCCAAATATGTGAGTTTTTACGAAAGAAAGGTGGTCCGTGGACCAAGACACCGAATGTCCCAGGATATGGTGGACCCAAGACTTGCCGATGGGCGGTCTCTTTCTTGTCCACGATGGCAACTCCTCCATGCGCCAAAAGCCCCCCCCCCTCTTCCAGAGAAAGATTGGGCGAGAAGCGTGATGCAGATCCCACTACACATACGAAGTACCAGTAGACAGAGAGACCTGATCGGCCCCGGGGGCAAGCCTGCTCTTCATCCGGCTGCTACATCGCTGGCCGGACATGTGATGCAGAGCGAACTGCCGCTGTGCGCGCCCCCTCCTCCCCCTACCCGACGCCCAAGCTGGGAAGCTGGCAGACTGATGGGCAAGGGACTTCTTGCTCAGTGTAATGTGCGGCCGGGTTGTCTCCTGCGGGTGCGAACTTTAGCAACGGCGCGCGCCGCGATACACCTCGATGACTCGGTCGCACAGGCCACAGTATTTAGCCGGGCAGGCTGCAGGAAAGGAAAAAAGACTCGAAGAAGAGCTGCGAACCAAGCCATCAGGTGTCATGTCGCTCGCATACCTTTCCGTCGGGGAGGAAAAGAGACAACATGATAAATAACCGACACATACTATTGCCCGCTCCCCCCAGTCCTTCCGAGAAGAACTGGAAACAGCAAGGTCTTCCTTGGTGAGACACTTATTTCTGGGGAAGATGTCTGGGCCTGCGCTAACAACCGCCAAATACTTCCCAGGGCCAGGTTGCCAAGAGAAAAAACCAGCAAGTGTTGATCCTATCCCCAATCAAGAATAATCCATGCATGGAAGCATCCGAGGCCGACTTAGCTGTTTTACTGTACAACTGACCTTTCCAGGTTTTGGTTCCGTCGCGGGAACCTTTGGACTCCATTTTATGCCTGACGGTGAGGCAGCTGGCAGCTTGGCAGCCAACAGCGATGCAGGTTGGCAGGTGTGGGTAAGGCGCGGGCAAGTCAGTTTAGATCATCGACGCTTTCATATAGATGAAATTGTCACTGGAGTCGCAATTCTGCATGGGCCAATCAGCGGGTCTTTTTCTCATTGGCTGGTCATGCTTGACTGGCCATCTGATGGGAGGTGGCCCGTTACTTCGGGTACTTGCACTGTCAGACTACAAATGCACCAAGTCTAGCACTCATGCAGAACTAACTCGACGAGCCCCTTTTCTGTGGACAAGGACCGATTTTGCTTCTTCGGCTCATTGCCGCCTACCTTCTTCTGCGGGGCCTGCCTCCCCTTCTTCGGTGGCGCTCCGGGCGGCTGTTGTCTGCAGGACGACTCAAAAGGGCTCGATTACTCTGCAACCGTCCCGTCACACAAAAAATAAGGATAAAATGAGCGAAAAACAAGCAGCAAGACATGCAAGAACGGTGTGCTGTGACTAGTGAGCAGGGGTTCAAGGATACTTAATCCACTCTCAAGCCGTCTGTGCGTTTCATGGGGCCCTGGAGAGGGATCGACGGACGCGGCAAAACGGCTCGCACCTTGTCCCACTTGCTTGCTAGCGTGCTACCCAAGAATTTTTGGTTTCTATTCGTAGGGCCCTCAGCTTTCATGGACGTATCCATGCAGCCCCATGGTATCGTGGCAACAGCCTTTTTTCTCTTTTTCGTCTGGACCTCATTTCTTAGTCTCCATATAATGTCCCCAGACGGCCAAGACAATTGGTCCTAAGCGAGACGCCGGTTTGGCCGGCTACCCACCCACCATGCCCGAGGTTCCATCGTACGCCGATGGACTTCTGGGGAGCTGTGCCTTATCAAACTTACTCCGTAATGCACACACACCAGGAATTCAGACAGGATCGTCCGCATGAAGCCGGGTCTGTCTGTTATTGATCCCCAAATTTGCCGAGTCTCGCGGTAGAAATGCAGCATCATGGAGAAGCATTTCGCTCGGCAATGACGGCGATTAGTAACCCCACCCAATACGGAGCGAAAACTATTTACCGTTCAGATTAAGGGAAGACGGAAAGTCCATCTCCTGTTCGCTAGGTCCTGAGCAAGGCAAGTCTCAGTATCATGCCACTTTTCTTCTTGTCCTCTTCTCTGCTGCATGTATTGATTCACGCGTCACCTGGAAAAGATGCTTGTGATCTGCAAGAGACTTGGCCAGGCCCATCAGCGCATCAGAATTCGATAACACAGCATATTCCAGAAGCACATCCTCCGTTGGCACTATGCTAGCTGACTTCTATAGTCTTTGGACTTAGCCCAAAGATGAACTCAGCCTTACTTTTCCAGGGTCATAAATAGGCTCGACGCCAAGTAACGCCATCCACACCATCGCCAAAATTGCTTCGCATTTTGACTTGCCAGGCCCTCCTGGAGTGTTGCTCTGCCGGACCGATCGCACAAGTGCGATGCTGACCTCCTCAGGGATGACCCTGCGATTTCAAGGAGTTTCTTAGTACGCTGAAGCTGGGTAGTTAGCCTTTTAGCCAAAACTCGGCAATGCTTTTCGAACGGACCGGACCAACTTTCTGTTCCCCAGAGTGGGTCAACTGACAGGAATTTGTGCTTGGCTTCGTCAGAAGTCAAGACTCTTACGCAGAGATTTGGCTGTTCGCGAAGATTGCAAGCTATCAATTTTGAATCTTGCAAATGACGCTCATTGACCGACGACCACAGCACTCAATGCGGTGGGCAGAGGGATCAATTGCGTTCGCGCGCCAAGCACACAAGCTGTTCCACTGGCTGCATAAGTCGCCCTTCGCTACGCACTCTTGTTGAATAATCTATGCTGGGCAGTTGCGAAGGGCTGTGAGTATACTTTCCAAACGCCTTCGAATCGTCCCAGAGCGAAACCGAGACGAAGCTTCAGGAGCCCTAATACAAATACGCATATGCTCGGTAATGATTGAATATTGGCTGTTGACGAGACTGAACAGCCTTTGGTGGTATTATTATTCCGGCCGAAATTGGCGATACCATTGAAGCGCTTGCGCTTGAATCGACTGTACCGATTGGCCAGGTCGTCAATAGTTGACAGCAGGCTTGAAACAGCGGGAGTCAGTCGATACTCCCAGCATTCGCGTAAGTGGATGAATAATGGAAGGGTTACTAACTACTGACGGCCTTGTCTTGTTCGATGAATCGCACGATACTTTTGGCAGTTGCCAGGCATCCAGCAATCCACAACATCCATCAAGCCGCCGGCGACGAAATCGGAGGACACATTTCATCGTGTTGGCTGCTCAAAAAAAGAGACGCGATATCTGTTCCACAATGCATCCCGTGAGAAATATATTCTTTCACTCCTGCCGATATGAATTTGCTCTGACGACTGGCGAACAGATCAGTTGATCAAGTATAATCTCGGTGCATCAAAGACATATTTTGAACATCATCTTGCCCATTCCGGCGAAGACCACATACAGTTAGCCAGCACAAATTATAGAGGACTGTGACGTGTCTTACATACAACTCTTTGACATGGAACATCGGCGGGAATGCCCGTTCTCTGAGCGTTCTTTGCTCTCTGAAGAGTTACGAGCGGAAGCACACGGCACATAGTCAGAATCAAATTCGACGGCGTTGATGTAGGGTTACAATCAAGAGCTCTACTCACCTTGTGCTGTCGAACTCCTCATTTCTTGATGCATTCTGGTGATATGATGGATATCGTCGCGGTGAAGGTCGTCCGATGTCATGTTAGCCCACAGTTGGCATGTCATACCAACACACATAAGTTCCTTGTATCCATTGCTTGCCCAGAAAGAAACAGGTGTGCGCCCTTTATAGACCAATGCCGAGGCATAATGACACGGTGGTGGAGCTAAGAAGATGTTCGTGATGGAGCAATCCTTCAGTGGGCACGGGAGGTCAGAAATAAACAGCGAAATGTGTAGCACCTAGAGGGAACTGTATATCGAGTTTCAATCATGTCTAAGCTACCACAGTGGTATCCATGGAAGTCATCATACCGATAGCAGGCCCGTTGCAGAAAGAAAAGCAGGGTCCATTTTGCATGAGATAAAGCTGTGTTATAAAGGTGTGTTGCGGAACGTCAGCTGCGCCCTTGAAACGAAATGTCTCTTAATTGATATCGTGATGGTCGATGCTCATGGCCACAAATTTCTTGAGAATAATTTAGGTTTTCTGATGTATAATTGAGTGTTGGCCACTGCTTTGCGCAGTGATGTTGGAGTCTAGCTATAGCACTGAGCCGTAAGTGACTTCCCATCTGGCATAGCGCTTACCCGCCCTGAGGGACGTAGTTGACGATATTGTGAATCAACAATCCACCTCATGAAATCACGGAGTGGCTATGCTGCGAAAATGCGTCTTCGGTGTGCAGAACAAGCCTATCTTATCTGGAGCCATGCATAGTCAGGCGCTACCAACCTATTGCCAAATCTTGGTTCGATCATGCGCACCTGCCGCCCTCGATATCTATGCCGAGTCGCCGTGCAGCAGCAGTGTTTGCAGATTTCTTTTCTACCGGCAAGAAATCAATCCTACCAAAAGAAACTCAGCGCCAAACCCAGCGACCTATTAGCAGACAAACCGCTATGTGACATGTGAAACGCAAGCTCCCACCCAGAGCCTCTGTATTTCAGCCTTTTCTTTTCGGTCCTGTGTGCCATCATTGCCCAAATCGACCCAAGCTGGTCGGCCGTCTAGACCATCCTCTCGCATCAGAACGACTGTCATGAAGGAGACAAATCGTGAGGGCCCGACATTAGTTGCTGTGGTCTGAAACTCGAGAGCGTCGAGTAATATACGAAGACCTGAATAAATTATCTCGCCATCATGCGCGGATATAACTATGCAAGCCCAGGTTATTACGGCTCAGCCTCGGCATCGGGCTATTATCACAACAGCTATGCCACCATTGCTGCAGCTCTTCAAGGGCAACCGACTGTTAGCGAGAGGCCGCATCGCAGCAATACATTCTCACGGCTCCCAAACGGCTATTCCGCGGGTTCTAGCGGCAAAGTCATCGACAAGCCTTCTTCATCTACACACCAAGCGAAACGGTCTCGCCACAGAGCGGAGAGCGGCCCTGCGTCGTCCACCGTTTCACCGTTGCAATCCGGTGTCTCCTCACCTAAAGGAAAGACCTCTTCAGAGTCACGTCGTGAATTGAGAGCTGCGGAAGCGGAATCGAAGCAATCACGGGATGACCGTCGACGGTCGACAGTCTCGCGCCACGAAGCGCCGCGTAGTCGAAAAAAGAGCGAACACAAACATTCCACACGCAGAAAATCACACAGTGAGAAAAAAGACATACCGAAGCACAGTTTCGCAAAACTCACATCAGGAGGCACCACTCCATCAATTAGATCAGCTCGACAAAGTACGAAGATCAAGGCGTGCCACAAGAAGCCCAACGGCCGTTACGGACGATTCGGCTGCTTCGGAAGTTGATGGCGTCTTGCACCGCGCTGCAATGCGCTGCTTGTAAAGGGTGCGATGCAGTATTGTCTCTTTTGACTCACAGAATTAACACAATTACTATGACGTGCCAGAGGTTCATGATTCATGCTTACTTGTTACTAGAATTATAGATATATATATCATGCTGCATTTTTTCATTCTAGTTCTGTGTCTTTTTGTCAATGAAAGCGCTTGCTAGTTTGACTAGTCGAACAACTCCATCTCGACAAGAATTTCGTAGCCCATGCCGGGATTCGCTTCTGTTACTGAGGATCAATCAAGGCGGCCCAATACTGTGCAGCGTCGATAAGGAACCGCAACTCTCGACTCCGCACGCGTTGGAGGATCTGCCATGCATCTCTCGGCTGTAGAACAGTCAAAAATAAGTCCCCCCTGCAACGCGACTACGGCACTCACACGGCTGTATATTCTGCGGAGCCTGGCTTGTCACAACACAGTTAGTTATGAGCTGCAACCTAAAGGTATTTTTAGGACAGTGCGCAGCTCCCAGCCACACGATAAGGTACACGGTACGCCAACGTTATGCAGCGTGGCTGTTCGTCGAGTCCACTGTCGTCGAGGCTAGAAGTACCACGCCTTGGGCCAGTGGTGCGCGAACTGCAAGCCCGCTCCATGCTTCTGCAGCCGGATACTGAAGTCGTACCGTGGGGCTGGCATTCTTCGTGATGGTCCTGCTTGGCCCGCCGCCACCAGACTCTCAAACCACACTTTCGACATCTAGCTTTGAAGAACTGGTCTTTTGATGCCATGGGGTTAAAGTTGATGGTGAGGCTAACGCCGACATGGACCAAGCTGTTCATCTCACTAACGGCTCAAGGGACAAAGAACGCCAGCCTGGTCTGGGCTACATTACAACCCACCTTGATCTTCGAAAAAGACGTGTCAACTCGGGTGGTCCATGAGCTAGTAAGAAAGTGAAAGGTGGAGGGCCGAGAGGAGCACTGAGTTGAATACTGGTACAGCAGTCGGTGGATGGGATGAGCCGTCCGCTCGACAATGAATAGGTACCTAGGTAGGTAAGTAATTATTTAGTGAACACATGGTACACACCTACCAGCCTTGCCTTGCCAGCCAGCCGAAATAGTTACCAGGGGGGCGCTAGTGCTGCAGAGGAGTTGTCGTCAACATGGCCTACGCTTTATGCTTGGACCCAAAATTTTTCCCGTCCAGACGATTGCCTGTTCAGGGCTCTTGGCCTTTCCGGTACGAAGGATGGTTAGCCTGAACGTGACTGGCACAGTTCGTACCCCGTTATGTAAACATGAGATGCGGCAAAGAGCTGGATAGCGGCAGCGTCTTTAAATAGCGACCATTGACAAACTGTTGAGCAGTGTTTGGCGCAGATGCCAGAGCGAGCGGGGGGTTGTGGTGGCTCCCCAGCGAACATTTGCTGTACTGCTACAGGCTCCAGCATCCATGAACACACGTTGCCCGATGGTCATTTCCCCCTGCGGTCCTGCAGCAAAACAGCCTTGTGGCGTCGAGACCCCGCTACAGAGCCTGTCATCGCGCGCCTTTTTATGCATCAGTATCACTGAATCACTGTATCACAGTGGTGAAGCACTCTAGTGGTCCGTATTTGTACTACTCCAAACGTGGTGGTCACATCCCCTCGGCCGCCCAATCAATACGCTCCTCAAGAATCTCGGCCTGGAGCAAGACCCACGCTTCTGCCAGTCTTCGCGTACATCGCTCACAGAGCAGAGCAAGTGAGTGAGAGATGGTCCCAAAAGTACCACGTCCCGCTGATACTGCAAGCTTGCTGCGTACCTACCTATGTAGGCTTTCTCAAGCTGCAGGCACTAACAAGCTACGGTGCCCTCTAGGGCCTACGTTCGTACAAGAACTGCCCCCTCCCGGCCGCCACGTCCGCCGACTCCGACCGGTTCTGGGCCTTCGAGGACGGGTACATTTGGCAGGTGTTCTCGTATCTTGTTGATTGCTTTTGATCCCTTTCCTTATTCGAGAAATGCTTGCCTAGTCGCTCTCAAAGCAAGACTTCATGCACACAAAATGACATTATGCATAAGCACAAGTCAAAGTCCAAATCGCACCACTGGGGCGCCTGGTCGGAATGGACCTGGGACAGTACCCAGCAGGCCAATGTGCGCGTTCGCCAGGATACTGAAGGTACGTCACTTAAGCCGAGACCCCCGTCGCCCGAACTCGGATAATGCGACTCGGTCATGGGAGTCGCATCAAGGCCTCAAAGGTGAATTATGCGACCAGAGTATGCTGAAGCGGCTTTGGCAGGCCATCTCGAGTACGAGTGGGAGCAGCAAGACCTAAACCCGGCAGGTCATGCGCGGACCCCTCGCGATGCTGCGGTGGAGGACATAACACAACGTCTAAGCAGTCTAACAACGACGACAAATGAAGCTCACTGTATGAATAGAAATTTCTTATACGCTTACACGGTGCATTTGAAGCTTCCTAATTTTTTGTTTGCTCTTTTGACTTTCCACTTTCATTCTGAACTCGAAGCCTCACCTATTGCTCCCACGTTTTCTGCTACTTGTCCTAGACGCTGACACACTAACTTTATGAAGTCGAAGTAGCTGAGGAATATGACTATGCCGGCGGAGCACCAGAACGACCAAAGACAAAGAAAAACAAGCCAAAAATCAAAGAGAAAGAGAAGGGCAAAGAAAAGTTGCATCGTCGACGCGCTAGCTCAGACGGCAAACCCTCCACCACATTTCCAGAGGGCGCGGCATACACGGAATGTGCCGACCTACAATGTATGTTATACCTCAAAGTCTGTCATACTCGCCATGCCACATTTCCTTACCTGCAAAGACGCTGAGTCTTCCTATGCGAAGGAGCACCAGCGACAGAATCAGACCTTTGCGACTTTGCCTTCCATGACGCCACACACTGTTCACGCACCACAAGCTGCAGTCAATTATTCACAATACGGGTCAGCGCAAGCTGCCTACACCAGTGGTATGAAAACGAGTGGATGAGGCTTTCACGGTACCAATTGGCTAATTCTTGAAGAATGGTCACTATCGCGCGGATATGCCGCATTTGGAGAGGCAGGTGCAGCATCTTCCAGCCAGGCCGCAGCAGAAGCGCAACTGTACACCGAAGAAGATTTTGAGGCCACTAGCTCCAAAATTAGTAGCCAAACACCCAACACATACGATGACTTATTATTAATGAAAGCCGGCGAAGCGCACAGCGGATCTGAAGGGTCACCGACACCACAGCCCGAGACGGCTGCAGATGGAGAATATATACCCGGCACAACGGAGGGCGATGCTGGTGAGCTAGATCCACGTATGTTTGTCTTCTCTCCAGCTTTCGGAAAGAACCTGACGAGTAGAACACAGGGTATCGAATCGAGCACTCGACACGCTTCCAACCCGGCGAGGTACGTTTGGGCGCTCATGTACCTTGACGCTTGCTGGTCCTGACAATCTACAACAGATCTTCAAAGTGCATTGGTCCGAACCACAAGGCTCGATAAACGAAGCGCCGAAATCCTCATCCAAAAAAGAGGATTTGCAAAACAAGTTTGGAACAGCATTCTTTGTTGGATTCAGGCGCTTTATTGTGGTGGCCAACGACCAAGGCCACTGCACATGTGTGTGAGTCAAATTGTGTTGTGTGACGCTGGTGGGGATAGTTTTGACCGTTCGTCTTCCATGTTGGGCAGGCCAATTCTTACGTACGGGGGCAAAGCATGCAAAAAGTCTGGAGTCAAGCCCGAAAAACACGGCATCGTCTACGAGAGGGGCCAGAAATCGAAGAAGCTGAACGGCGAGCCGTCGCTGGGGTTTTCACCTGTGCGGGTTGAAATGACGGAAGAGGGTGAGAAGATCTCGAGGGAATCTAGGGTCAACTACTCGAAGCTTGTCACTGTCGAGCACAATGTCAAGGTCTTTTTCATCGGCCACGTTTACGCAAGCGACTGGCAAATCGTCGGAGATGCCGTCAATCATTGCTGGAACAAGAAGATACATCAAAAACAACGTCACAAGTGAGACGCAACCCAGGAGCAGCAACGGCGGCATCGTAAAACTAAGCTTCGAGGCTTACGCACAAACGAACGAATGTGAGAACTGTCAGTAGTAAATACGGGAGGTTGATCAGTCTCCCGCACACGCTTTACTGTCAATCATCGATCGCGATGCTGCATCAGAGAGTCATACAGGATTGCAGTATACATGGCGGCACAACTACTCTGGGCTGCGGACACGGCTGACACCGCTCCCCGTCAGACGGAGGTGTGGTGCATGAGAACAGTAGGCCTGAGCGAGGAAATACTTCCCTTGAAGTTGAACTAGCATTCATCATTGTACTCTTAGCATCAGCTTATTAACTTTTGATACATCATGACCAAATGAAGTAGAACATCACGTACGGGCGATCTCGATGTCGGTGAGATTGGTGATACTTTTCCGAAGTCAAACGCCATTTAGTGGCCCTTTGAGCTACAGGAGCTTGAGGTGGCAAGCACAGCGAATCGGAGCACGATGACGGCCTACACCTCCGCCAAAGGTTCAGTGAGCTAACGACTGATAACAAGCTAACGGCAATGTAGGAGTGAGCTCAGAGACGAAGTCCAGACGGTCAAACTCCACCGAGGCCGAGGCACGCATTCCCCGCAAATCGCAGTTTTCTCCGTGTCCGATCCCTGGAGTTGGCCTCGGCCGCCGGAGTCCATGGACTTGAATAGCTATATCACTCCATTCGTCGCACTTTGTAATTCTATGTAATAGATGTCTCCCACAAGTCACGGATATTTTACCATTCGACACGAATACTAATACTTTCCAACTTTCCTGGCCCGCACTAGTCAACTAGTGTATCTCCAAAAGCCCAGCAACAGCAATACAGTGAGCCTCGGCTAAAACCCTGTTGGCCTCGCCAAAAGTTTCGGCCATTTGCCGTTGTTTTCTTCATCAACATCTCCTCATAAACGGTTCAATTTATAATGTCTGAGGCGGTTCTGAGGGATTTTCCCTCGCTCTTTTCCCTCAAGGGCAAGGTTGCCGTCGTTACAGGCGGCTCCCGCGGCCTGGGGCTGCATGCTGCTTCTGCGTGCGTCACCCAACAGGCATCGTCCCCACAGAACACGCTCGCAACGGGAAGCTGATAAGCAATATTGCAGATTCCTCCAAGCTGGCGCGGCCAAGGTTTTTATCTCGTCGCGCAAGGCCAAGGCCTGCGAAGAGGCCGTCAAGGCGCTGGAGGCCCAGCCCAACCTCGCCCCCGGCGTCGAGATTATTCCCGTGCCCGCCGACTCGTCCAACATTGCCGGCATCAAGCACCTGCTCGCCGAGGTGAGCAAGCACACGGACCACGTCGATATCCTCTTCGCCAACGCTGGCGCGACCTGGGGTGCCGCCTTTGACAAGCATCCGGACGAGGCCTTTGCCAAGGTCATGGACCTCAACGTGCGTGGCGTCTTCAACGCCATCCGCGAGTTCGCGCCGCTGCTTGAGAAGCGCGCCTCAATCCGCGACCCGTCGCGCGTTATCATCACGTCGTCTGTCGCCGGCCTCGGCATTGGCAGCCTCGGCGACCACGGCACCTACGGCTACTCAGCCTCCAAGGCCGCTGTCCTCCACCTCGGCCGCAACCTGGCCGTCGAGCTCGGCCCTCGCCACATCACCGTCAACTCTCTCTGCCCTGGCTTCTTCCCCAGCAAGATGTCCAACGGCCTGATGGGGATGACGGGCGGCGCCGAGGCCAAGGCCAAGACGAACCCCATGCAGCGCCTCGGCGAGCCGGAGGACATTGCTGGCGCCGTTGTCTACCTCGCCAGTCGCGCAGGTGCCCACGTCAACGGCGAGACGCTTGCTGTGGACGGTGGTTCACTTTGGCAGCGTGGCGAGATGATCTCCGCCCCCAAGTTGTAACAAAGTCATGATGTATATTAAATGAGAAAAAAAAAAGAAGGATGGAACTCGCTCTGTGCTCAAGTCATTCTTCACCGAGATCTATGTGATGTCGCTATGCAGTTTTCGTCCAGATTCTATATCAGCACGATCACTTACCCTCTATCGAATCACGACGGCCAGGACAATGGCTTTCGGGCCAGCCAAGCGTTGGCCTTGTATATTGTCTGCAACATGCTATCTCTGTCTTGAATGTATGGCGCTTCAATACCTGTTTGCAGCCACTCGACGACGAACCCTAGCTTCTCGAGCAAGGCCATGACCTCATCGTTTGCCAGCTCGAAGCTGCCAGGGTCGGCAATGCCGGTTGAGTTCTTATAATCGTGATCACCATCTCCATCGTCATCGTTGCCGTGGTTTCCAGGTGCATTGTTCTCGAAATGCCATAGCAAGGGGCCAACGTTGACCAGCACGCCACCTGGGCGCAGACAGTGCTTGATCACCTCGAGGTAGCGAATAAGATTAGGTGCAGTATCGAGGAAGAAGGAGCAAGCCACTGAATCATACTGCTCTTTATGCTCATCATCGCCGTACAGGCATAGGAAGTCAGCCGCACACATGGTCATGATGCTGCGGTCAGGAGTAGCCGCAAGTGTAGTTGCAGGGTGAATGTCAGGGACTTTGTACCCTCTCAGATGGTTCCCACGCGTCAGATGGTTGGAAAATGTGTGCACCCAAGGATAGATGGTGAATTGCTCTTGGCCTTGGCACTCATTCAGGATAAAAGATGAAGCAATAAGCTGGTGGTATGAGATCTCATTGCCCTCAGCTTCAAAGCCGGCACGGCACAAATCGAACACGAGTCTTCCCAGGCCAGCACCAGGGACTAACACTTTGTAGGGTCCCCCATTTGCTATTTTCAGCTTTTCGTCGGTAAGAGCTTTCATGATGGGCCCGTAGGAAGCCTCTCTCTCTTTTGCGCCGTCTGTCGTCCAGTCACGATAGAATTGGCGAAGGGTGCTTCTGGCCTTGTCAATGTCTACGTGCTTTGCCACTCCTGCCCATTCGTGTGGCATGCTCGAGCCTGTTCCATCCGATGGATCCGTCATACTTTGTGGCATGCTCGAGCCTGTTCCATCCGATGGATCCGTCATACTTTGGAAGGCTTTCAAACCAGACTGGAGAATCGCTCTGGCGAGCTCCGCATTCGAGTCGATGGCCGCATCGACTTTGTCGAGGGTTTCCAGGAAATTAAAGGGAGGTCCTGCCAGCATTTGCCACTGAGACTGTGGCAAGGCATAGAAGGAGCGTCTTCGGAGATGTGTGACATTGAAATGAGCGATTTTGGCGTATTGACTGCTTGCGATCAGCTTTCCATCCATCTTCAACCCCTGACAAGGTACATACGAGAAAGAGTCTAAAGCAGAGAAAATGACCCTCACTTCCTCCGGGTCTTCCATGTTATCCTCCACGCCTCGCCATACTCCTTCATCCAAGGATTGAGCTTGAGCCAATGCATTTTGCTCCGCCCGATCTGTCTCAGCCGTCATGCTCTGAGGGCTTAACGAGGATTCCGAGTAGGCGTCTGAGGTAGCAATTAGGTGCGGGACAACGAGGAAAGATCCGAATACGTGCAGTCTGCGACGATAGTGCCTAGTTTAAAGCTGCTTCGGCGTCTGAACAGAAAATTTCGTTAATATATTGACTCTCGACAAATCTTGTTCTCTTCGATCTTTTCTGTGTGGGTTGACATCGTCCCGATTTGGGCGGGCTGCGATGCCAACCAATCATGTGACCTTTGCGAAGGGTAGCTCCAGACTCGAAATCACCCCCCGTTCGACACCAGAAGCTGAACAAGAAGTCATATCAGTACTAAAAATGGCCTTCAAAGAGACACAGACTGCCGAGGTGTCGATACCGCTGCCAAGATCGCTCGACACGCGCATCTACATCCGCGTCGTGACCCTCGATAAGGCGGTGATGGTATCCCTCACGACGGCGTCGCAAGAGGAAATGGGAGCTACAACGCCAATGGGCTCCATGGTCTATGCACTTCCTGATGTACGTTTTGCGAGTTTTCCTTTTGAGGAAGCGCTCTGACCATCAGCAGAGATTCAACCCACAGCAGCCACTGGCCACAACAATTTTCACGGCGGAGGCCACTCTCGAGTTCACAACACGAACCGCGAGAATCCTGGCTAGAAAGGCAAATCGCCCGTTCTATGTGACAAATTCAATCAGCTTTGTGAATGCCGGCATGGGCGGCACCGTGGAAGAAGAAATGGAGGCACTGAAGAATGTGATTGAAGTTGTCTCTGGCCAGCTAAAGAAAGAGGGGCTGCTCTCCAGCACTGAAATCAATGGAGCTTCATAGCACCATACCAAGAATTCGATATTCCGCAGCATACTTAGTCTCAGGCAAGCCAGACGGAAGCCTACGCATCGCCCGAGCCACGTCATGCCGCAATGGAGCGTTTTGGAACTGAACCTTCCGGCAGTTGGTGACTGGCAAATTCTGTACCTGCATAGGCAAGTCATGGAGGTTGTAGATATTCAATGGGCTGGCAGCTTTCATGAAGGCCGAGGTTCTAATCATCTCGTAGTCATTGTCAAAACCAAGGGCGCCGAAAACAATAACTAGGCGCAACGTTATTATGAAGGAATTTATTGCAGGGGCTTGGCCATGTTCGCTATTTGTCACTTTCTGCCGCGAGCGCCTACAGAAGCTCGCCACGATTGGGCACATTAGCAAACGCGGCCGGGCGGCAGCTCTTGATAGATGGAGGAAACTGTTTCTCGAGGAACGCCTACCCAACGCGAGACGCATTGACCGAGCCATTGTCCGACTATATAGCCTGCAGAACAGAGCTGCTCCTTGGCGACTGCATACGTTGATTGTGCATCTTTGTTAGCCGTGAAAAAAGGTGCAGGAAACGATTTTAATATAGTTGTGTAACTTGTTTGCTCGTGTTTGCGCTGTCAAGTGATTAAATCATCATGTCAAGCTTGAGCCAGGTGTAGACTGGACAGGTGAAAAGCCTGTTTGTGCCAAATATGTTTCTTGAAACGGCGGGTTATCGTTATCGCACCCCGCCAACCCACCGCCTCTACCTAGTTATCATCAGAAATGGCAACCGGCTACTGCCACAAAAAAACACTTGTAGCTGGAGCAAAGGCCAGAAGAAATTTATTACAGGCAACATCTTATTCAGTGCCTGCGTTTTACTGCTGGCAAGAAAAAAGTGAGTTACTTTTCTCGGTGTCACGAGTGCATACCTACCTAGCCTGGCCTGATACACTAAGGTAGCTAATACCTCCTACTTTTCGCCCCCCACTACTGCCCTCCACCTTCTACCGTGCGCCAGCGCCAATTTTTCTTTGGTGGGGGCTTCCAGAGAGGGGCCTGAATCCTCGACTTCATGGGCTTTGACCTTGACGACACTTGATCTGACAGTCTATTTCCCCTCAGCCGGTCGATTGCACCACAGATCCCTCATATACCAGTCTTCGAACCACTTCTCATGATCGGTTCGGTGTCACTGAGATATCTTGGATTGAGAGCGCATGCAAAGAAGGGTAAGCGCTACGACAGAGGTACCCAAGGCACCGCCTTGTCTGCTCTCCTTCATTCTCTACTCCCACCGTCACGGGCTTGTGGCAGCTTTGTTTCTCGACTGCACACCTCATCACCCACCGCGCCGTTATCCTGTCCTCCATTCATCGATTGCCTGACATTGAGCTCTCCTGCTTTTGCTCGGCTTCTGCCACGTAACTTCAAACTTTCCCTGCTAACCACTCTCCATTGCTAGGTTCTTTCCTGCGACGAGATCGATGATTTAGGCCGAAAATCGATATAACACCCGTTATACCTATCGCGTCGCCCCCGGCTACCATGTCTTGGCAGCCTGCCCCGGAGTCCTTGAGGCAGCTTGCCGCTTGTCTCAAGGACTCTCTGAGCGGCTTCGATAAGAATGCGCAGAAACAGGCTGAACTTGTGGGCTATTAGCAGCTTGTCTATACTCCCTTTGCATAAACTAACTCCCGGTGCTATTTATAGATGCTCAAACAAGCAAAAGGTTCTCCTGATATCAACAACTATCTCGCCTACATTCTCTCCAGCCCTGAGCCCCCCGAGGGCGCTGCCTTCTCGCAGTCCGAGTACCATCTTGTCCGTTCTGCCGCTGGTATCATGCTTAAGAACAATCTCAAATCGGATTGGAAGACCATTCCCGAGTCGAGTCTGCAGCTTATCAAGCTAGCTATACCAATTGCGCTGCAAGACAAGAATATCCAAATTCGCAACTTTGCCGGCAATGTCGCGACCGAGATAGTTCAGAAGGGTGGCTTGCTAAGCTGGCCAGACCTTCTTCCCCAACTGATTGAGACTTTTGGTAATGTCTCCGGACAAGTCTCGAACGAGGCTCAAGAAGGTGCCATGTCTGCCATGTCCAAGATTTGCGAAGACAACACCCGCATGCTTACTCGGGAGGTCAATGGTCAGCGACCCCTCAATTATATCCTCCCCCAGCTCATTGCTGCCACCAAGAGCCCACTCCCCAAGGTCCGAATCGGTGCTCTGACAGCTATCAATGTCTTTACGCCTCGCGAGTCGCAAGCCATGAACAACTCCATCGACGATCTTCTGCAGCACCTGTTCACCCTCGCCAATGACGAAAGCCCCGACGTTCGCAGACAAGTCTGTCGCTCTTTTGTGTCGCTGGCAGACCGCCGTCCCGAGAAGCTAATCCCTCACATGGCTGGCTTGGTTGACTACACGATCCGTCAGCAAAGAAGTGACGACGAAGAACTCTCCTGCGAAGCCGCTGAGTTCTGGCTTACAGTCGGCGAGCACGACGACCTTTGGCAACATCTTCGACCCTACATCGAACAAATTATTCCTCTACTTCTCGAGTACATGGTATACAGCGGTGAAGACATTGCCCTCCTCGGCGGTCAGTCTGATGATGAAGATGAGGAAGACAGAGTGGAAGACATCAAGCCCGCCTTCGCCAAGAAAAATTTGACTCGTGCACTTAATGGCGAAGGTACAATGACCCCCGACTCTAGCAAAGATGGGTACAATTCTGTGCCGGGAATGGAGAATGACCTGGAAGACGGAGAAATCGACGACGACGACGACGACGATGGCGATGACAACCCCGACCAGCGTTGGACTGTTCGCAAGTGCTCTGCAGCTGCGCTCGACGTCTTTGCTCGAAATTTCGGGGCCCCCGTCTTCGAATTTATTCTGCCTTATCTGGAACAAAATCTTAGGCACCAGGACTGGCCCCAGCGTGAAGCTGCTGTATTGGCCCTCGGCGCCGTTGCCGAGGGCTGCGAGAGCGCTATTCTACCCCATCTGCCGATGTTGGTGCCGTATCTCATTTCGCTGTTGACGGATCCCGAACCGGTGATACGGACTATTACCTGCTGGACTCTTGGCCGCTATTCTGGCTGGGCAGCGAATTTACCGGATGCGGAACGAGAGCAGTTTTTCCTACCTTTGATGGATGGCATGTTACAGAAGATGCTCGATCGCAACAAGAAGGTGCAAGAAGCCGGCGCTTCGGCGTTTGCGAACGTTGAGGAGCGCGCTGGTAAGGCTTTGATTCCTTTCACAGAACCCATTGTCAAGCAATTCGTCATTTGCTTCCAGAGATACAAGGATCGCAACATGTACATCTTGTATGACTGTGTGCAGACTCTTGCAGAGCAAGTTGGCCCAACACTTGCTACGCCCCACATCGCAAAGCAGCTGTTGGATGCACTCTTGGCACGCTATAACATGATGAACGACGAGTCTCGCGAAATGTTCCCGCTGCTCGAGTGTCTATCCTACGTCGCTCTAGCTATGGACACGGCGTTTGCTCCGTACGCTGGCCCCATTTTCCAGCGTTGTATCAACATTATTCACAACAACCTCGAACAATCACTGGCCTCTGTGACCAATACCTCGATTGACGCTCCGGATAAGGATTTTTTGATTACAGCTTTGGATCTTCTTAGCGCGATCATTCAAGCTCTGAGTCCGGAGCAGGCTTCTCAACTAGTCAGCAACTCACCGCAGCCCGTGTTTGAGCTGCTGAGCTTTTGTATGGAAGACCCCACAGATGAGGTGCGCCAGTCCGCCTATGCTCTACTTGGTGATTGTGCCAGATTCCTCTTTCCACTTTTGGAGCCACATTTGCCCAAGCTTTTACCTTTTCTTGTCAAACAGCTTGACATGGATGAGGTTTTGGATGAAGCAATTGAAACTGGCTTTGGGGTCGTCAACAACGCATGCTGGTCTGCTGGTGAAATCGCCGTGCGTTATGGAGACGGCATGAAGCCTTTTGTGCAAGATCTCATGACCAAATTTGTTGAAATGATGGGAAACCCACGCGTGCCGCGCGGGTTAGTCGAGAACGCGGCGACGGCTCTGGGAAGGCTCGGTCAGAACAATGCCCACATCATGGCCCACGGGCTAGGAAACTATGCTGCTTTGTACCTCGGAGCGATGGAAGACGTCGTAACGATGGATGAGAAAGCTTCAGCAATGAAGGGATTCACTGCCATTGTTCGCGAGAATCCGCTGGCCATGGAGCCAGTACTACTCGAGTACTTTAGCACGATTGCCAATTACAATATGGACTTGCAGAATCCTTTGAAGCAGCAACTTCAAGCTGCCTTTCAAGACGTAAGTTTTGCCTTCTCGAGTGACGAAAAAAGACGCGTTGCTAACATGCGTCCAGATTATCAACATTTACAAAGCAAATATTCCTCAGTTCGATAGGTTCATCGGCCAGCTCAATGCCGCCTCCCAGGAGAAGCTCAGAGCAAGTTACACCCTCTAAATGACTTGATGATTGGGGACGAATGAGCAACTTGAAGCTCGTCGGTGAGAAAGAGTGTGGCAGTTGGGATAAATGCGAGGCAATACATCTGAAAAAGGAATATGGTAAGAGGGAATTCTTGAAGTATAATATGGGCTGATGGGAAGTGAATTATTGGTAGAAGCTTAACTGAAAAGTGTATCGGCATGGGACAGAAGGAGGAAAATTACTAAAGCATGATTGGAAGTTACGACATGGATATAAAGAAGGGCACGATATAGCATGGCTTTGACAAGCCAACGACCTAGTAGATAGTTGATTTTGCGTGTCAGTTTTGCTTTTTTTGCTATTCAAGATCAATACCATGTCGTTCTGGTATGGGTTGCTGACATATAGTCTGCAAAAGAATGATATTCGAGGATTGAACTGGCTTACACCCCTCTTTTCAATTTGCCTTGGTTATCTAAAACTGTTGAAGACGGTATATACCCTATCAATGGTGGCCGCATTACTGTCCTTCAAAACAAACGTTCGAGAACTAGCTACTGAACATGTCCCTTTGCTCGCTCATGTTTGGTCCAGGATTCTCCATCGAGTTCTCACTTCCAGGGGGGGGGGGGCAGGACGTCTCAGCCAGGCACACGGATGTGCCAAGTATGGTATGCTACGATACTTTCGGAGCATATACTATTCTCGGACAGAACCATTATTTGCGAAACCCCCGTGTATTCCGGTGTATACAGGGCTTATTTGGGCAACGTTGACTTGCGTACGCCCCATACAAGCAGCCACCACGACGTGCCCTGGCAAGAGTCGATGCGTCTCCTCATCGTGCTCATTGCGAGGTATCACACGGGTCATCTGCCGTAGAAAGGCAGGAAGGTACATCTGCCCTACTACAGCGGAGGCGGGAGGTTGATCACCTTGATGTACGGCCGAGACAGTAGAACGATGCGTGATTGCTCCTGCTCCAATTCGAGCTTTGACACCCACTCATTTATGCTGTATACCGTCGGTTTGTCAAATATTGTAATGATATCAGGGCGGCGGAAGACTGCAGAGAACCTCAATTGTTCGAGACCACAGCATAATGGCGTTAATACCTGGCAGCCGGGCATAATGAAACAATAGACGCCGTCGCACGGCGTCTTCTTCTATTTTGGTGGAAAATTTCTACGCTGGTGGAATCATACTTTCACCGCTATTTGCGCCTCATTTGCGTGTGCTTTAGAGAAAGGTTCAGCTCTTGGCCGTGACAGGACCTGACTGGTCGCTTGGAAAGATGCCGTGCCACCCCATCGCCGTGTAGGCTGCCAAAATCATGTCTGCACCACCACCACCATCACCGGACGCGGCCTTTTTTTTTATGATGCCTTCTTCTCTGGTTGTCATAGCACGTCGTCTTCTAGAAAACCTGCCTCGTGGAGATTGCCAGTACTCGTGTGCAATGTCGCACGCCGTTGCAGCCACTGTGTGTGCCAAAGTCGTCATACCCCAGATGCTCATGGCATTACTTAGAGATGCCACTTCACTTGGCACCAAAAAAAAGGAACAATCACCAAGATGTTACGTACCACTGAGCCGATTTCTACGTCCCACACCAATGTTCATCATCATTGTTTAGACACCTCTGCTATTTTTATTGATTGGAAAACGACAAAAATCATCCAAAAGGCTGGATTGCTACCTACCCGGGAGATAAACACCGAGCGGCTGTCGGGAACTTTGTCGGCCAAGTTTGACCCGAATAGCCGAGACCTTCACCGGGCCCAGCGTCATAACCCCCCTCTTTCTCCACGTCGAGAGAGATATACCGAAAAGCAGAAAAAGAAAATTCTGGCAGCCTTGTTCGTGGTTGCAAGTTCAGGGTCTAATTGTCGAAATGTGCAAAAATAGAAACCGAGTCCCTGCAAGCCGAGCTAGTCGACCCAAACTTCGGGCCGGCTGGGAACCAATGCAACCCAAAAAAAGAGAAACCAAAAAATCAAAAGCGCCACTCAGCTGGCAAACGCATGAGGCTGGAGACAGATGATCTGTTATGATGTGGCCAATTTTCTTTTTTGATTCTCTCGACTACGGGGCTAAAGGAGCAAAGGCTATTCGGGGAATTCAGCCGCAAGTCGTCCACACAGCACACCGCATGTCAATGGTTGTCTATTTGCCTAGTTTGGGCAAGATGAGCGCGTTGGCAGGAAGTGGGTGATCGGTCTACTGAATTGCCTTTTCTCGTGTATGTACAGCACGTCCCTTATAGGGCCGACGCGGTAGGACCTGGTGGTCCGGCTATAAGCGCAGATGGACTATGACGACAGTGTGCGAGAGGTTACGATGTACCCGAGGCACATTGCTCCAAATAACCGTGTTTTTAGGGCATTTACCCGATAACGCGCCGTGCGCGCCTCTCCAGTTTCTTCGAAGTAGCTCGCTGCTATGAGGACAGTTGACCGATTTCCGCAACGTCGCCGGGCTTATAACTTGCTGTGCGCTGTACGTTGTGACCCGCCAAACTAGCCACCGCCTTGCAGAAGGAATTGGTGGACCGTTGAAATCGCACACACGGCCCTCCCGTCACTTCTCTCCGCTCTCTTGAACGGAAGTGTGAAAGATGCAAATACTCATGCATTGCAGCGTTGAATGCGATGGTGCTTCCCGAAAATAGAAACCGAGGCTGGCTGCGTTGGGGTAATTTTTTTCTGCCACACAAGGCTGGGGAGATGCCCACAAGGGTCTTTTTAGCCTCTGACCACGGAAAAATTGCTGCAGTAATTCTCGGGTACCCTCACTGCATATTCGTCCCTGGTAGAACTCAAGTTGCTGCAAAATCAGTGCCTTGTCCGCTGGCAGAAGCTGGCCTCATTCCTGACTGCTAGCATACGTAGTAGACCTTGTCTGCTAGCAATGAAGCACAAAGTGCGCAGTTTCTTTTTCCTCCTCACGTTGCTTCTCAGAGACCCGTCCAAGGCCGCCACCGAAAGAGCCCATCCTCCGCAACATGCATGGGAGGCGTTGCTAAATATAGCTCAAGTTTCGTGTTTTAGCTTCTGATTGGGTCGCTTGCCCAATAAGCCACGAGGGGCCAGTAGCACCAGCTGCGCCGCCCCATAATTATTAGACAATCATTGCTTGATTATGGCATTCTATTACTGCGAATTATCTTGGCTCTTGAAACAGAATCATACCTTGTAGCATGAGCGGCAGGTTGTGGCTACATCCCATTCACTTAACTCGATCTATGCACAGTCGATAATTGGGACCCGTTGCTATTCTTAGCCATCTCCCATAACTTTACTTTGACGTGGCCGTCTTGTCTGCTGGCATATGCCTCTTCGCTGAATGGTGGAATCTGCACAAAGTTTCCGCCTGAAATCTGCAGTATCGACCTGCCAGGCAATGCACTCTGGTATTTCCCGACGCCGGCTGTAGTTCTCGTTACATGCATGGTCTGATACTATTGTTAGAAAATAGACTTTCGAGTTATTGAGGATGAAGCAACACCATGTGAGTCAAAAAAATGGGCGGTGATATCGTGCCCTGTCTGTGACGTGTCAACGCAGAGAAAGCCTTCAACGCTCATGGGAACTAAGCTTGGAAATTGGTAGAACCAGCGACTACGCCGCACCGCAAGCTCATCCATCTTCTTGTGTTCGAGCGGTACAATGATGCCGTCTTTGAATAGCTCTCCCTGCGATTCAACATGTACTGACCCATTGCCGCCATTGTTTTACCACGCTGTGGCGTTCAATAGCTGGCCGAAGCCGTGCGACCAAGGCCGCAGGAAAAAAAACGTGGGATTGAAGGGCTAAAAGATCGAGTCATTTTGAACTTTCGCGACCTGTTTCGCCGAGCGACAAAATTCTTACGGCCCTCGCCCGAGAAGCCTCCGGGTTCTCTGCCGAGATAGCCATGAATGCTTGGAAACTTACTCGCCACCGCGGGTACTGCTCTTCAGATTCCCATTCTTTCTTTGGGTTGATAAGAAGGGCGGCCGAATTAGCGGCGGAGGCGCGCGCGCCGGCGTAGATTTCACGGTCACTGTAATCACGCCACACCATGTGCGCAGGACCCTCTGGACTACTGGGCCACTGTCCGAACATCTCCACGGTTTCCTATCCACTTGCCATGTGCCAGAAACGGTCTGCGCGGAGATCGCTGTTTTAACAGGTCCTGATGGCAGCGGCGCACATCTTTCTTCTGTGTTCGGGCGGTGCTCGGAGACGAAAGCGACGACAATGGAACCGCACGAGCCATGATCTCGCCGGATATTACCTATTGTGAGGCGTTTGGCGCAGGGCTTAGCCTCACAAGCAGAACTTGGTCGCGTCTCTATTTTACGCCGTCGGATGTCAACTAGTCCAAGCGATCGTAGCAGCTATGGCGAGCGAGCTAGTAGATAAGCCCACAAGTTCGACGTCGAACGTAGAGCCGCCCCCGATCTCTGCCCTAACGACTGGTGAGAGAGAGGGGGGCGTGTCCAAGGGCGACGACCTTTGCTTCACCACGAGGGGTAAAGTCGGAGCGGCCGGTCCGGGCACGTCAACTCTTGCCAGAGCCAACGCCTCACGGCCGTGAACTCTAGATATCAGCGGCATCCAGTAGAGATGCGCAGACACGGCCGCGTTTGCTGCGCCCGTGCTAATGATTGCAAACTGGGGATCTATGTGCCTTGTTTTAGTTGCGACCAAGGGAACGGGGAAGTCGGCATGAAACGTTCCATTTTCGCCTCCAGCACACAGACCGAACAGCCAGCGTGCCATCCCTAACTATGCTGTGCGCCATGAGGGCCGGGCACAGCCCTGCTTAGTTTGCCACCCCAGAGCTATGGACAGAGTTCGGCTGTCGGAGGAGGGAAAAGATACGTCACTCCCTGTTGCTGCACCACGGGTCGAATAGACGACGGAGGTAACAGAGTGAATGGGCCAACCCCTCCCCCATATTTTCTGCCGAATGAGGCTACTATGCACGCACAAGTAAAAGACTAAGCAATCCTGCTCCAACAATTCAAATTAGTTTCCTTCCAGCACAATGGATTCTCTCATCCGACGGGTGCGGTGATCCGTTATTTCCTAGTCAGGCAACTGGCAGCGAAGCTGCGGAGTCTATAGCGCCGGGGTTGATTTGCAGTTCGTTCATATTGCACATGACCAATTAGATTGATCACGATTTGCCATATCAGAGTTCGAAAGAGATAGTCGAGGTGGAATCGGCATACTGGATGATTGACTAGGTGCCTCGCGTCGGCGGACTTTTGCTACGGTGAGAATTAGGGCCAAACCAAGTGCAAGTCGACTAGGCTGGCTGCCGTACCGTATGACGTAGCAGGTTAATGCGGTGAGCAATAAGTAGCATCTAGCCGTGCCGGTGAATTTATTACGGGATCAAGTCTGGGAAGATGGAACTCGGTGTGACAAAGATCGAGAGAGAGTAGGCCAAACAAATGAACGGGCAGTCACGTACCTAGGCGACACAATATCCAGCACTTGCCAGTGGACACGCTAGCAGAGCTAACCTCTGAAGCAGGCAACCAGGCACCCGGTGGACAGAAAATATGGCGCTTGTCTACCTACAACACCGCTAATCATGGGTGGAAAACAGTGTATACGCCATGTTTTTGGTCCACCACCTGCCAAGCTACGGGATTCAAGCCGCCGCCCACCCTCACCCCCTCCGCCAACGCTACTGTAGCTCGGCCGACTGAGGCATAGTTTTGCTGTGAGGCAATTATGGAGTATGATCAGTAGTTAGATTCCCAGCCCTCTGAGGCAGATGCTGTTTGAGAACAAAGGCCGCCGCAGGAGCGACTGGAATCTGATCTTTGCCCATGGGGCTTGTCATGCAAAACGCATGCGGGAGGCTTTCCATGACCATGCCATTTCTTCACAAGAAGCAAAAACCGGCTGGTCAATCTATGAGAAGAATTATATCAAGAAAGTAGACAAACTGGAGGAACCGCAATGGAAATGAAGAGAGTACTGATTCTTGGAGACCATGCTACCTTTTTCCCGCGGATGACCTACGAAGTGGCAGCCCCCCCCTCTTAGTGGAGAGGACCAGGGGCAATAAAGATGTTATTCACAGAATGGCACAGAATGGAGAGAGCACGCGCGTCCACTACTCTTGTCCCAGCACAGATCAGGAAGGTAATCGGGAGGCGCTGGCACGGCCCAATGTAAGAGAGTTTGCTCTTTGTAGCTACAGAAGCCGTGAAACCAATGAGTTGCCGATTCCTGATCCGAGACGCTGACGGTGAGTCCATCTTATCACCTAGTTTAAGCGCATGACCTCGAAGGGATGTTGCTACTCCTGCGCAGGCCATGCTGGGGGCCAACGGGTAGGAACAAGGGTCCACGTAATGGGCAATGGCCGAAACAAGATGCCAATTCGGGACACGAGATTTCCGGTGGGCATTCACGAGATCTGGCGTCGGCAAGGGAAAGGGCAAGAAAGGACTAAAGAATGTGAGCCGCAATCCTTTTGGGCCTGGGGTTTGAGTATAGGAAAAAAGGGTCTCCGTCATGGAACAGGCCTCGAGGGTGGCCCGTCCTGCCCGTCCCCTGCAAACCGGGGGGAGGACCCTGACTAGTCGCTCCTTTGCCTCGTTTACCAAGTACGGCGACATGTTTTTGAAAAAGTTCTTTTATTGGGGCGGGCAAGAGAGAAAGGCTTCCATTTGCTCAGTAAGGGCTCTTAAGTCACAGGGGTTCGAGGGTCAGCGTTGAAAAAGGTGCTTGCCTCTCCGGTGCCGGTGGTGAATATGCGGCAGAGCCTCTCAAGAAACGTGTCAAGGAAGCCCGAAAAAGCGGCCGTCGCAGCCGGAACGAAGTAGAGTACACTTGTTGCCTGCCGCCGATGGGAGGAGCAATCGCTATAATCGCTAGTGATAACTGGTTACGGTTTGACTGGTGCTGGGGCTGTCGATGCCATCCATTCATAGTTAGTCGTCTCGGCCATGACCGCCGAGCAGGTTCCATCATGCGTTGCGGCTACATCTATTGGCAGGGCCTCTTGACCGCTTCCCATTCTCACAAACCGCAATCTGTGCAGAAGCACCAAAAAGTCGCCCGTCTTCCTCTGACTCTCCCCTTGTGTTGACCTCCACTTCGCACCTTGCCATCCATCGTTGGCGCTAAAATGACTTGCGGCTTGCAATTCCTATGACTCCTTTGGTCGTAGCGCAGACGTCTGCACGGCTTGGCAAAGACGAACTAGAGAATGATATCATGAGATCTAATTCAAAGAAAGAAAAAGCAATTGCAGATGCCCCACCAGAGTGCAAAAAAGGGTCGTGGTCTGCTTCTCGGACGAGACAACGTGCTGGGCGGTGCCACATTCTCCAGCCTCCCAGTGGTTTTAGAGCCGTGAGCCACAACTCGGGTAGAAAAAAGCTTAGTGGTGAAAAAAGCAAAGTCTGTTGCTGATCTGCTAGTATGACTCCACTGTAGTTGTCGGTATCTGTGATGCCCATTGGCCCTGTCGGCTCGGCTTACACGCTAACCAATAGCTGCTGGCTGTGCTATGGGATCCGATGGGATCCGACTGAATAGCTGATTGCAATCTTTGTTGGACATGTTTGGGTGGTCTCGAGCCAGCAGAGGCTTTGACAGAGCGAGTTTCTATGGCTGCGGAGGAGATGTCGATCAAAGGCGGAGCCCCTCCAGAGCGTCTTTGCACTGACAGGATCCGCATATTCTGTCGCCAAGTAGACAAAGTCACGGCATCGAGATTCTTCTCAAGGAGCAAAATGTACATGACCTCGGACGAGCTTCACGGAGGGCCACTGCTAGCAAGTGGATTAGTAGAGGGTGCCGACTGACTTATCGGGATAACAAACTCAGGCGCAGGCGCGGTTGATCACTTGACCGACACGGATGGTTACACCCCAGCACGCACGCCTATAATTATCCGTCGGCCAGCGACGATATGCGAGCCAGCGCTGTTGCAAAAAGAAAAGAAGCGGCGTCCTAGCGCTGAATTGCTGCTAAGACTCTGAATCGAATTGATTAGTTATTAGGCTTTCAACACGGCGTCTTTGATGGCACAAATACCAACAATAGATGGGCCGTTCTGTGTTCGTCTGACATCTCGAATGATGTAGAGCCACAAATGGGTGGGCAACTGCGACAAGGGAAGAACAGAACATGAAACAACTACTTTAACAGACTGGGTCCCGAAATACTCATTTCGAGTCGTGTTCAACAGCGCGGCAAACAATTTTCATTGCGCGTCTCTACAGACGACCCAGATAGGCGGGTCGGCGATACAAACCACCGATCCCTTTCGCAAATTATTAGATGAAAAATGACGTTGACAGACAGAGTTCTAGATCGCGCGGCATCTGTTAAGGGCAGGGGCTGGCAGAATGGGCAACGGCACTACTCGATAATACAAGCAAGTCATGCTGCCGTTGTATTTTATAGCAGAGCAGACAAGGTTGCTGACTTGTCAAAAAAGTTAGTCGCTACTCCCACCAGCTACTACCAGTAAGTATTGGCCCCCCCGGTGAGCGATACCGCTCCGCTTCCGTGTGTCCGCCGCTGGCCCGCTGATGGGGGTCTCGGGGGATCACGCTTCTGTAGAGGCGGACAGTTACAAATCCTGGCGATTTTGGCCATTCTAATACATATCAGCCGAGGCGGAGACGCCGCAGGCTACATGACGAAAATGGGTCGAAGAGTAGATAGAGAGGATTCGATGGCAACGTGGACGCAGCGAGCGGCACTTGGAGCGAGGGGGGAACGCCCGCTATCCAACGCACGCAGCGTTGTGGAATTGGAGTGCTGCATCGATGGCTGGTAAGCTGGTACATTGTGGTAGTTACGGTGTGTGAGCCGTGTTAGTTGTGCATGTGTGTGGTTAGCGGTTGCGTGTATGTTCTATTTTTGGACAGCGCAGCTGTTTGTGCCGCAAAAGAGGCTCGTGGAGCTGCGTGAAGAGCGGCATCGGTGGTGTTGCCTGCGCAGCCCACGGGTTCGCAGTACCAGAGACATGGGCAAAAATAAGAATTCAGTGAAAGGGTAGGGTAAAGCAAGAGGAAAAAAAACAATAACCAGGAAATGGAGACATTCGCGCACCCTGGACACATTGCCGTGTGTGCGAGGCACCCGCCCGGCCCCTCCGCCAGCTTCCAGTGGGCACATGGCCATACTCAGACAATATCAGTCTATGCTATTTAATGGCGCCCTGCTGTATACTGGTTGACGCTGGATTTCATGACTTGACGCCAATGACACACGCACAAGCCAATCCCTCGACCAAGGCCGCAAGATGGATGGCTGACTGCTCACAAAGTCGCGAATTAAGGGATTCAGGCTAAACAAAAAAAAAAGCCCCATGACATTTGCCACTAGAAGTATTGGCGACTGTCGTTTGACCTAAGGAGCGAGTAATCGCATTTTTTGGCCTGTGAAGAACACGGCACTAGAGAAAGAGCAAGAGCAAGAAAAAGGCCTTGGCATGACGAAAAGCGCATGTGGGAGTGGCTGCTATTATCGGCTTGCGTGGGTCACGCGGGCAGCGAGCGCAACAAGGGCACTTATTAGGCAAACTAGTTGGTCTTCGGCCCCAACTGGCCGATCCCCGCCAGAGAGAGCGAAGTGCCATTATTGGCCGCTTGCTGGCGGGGGGGAGGGGCGTATGGGCTATTGGATGGCAATGACAACTTGGGCATCTTTCAACTTGCTCTTCGTTCTCTAGTTAAAAGTCATCATCAGGAAACCACGCAACGTTGAAGGAGACCCCACCTTTCGCCCTCCATGCCCCTTTCTCTCCGAAGTGTCATTGCGGCAAAGTTTGTACTTGCCAGCTCGGAACCCTTTTTAGAGCCTCCATTGCTGCCAAGGGATCTCGCGACCAAATGAATCAAGGCCATGTGGAGGCGCAGCAGCATGTTGACCCTCCATTCCTGCCCATACGAGGATTGCTAGCCGTTGGCCCTTTACGAATAGACGCGCTCTAAAAAGTGTAAAATGTGACCAAGTTCGTGACCCCTTTTGGGGGAGGGAGGGATGAGAGGAGAGGGGAGGGGGGAGCGGATTCCTCGCTTCTAATGAAGGATCCTGGTAGCTGTGATGGGATGCTAAAGTTGTGTGACTCAGCAATGGGGAGTAGGACGACGAGGGTGCGCGGAGTGGGAATACTCGACTAGGGCGGTAGCCATGGGTTGGGGTACCTGGTACTTTGTCTGACGTGGCAGGACGGAATATGTAATTGATTGGCGTGTAAGTCGACGGTGATTTGGAGGGCGATGGGTGGTGCCGCGGTTGTACACTGTATCGAGCAAAGGGATATTGAGGGAGCGAGTGCTACAGACTTCCGGCAGTCTAACTCAATTTTGGTCTCGCAAGATTCGAGATTGAACAGTACTCTACGAAGCAGTTGCGGCTACACTCTGGCAAAGCAGAAGAAGAAGGAAGACAAGAAGAAGAGGAAAAGGTACGAGTCGTTGTGAGTGCAACGCTGCCATGAATAAGCCGCAACGGCAATTTCGGTAGTGCGTGCAAGGGGCGTCTCGCGCATGCAGGCAAGGCCTTTGCCGCGGTACGTCAGATGTGGGTGGTGGCGGCAACTTCTGGCCGATTGTGAGTAAAGGCGCAAGATTGTGCTTCGCGGACCTGGAAGGCAAGATGAAAAACATGCTACCATTGGTGTGCTTGGGCAAAAGCGCAACATGGAGACAAAAATGGGGGTGTTAAGAAAAGGTAGCTAACTACCAGGAGTCTTGGCCACCGGTCAGGTAATCAGGGCCGACCGAAGGAGCGGGCAAGGGTGGGCTGGTGCCTTTCTTCTTCGCTTCTTTTTGTTTTCGTTCTATTTTATTTTCTTCATATAATTTTGGAGTAGACCGTTCGGCAGGCAAGAGAAAACGAGTTCCCCGGCCAGCGTTGTGGACGCGAGCCGCCTGCTTGGGTCTAGCAGTTGGAGTTGTTGGGCGGTTTAGGTCAAGTTTGGTTTAGGCGGGGGTGGCTAACTAGTTGATAGATGGGACAATGAGTGACATGGCGCAAAAATGAAAAAAAGTTATTTTTGTCTCGTCTGCTTGACTAGTTATAGTTGGTTAGCCTGCCAAAAGTTGGAGAAGTTAGAGTGCGGTGCGGATGTGTCTGGTGTGTTTGACCCGCAACTGAAATGTGCGTCATTGTGAAGAGGGCTAGCGACAAGCGACCAGACAAGGCAATAAAAAAATCCTCCTCTTGCGTTGGAATCATTGTAACCCTCGTTACTGAGGCATGGTGCTCCGATGAATTGTGTACATTTTATCCTGAAATTATGCTACTTAAATGGCTGTGGAGAGCAGCCGTCTCTTGTGCGACGTGCCCCTCCCGTCGTCGACATGCAAATTCGGCTAGATGGAGCGCAGCGAGACATGGCCCGAGGGTGAAGAAACATGATGCAGATTACCCAACGAGGAAGAGATGATGGAATAGTACGGATATGCATCGTGGGGTATAGATGAATAAGGAAAAAACAAATAGTACCTGAACCATTTATTTAGACGTTTGACCTGTCCACTCTCGTTTCTATTTTGGTAGCCCTGCTTTTCTACTGGCAGGCCTGATAATGTGCCCTGGTCCACGCCGCGCCTGTTTTTCAGGCTTGTCGGTACGGTACGCGGTACGGTGGGAACAAAAGGACCACCCACTTGACCAAGCTGCCCTGTCGGTCAGTCAAAAGAGCGGGTTAGATTTAGTGGCGGATTTTTTTTTAATGCATTCTCATTACTATTATCCTTCACCAGAATTGATGACCCCCCAAAAGAACGTCGGCTCCACCATCTTGACAAGGCGCCCGACACACCCCCCCTCTGGAGACGAAAAGATACGCCCTGCCTTGGGGCTGGCAGGCAGGCTGGCAGGCTGGCTGGCTGGAGCTGCAACACTGTAGCGCGTGGGTGCGCTGTGCAAGGTTTCCGGCTGTCCATTCCATCACCCTTGACACCCCCTCGGCTGTCGTCACAGGGTTCATGCTTCAGACATGCGATGCACAGGGATCCGCTGTGGCCTGCACCAGCAAGGTGCTAAGGTATGCCGTTATACAGAGAGAGGTGCGTGCCTTAGTAGATAGGTAGGTCGAACAGCGCACCAGCAGGCTTGCAGCAAGTAATACCGAATCATATCATGATATGTAACAAATGCACAGGTACAATACCTGTAGCAGCACCGATTCGTCGCCTGCTTACCACTACCTGATGGCCAGCCAGCCAGCCAGCCAGCCAGCCCAACCTGCCAAGGACCCCCCTCTTCGTCCGTTGCTGCCAGCTTGCCAGCTTACCTTGAGCACACCCCTCCCCCCAACCACCCACACACGCCCCCTCTTCCACCTCTCCAAACGCACACTGCCCACTTTGCCCGTCTGCCATAGCACCTAATACCACCCACCTACGTCTCTACACCACCACCACCACCACCACCACCACTCCACTGTTTCTATTTAACAATCCTCGTCCCCCCATCCTCTTCCTCCCACCTCGCCTGATATTCCCATCATATCCATCTTCAAGCTTCATCGCTGGCTCACACCTTCGCTTTCTCCTCCCACTCTCGCTCCTCTTACTCTCGCTCCTAGGAAGTCCTCGTTGACTCCTGTCATTCGCTTATCAGTGTCTTGTTTGATTCTCCGCGCTTGTTGCCCACCGTCAACCGCCCAACCATCCTCCTCTCCGCTGTCTTCGTCTCCAACAACTATTACTTTGTTTCTCGACCGAATTCAGCCTCTCTACCGCTCCAAAAATACGCTTGTTTGTCTACATTTGTCGCAAACGAGCCTTTTCTCGCCCCCAAAGAATAGCAAGAAGGCCAATTTCACCTCGAGGGCAAGGTCGCCAGTCCAAGACCGCCTACACTCCACCAGTGTCCTCTAGATGCACATTTCAATCTACCTTCTGTAACCTCTTCTGTTCAACTCTACTCTGCACCGCCAGATTCCCGGTTCCCAACATTCCACAATTCATTTTGCTGGATACGTCAATTCCACCTCCGCAACAACCGACTTCAAGTCACTTACGATCGCTACCTCTTATTTTCGAAAATTTGGATTCGTTCTGCCTACAGCAGGTATTTCAGAGACTCTTCTTTGATCTTCTCGGCACCTTGGTTCTCTGCTACTCCGCCGACTTGATTTTCTCGCTCTGTGTCTGTTTGCCCTGACGCTCTTGGTCACTGCACGCTTCACACCGTCTAGTTCAGAACTATCCATTATTACTCTTGACTACAGCTTCATTGCCTGTGGTCTATTATTTCCGTCCGTCTGCTTCCTCACTGCGAGCTTCTCATGACTTTACTGACAATTCCAGGTCTCTCGCTTTTCGAACAGTCTCTTCTTCAACACAATGGCCGGTCCCGGTGGTGGTCCTCCTCGCCGCTCCCACACCAAGTCTCGCAAGGGCTGTGAAACCTGCAAACGCCGTCACATTCGCTGCGACGAGAGCTTTCCTCAGTGCCGCAACTGCACCAAGCATAAGATTCGCTGCCCTTACAATGACTTGCAGGTTACTCCCGAGCCTGAGCGATCCGCCACTCCCGATAAGCCTGATCTGATGTGGACTCCTCAGATCGAGGCTGACATTGCCGAGTGGCAGCGAACCGGTGTTTTCCCCTTTCCTTCCCTCGGTCTCTATCCGGCCCCCATTGCTCAGCTCTACTCGGTCGAAAACCTTCGTCTCATTTACCATCTCGCCGCTCTCTACCAGCAGCTTGCTGCCATGGATGCCAATAACTTTACTCTTTGGACTCGCCATATCCCAACTCTTCTCCAGATTGGCGCCAATACTCCCTACGTCATGCATGCCCTCCTCGCCTTTTCCGCCATGCACATTGCCTTTCTCACCGACTGCCGCCGTGTTAGTAACATGGCTTTTGAACACCGCGGTATTGCCTTGAGCGGTCTCCACGCTGCTATTGGCTCGTTTTCTCGCGAAACCTCAGATGCCATCCTCGCTGCCTCTCTCGTCTTATCCTGGCAGGCTAACGACTGGCGTAGCTGGACTCAGCTCATGCAAGGCACTTCTACAGTCATCGACGCCATGGAACCCTGGAAACACGAGTCCCTTTTCACCGACTTCATCGCCGAAAGCTGCACTTTCCCTACTGCTCCCGCCTCGCCCGATCCCGAGCATCGCCCTAGCCAGCCGCGCAAGGCCGATCTCGACGCTTTCCAGCGCACACTGGACCAGGTTCAACAGGTCGAGTCACATCTTCGTCAGCACGGGGAAGAGACGACTCAGATTCAGCATCTTATTGGTTTCCTCAAGGGTGCTCGTAAGATAAGCCCTAGCCTTTCTATTGCTCAGCAGTACGAGCGCCTCCAGCCTCTACGCACCTGGCTCTTTTGGATGCCCGTCGGATACCTGCAGAATTACAGTGGTTCTGCTAACTCTCTCGTCGTCATTGCCCACCTCTATACTGTGGCTCTCCTCATGGAACGCCTCTTTCCCGAGATTGGTGCTGCCTACTTTGGCTCCCTCTCCATCCTGCCTGTTGAGGAAATTGCCCGCCGCCTCATGTCTATGAACGTTGCTGGCGTTCCCAAAAGCGCCCACACTCCTCTAACCTTGATGGAATTCCCCATTGACACCGTCACCGAGTTCCGTTCTCGCATGGGCTGGGCCAATCCCGAGAGGACCCGTTCGTTCCCTCAGTTTAATCCTCCTAACTTTCACGTTGCTCACGACGAAGTTGCCATGGCTGTCGGAACCGAGTCATACATGTACAACAGCCCTGCTTTTAGCTACAGCGCCGATGAGATGCCCATGCTCAACAATGCCGTCGCTGTGCCTACCGAGGGTAGTCCCATGATGATGTCTTCGCCTTTTGTTGCTGGCCAGTACCTCAATGTTCCCTCGCCTTCCTTTGTGGCCTACTCTCCCGCCTCATCCACCTTTGAGGGTTCCGTCGCCTACAGCGACCCCGAGGAATATGCAGCCTTTGACATGCACAATTTACAGCCTGGCCACTCGCCCATGCTCGGCGGTTCGCAATTCAACTACGGAGTCGGGTTCGTCACTCCCAACCAACCGGTGTGGATTTAAGGTACCCCTCGCCCTTCACACCGGCGCCCTCTATACCGGCAAAGACCATTTCGGATTGACGTTTTCTCTCTACCTCAGGAACCCGAGCCCCTCTTTGGCCAGCCACTCTACCTATGCATCGTCTCACCAGGACGCCTCCTCCATGCGCGCGCCGCCCTATGCTGGCGACATGTCCCGTTACAACTCGGACATGTTGACCATGCTTCCTCGACCCGAGTCTCCGATGCCTTCGACCAGCTCACCCGTGCAATTTCGACACCGCCACAACCCCTCGGTCTCGTCCGGGCCTCACCCGCCGTCGCCTCTTACTCAAGCACCCCTGGTGCCCGAGCAGGACCCAAAGGGCAAAGGACGAGCCACCTAGCTGACACCCTTTCACCCGAGACGGAATTCGATTCTCTATTTCTGTTGCATTCACGGCAATTGATCTTCTGCAATTTGCAAGGACACCATGTACACCACACTCCTTCCACACTCGCTTACCACGGACCGATTGGTTATACTATACAACCACGCCACGGCACTCCTTTCGAGTTGATCTCGACCACGCTCCTTGCCCACAGCGCCAACGTATTATACATAATACGCGCCACACTCCTTATGATACCACCAGGATACATTTCATCCGACCTTCCTTAATACGGCAATGATACCCAACATTAGACACTCCTTTTTACGACGCTGTAACGACCATCACCATCAGCATATATACATACATTCCTTACGGACCACCAGATACATGGGTCAGCGAACACAGCATTTTGATTTAAGCAAGGCGAAGGGAGTTTTTGATTTGATTTTGATTCAACCGAATCACCCTGGACAGGGACTGTAATATGAGGTTGCTTTATTCACTGGGATTTGATTTGGTTTGTTCTCGGAAAATTTGCTTTGGGACTTTCCCCTATTGCTTGGAAATACTTGATTTTTATTGGGGCTACAAAGCCATATCAAAATCGGTTTTATTTGATGGATTGCACTATGGTAGGATAATGATTTGATGACCTTGAGTCTCTATTTTATAGTAGCAGCCATGTCTGCCATAATCGAGCCGCGCGTCGCCGTTCACATCACTTTGCTATTCTTGTCTTTTGGCGCTTCTCTATACCCGCCTGGATATAGTGTAGTTTCTGTGACATTCTAACCAGAGCCAGCCAATATGCCCGATTTCGTTTAGCGAACAACGCTCCTCAAGCTGAAAGATGGAAATCCATGCCAGAGACTGACACAAGCCCTGCGATCAGTAATCAAGCTGGCGAAACGCCGGTAGACCGTTAAGAAAGGGCTATCTAAAGACACACAAGAGGAAAGAAAGCTCCGTTTCATTGCCGTACTGGGTAAAGCAAGAAGAAAGCATGTCTACGCCACGAGGCCCGGCAGGGTTGGCTGTATGGATTGGGCCAGCTTTCATTCCTGCGAGCAGTTGTCCTTTTTATTCTGATAAACATGGTCATGAAAAGGTAGTTGTAGAAAGAATACCTTTGGAGAAGTAAGAAAAGGAAGGTTAAAGTACCTAGATAAACACCTATACACTCGGATCAAGCTTTTTTTGATATTGTATTTAGAAATAGATCAAGTAATCTTTTGTACAAGCTCAACTAAGCAAAAGTAGTTCAATAGCTTTATCCGGTACAATTTACCGATCATAATGATATGGTCAATGCTACACTATCGTGAAAATCAACCCTCTTGAAAATGATGGATGTAATTAGCAGCAGCTTTCGATAGCAACACATGATACGAATTATGCTATCTTGAATTCAGTACATGCAATAGCTGGGTAACAAACTATGAAAAGTGATGCTGGCGAACAGATATTGTGCAGGCTGTTGCAGCACCAGGCAAAGCACGGCAGCTGATTGCTAGCTTGCTCAGAAGCATGCAGGATAGTTGCTGATAATCAAGAGCTTGTAGTATGGGAGCAACCAAACGACTTTGCAGGTCGGCAAACGGCGTGTCGTCAGTGCGCGTTGCATGGAGAAGTCAATGAAATTCTCTCATTGCTGCCACCGACACTATTGCTCACGTCAGACCTCCCTGTCTTGCCAAAGTAGTCATCCCCGCAGCTGATGATTCTACATGGGTCACAGGTTCATGCTTAAGGGTTATTAATATGTAGTATGCAAGAATGTGTGGGTGGATGCCGTAGGTGGATGCCGAGAAATTCCAACAATGCCCTTGCGTACCCGGAGAACGCCATACATCTGTCATGATAAATTGTAATTGGTAAAAAGTGTACTCCGTAGATTGTCATTGTTATAGCCTAATTTCGGGAGTTTGATATAGGGGTGTTGATTGACTCAAGTGTCCTTCCGAATGTTCGTCACTGTGGTGGTAAATATGGGTAACTGCGCCTCATCGATGTTACGTATGCGCACTTGCTGGTGCCCACCAGCTTATTGACTTGCTACTTGGAGGGAGGGCGTATGCATTCTCATTTGTCGGCGAATTTTTGGGTTGACGCAATAGTATTCCTTTCAACATGTTTCAGATTGACGAGACTATTGAAATTTGTTCAATTGAATTAATCCAAAAGAAGATGCAAAATGAAAAGACTCCGCGGCGCGCGGCGCAGGCCACTTTGTTGCGGTGAATAATTGCCCTCAAGCAAGATATTATATGCTATTTTTAAACCGTTTCTCTTATCTAACACAACCATTACTCACTGCCGAATGAGTCCTAAGTTTCAGTTGAACAGACATGGGGATTCATCCTGGGGTTATCTGGTCCCTTGGCACGCGGGCAGTCGGAAGCAGAATGCAGAACCGACGACCTCGTCGACAGCACGTAAAAATAGCTTGGCATACACGGTACAGGAGATACTAGTAGCAGTATTTGTCGTGCTTGTACTGACCCGCCGGATCTGTATCGGAAACCTTCGGGGTTGTGTGGACGTGGACTTCGTATTCGAATTCTCGCTTGTAAAGTTTAAACATGCAGGCGGAGTTTCCGAGTATGCGCACTCGCGCTGCATTGGTGAGACTTCTCCCTTGTTTAGTGCTCTGCTATGTTGCTTTGCCGGGTTTTTGCTAGGTTGCTATGCTACGCCTAAGTCAAGAGTTTGCTAGTGGTTGCGTATTGTGCAGAACTGTTTCGAGGTAGATACGATCTCGTATTGTGTTCAGATGTAGTTTCTGCAGAGTTTGATATGGAGTGAAGATGGTTGCTACAATCTATGCTTTTCACTTTGGTTTAGGCCTAGCCTTATCAAACACAATGAGGCATCACGACACACGTAGAGCATTCACGAATGGTAATAGAATAAACATCTTTAAACGACACCCAAATATCCTACAGGAGGACATGGAGAATCTGTTCGAGTCCACTAACTGTCCGGGAGCTAAGTCCTTGGTGCCCAATTCTGCCTCGTCATCGCCAGACCACGCCACCAGGACTACAATGCCGCCAAATAGTCCAGCGTCTTGATATACAATCAAATCGACAGACGACTACTAACTGCCACTTCAATATATGATATCCAATTTCGAGTGCGAGACGTAGCCAGTCCGCCATTTGCTCCCTGAACCGATAAAAAATATGAGCAAACGCCTAGCTCAAACAGACGACAATAACAGCAAACGCAAACCTACGTAACGGGCTTGCTGGTAGACGGTACGATGATCAGAAGAACGGCCCTCTGGACAATCGCGTGCATAAACAGCAAAGCCAGCACGGTCAGATAGGCAATTCATCAACACAATCACTCTCATGCTGTGATCTGGCAGCGTAACAACAACGCTTCGCACCCTTTTCACGTTCGGCAGTCACGGAATTCTTCATGTCAAACTAGTGGATGGTTTGCGCTTCTACGCATCTCCATAAAGCAGACACGAGATAACATCGGCCTCACGCAGGCCATGGGCTCCTTGATGAACAAGTCGGACCCGGCCTGCCGCCACGACTTCAGAACGCCTGCGCAGTGCGGTTCTATTTACGCTGTTTATCAGCACCGGGACCGGGGTGGTGGTGCTGACACCGCATCCGCCGCAGCGGCTGAACCCATACGACACGTCGTACAGCAGATTGAAAAGTCGTGTCTGAAGGCGTGCCGTGATGAAGAAAGATTCGAGATCATGTTTGTGCATCCGAGGATCCAGGCGGCCAGAGATGATATATACGAGTACTGGCCGACGGACCGCGTCGACGAGTGGATAGCGCGGTATCCGGGAGCGGAAGTCGTGCAACGGTGGAAGAGCCGCAGTTGGGACGTTAAGCAGCAGTCGTCGCAGTGAGCTGCCACAAACGCGAGCCACAATCCTGGAGAATATGTTCTCTACACAAGCGGGGCGGCCGTGTACTGGCACGTTGCGGTGAGTTGTTACTTTTCTTTCGTTGGGCGGGTTCATTGATCCCGAGAGCTTCCAGGTGCTAGCAAATGTGATTGGAACGGTTCCGTTAGAGAAAAAGCGACGTGCGATAACTACGAGCAGTCATCTTCAGAGGACGTCCATTCATTCGAAGCCTACGACTCAGCAGGGCCGGAACAATGAGATGTCAAGCACGGAACCGACCGAAAAGCAAAAAGACGCGGATAAGGAGAGGAAAGACAAGGATGAGAGGAACAGAGTGGTAAGAAGAGAAAGAAGAGCCCGACAGAAGCTGAGAAGAACGCAAGCAGAGAAAGAGAGACGAGGAAAGCTGGAGGCACGAGACGGATATAAAACACTTGTAGCGCACGACTCGAGATCTTCGTAAGATGATGACAGCTGAATATATTCTTGATAGCTATCGTTATTGGCGCTACTTGATTAACCATATACGCAAAATAGGGCAATAGCAGTATTTACACTTGAATTTGCTCATCTCCATTGTCGTGATGCTGTGGTACGCAATGGTTGTGCGCCAACGCAGACTCGGCGGTGAGTCCAGCCCGACTGCGAGTCTAAGATGTTTTGACGAGCTTTGAGCAGATATCAGAGGCAAGATTCCTAGGGCCACAGCTACCATCTCAGTACGTAATGGTCAAGACCTGCCCCTTCGAGTTAATCGTGACGTCGTGCAGCGTCTTCATGACCGCCGTCGCCGCCCTCTCCGGTAAGAACTCGATATCCATGAAGAATACGCGATGTGTGTTGCAAATGTAAACGCCAGGAATGCACCCACACCCCGCGCCGTCTACTTCCGCCGCGACGGCGCGCTCCTCAATCAGCATCTTGGCCTCCGCAATGGCCGCCATGAGCTTGGCGTCCCAGATGCCCTCTCGTCGGGGCCTCTGCCGGAGCAGCGACATGGCTTTTCGCCTGAGCGCGCCGTCGCGGCAGCTGCTCGCGACCATGAAGAGCGGCTCGCAAACCGACGGCGAAAAGGAATAGACTGGGCGCCCGCGCTGCTCCTCGCGTAGCGCCTCCTCGGCGACGAGCTTCTGCGTGAGCTTGACGATGCGGCGAAACTTGGCGGCAAACTTGTCCCACGCGAGCTCGTATAGGCGGAGGTCGATGCTCGATGCGATTTCTGCGCCGCACAGCCAGATGTCGAGCACCAGCGCGCAGTCGAGGTCCGTCTGCCGCAGCCGTTGCGACCACTTGAGGTGCGAAAACTTGACCTTCCACGCTGACAAGGCGTGGCGATACGGCTGCCGCAGATCAGGCACCGGATGCTGCGGCCTCGGGTCTGCCGTCGCCGTTGTCGTTGTCGTCGTCGACCGCCGCACCTTTTCGTTGCGGACCGCCATCAGCAGCCCGCCCACCAGCCGCTGCAGCTCGAAGCACGCCTCGGTCGCGGAGCGAAATGGGGCGACGGGCACCTCGCGCGGGATGCTACTGCGCCGCAGGATAGGCTGCCGTGCGCCCGTCCACATGTACTGGACCTCGAAGCCGTCGACGAGGCCGACGAGCGACTTTGTCGGCAGCATGTGCTCCGTCGCCTGCTGCTGCGGGCCGCCCGCGGCTGCCGCCCCCTCTGTTCTCTCCAGAAACTCCCACTGTTGCGCCACACGCAGTCCGTGGCTGGCATGCATCATGGCCTCCTTGGGGTCGCCGCGCAGGCTGCTCAGGCCTGTGAAGAGTACGCTGGCCATGAGCAGCGCCTCAGCCGAGCGCGCGTCTTGGCGGCGCGCCAGTGCTACCATGTGCGTGATCGCCTCGTTGTACTGCCGCAACGCAAACTTATAGTGATCCTGCCGTATAATCTGGCCCTGGGTGTCGTCAGCCGGTATCTTGAACCACGAGTACATGGCCGCCATGGAGAGGCTGGCGTGCCAGATGGCCGGTTGCGTCTGCGCGGCCAGCAGCACGTCGACGTGCCAAAACGGTTGGTAAAAGGCGCCCGCGACTTGCGTGACCGTCCTGGTGCGAAACAGGTTGAACATTTCCCTCTCGTGCGCCGTTGCCCGGCCGTAGATGGGGGTGAGCCCGTGGAGGCATTGCGTGACGATGGGCGAGGAGCATTGGACGGTCTCTGGAGCAATCTCGAAGCCGTCACACTTTCGCCCGGTCGAAATGCATTTCTTGCACTCGGGTCGGCCTTCATCGCACTTCACGCGGCGGATGCTGCGAGAGAAACGCGTCAGTCATTGAGCTGAGGCGACTGCGACTTTTCTTGCTGGCCGTGGCGGCAAGAAAAAAGCCTCATCCAAGTGGATAAAAGTTGCAAGGTAGACTCACCGACAAGTAATGCAGCCAGTCTTGACCTTGGGGGTCCAGCGACGTTGACGAGGTTTCTGTGCTGGCTTGTCGACCGTTTCCGTGGTGAAGACAACCTCGGGCGAACCATGCCCAATCCTTTCAACGACACGATAGACTCTTTGGCGCTCCATTCTCCGGTGATATTTCACATATATTTCATTCACGAAATGACGCAAAGACGATAATGTGGCGGGGGTTTCTTGGCAGCGATGAAGGAATGAGGAGCGGCCGACCCCAGTATATCACCAGGGGCGTTGGATGAAGTCAACCGACTAGGCTCAAGCGGCTTGAGAGCGGGGAAGTTTGAATCTTACTGGGCTGAAGAGGGTCATTTAAAGGCTCTTTCAGGCTGCAGCCTCGGTATGATAAGGTGTCGGGTCAAGTGTCACACGCTGGCGCGTCACCAGTAAGGCTGTGCAAGATATCCACGACCAATCAGGTGGCAAGCGAGAAGTGGAAGAGAAGGGGGAGAGAAGGGGGAGAGAAGGGGAATAGAACAACATCCTGGCTGCGGAGACTCAAGATATCAGCCAAATATGCTGGTGAGAGCCAGGATTCGGTGCCGCACAACCGCATTGCCCGGCCGGCGCGGGAGTGGAGAATAGGGGCCGATCAACAGTTAGCAACACATGGCGGGAAAGCAGACGGAGCCAATCATGAGCTCGAGGAAGAGTGCTGTGGAGTGTTGCTGTTGATTTGTCCCAAAGAGGAATATTTTCTGACATGAAGTGGGCGTCGTGCTGCGACGCTGAAGCGGGAAATCTTACCCAGACAAGCGTCGCCAAGGTTAGTCGTTGTAAGCACAGCTGCGGGCGTAGTTTTTGGCAAAACAAGACTCATTTTAGATATCAATGCTCGTACCTCATACAGTGCGTAATCCTGGTATCCTTCTCATGTCTCTGGTCCTTTTTTATTCCCGTCTTGTTTACAGTAGAGTTCGTGGCCTGGACGCTGCAACGACCCGGGCACGCCAGTCGAAACTACCCCGGGCCGCCTGTGGGCCAACTCTTTGGCATACAGTAAGCAGTAGTCTGACGAGCAGAAACAGTCTTCGCATCGATAATCGATCATGAAGGGCAAGATACTGTTGTTTCACATTGGATTTTTTTTGAGCGGGCCGTCTTAAGGTAATTGTGATGATATTTGAGAATCAGTGTGGAATGACTATTAGCTGCGTGCCTATGTGATACTGGCAACGAAACTGCAACCTAAAAGTAAAAGAAAGAGAACTGTGAATGACCATGCCTGTGGTGTGCTAGATAAAAAGGGGAGATGAAGAAAAAGCCTCCAGAGCTGGGACGATGAATCAAAATGAAATTATCAAAGACACCAGACGCCGAAAATAGACGCAACATAGCCTTGAGGTCTGTCGCGGACCCGACAGCCTGTAATAACTTGACCAATCACCCACCAACGCCGATGCGATGCGGAGAAGAAGTGGAAGAAACGACACAATGTAAAGAAAGATGCCAGTAGTGCCGGCCGACCAGAAACAGATAACCCCGGTCCGATGACCATCAAAACGCCATAGACATGCAGGACATATGCAGGGGCAAAGTTCCGTCCAAAAAATAACAAGACCTCACACTAGATCTGACTAATGTTTCGTCCCACTTCCTATCGTGACATCACTCCTCTCCAGGAAGCACAAACCGAACTCTCTTAATTGGCTTCGCCTCGGCGGCCTCACTGCCGCGGCCGCCCTCTCTCCTGGCGACGCCACGTCCCCGCGTCTCGCTCATCGTCAGCTCCTCCGCCGTCTCTTCCTCAATGGACCAGACATCCGCGCTCGGCTCGCGCCACAGATGGCCAGGCCTGCTGACACGCCGGGCGGCCGGGGCGTCAGGCCCGCGTCGCGCGGCCCAAGGGGCTCGCCCGTAAAACATAGCCGCCGCGGCGGTGGACGATGGACGTGCGGGTGCCGGAAACGACGACGACGACGACGTAAAAGCGGTGGAGGATCTGCCGCTCTCTCGCCTAAACCCGGGGCTGCGCGGACGAAGCCTAAAGGGGTAGCTGCTGAAGCTGTGCCTTGGCATAGCGCCGAGCAACCCGCTGGGGCTGCGGGGCGGCGACGCGGGCGACGAGGAAAAGTAGCGGAGATAGTCCTCATTTTCCTCGTCATCGTCGTCTGATATCAGGCCATCTGAGTCTAAGTCGGGCGACGCGACGCGGCGGGGCCTGCCGAGGCCTTCGAGGGTCGAGGGGCTCACGCTGCGGACCAGGTCGCGGGGATGGCCGGCAACCTCGATGCCGGCGTCAAAGTCATCGTCGTCGTCCTCGGTGTCCTCATCGGAAGTGAAGCAAACTTCATCGTTGTCCAGGTTCGGGGTGAGAAAGTAGGTGAGCGGATCCTCATCGATATCGTCGAGGAGAGGGCGCGGCTCGATGCTCTTCGCGGAGACGGAGCGGACCAGGCGGAGCTGCGTGGGTGGCCAGGATTGACGGCGGGAGTCTATGTTGGCAAGTGAAGGCATGTTGGTGAATTTCGGTAGAATTTTGATCAACTGAAAAAGGCCGAGGGTAACTATGATGCGAAGTTCAAGGGTGTAGTGGCTCTTGAACCAAAGCAAAGGAGTTGGTGTAAGTGGTGGCGTTGCCTGTTAGGAATGGCTCAGTTGTATGTACCCCCGCGAAAGCGAACGCAGAAAGAGGCGAGTGCTGGTGCATGTATTGTCTCTACCATAATCTGAGAAATGGTATTTATATTTTGCCACCGACAGAAACAACCTTGTCTCATCCAGACAATGAGCTTGGAATGAAGGGAGAGCGAGAGCCCGCGCGGTCATATATAGACGATGGCGGAGCAAAAGCGGAAACGCAGCAGCCGCCTGTGCCATTTTGATCAAGATGGGCACATGCAAGCCTCCTCGCGAGCTAATGTTAGTTTCCATTCCTGTTCCCGCGCCCACGAACTGATAGCTAGCTGCCCATCACTGCTACAGAAAAAGCGACTTGACTGGTGGTCGGTGGAGCAGGAGCACGGCCGGCCTGACCAGCCACCGGCGAGACAGAATCGCAACGCAACCCCCCGTTGTGCTCGAAATAAATCGGTCTTTGCACCGCGCGCGCGGCCAGTCACAACTCACAACTCACCTACTGAGAGCAGGGAATGGGTGGGGAGCACATGGTCATGTTACCCCCCACCGCCACTATCACCACCACACACACACACTACGACGGTGAAGAATCGATGGCGCGGACGATGGAGTACAAGCAAAAACGTGGGCCGTGCCGTGGGCTATCCCGAACTAGACAATGGAGAGCAAGAGGGCAGCGAGCATTCGCCAAGACGGCGGTCCAGTTTTGGGGCAACAAAAAGAGGGGGACAGATGAGCAGCACTCGTCGCGAGGGCGTGCGCAGCCAACAATACCCGTTCTGAGTGCAACGCTCAGGTCGCAGGCTTTGGTGTCATCGGCCGGAGGAGGAGCCACGGGGATCCCTCGACGGGAGGCAAAGATTGCTATCTACGGTGGCGCAGCTTTCCTTGTCGAGAAAGTGTGGTGGTGGCGCGGCGATGAGGGAGGACAAATCTGTCGAGAGAGAGTATGAGCAACTGCCGACCTGTCACATTGCCTTTTTTGGTCGACGGCGGCGCGAGGGCTTCAGCCTGTCGATGTCGTCTGCCTTGGATATGGCGCGGGCGTTGTGCCTTTTGACTCGTGTTCTTATGCCGTAAAGCTAGCAAGAATTTCGGCGTCATCTCTCACGCGGGCTATACTTGAACGATGCATGAATGTGCCCCAAGAGAAGGGGGGAAACGATGCTTGTGTACGGGAGTATCAAAACCAGAAAGTCGGCCGCCTGGTAGTAGCCAAAACGCGACGTTTCCTTGTGTCGTCACTTCTTCGCACTTTTTGTTCCTCCCGTTTGCGTAATGTTTCCAAGCCAAGCTCGGAAATAAAAGGTGCGATGAGAGAAGACGCAATACAGTGACGAAAAGGGGCACGTATAAGCCGCCACGCACGGGCTGGATGTAGGTGACCTCGCTCATGCAAGGCACGACGCGCGGGGGCTGTGGCCGGCGACCGTGAGCAGCTGAGAAAGGGCCCAAAAGAGAAGACGATCCGAACCAAAGAAGCCCAGTCTCCCATCCTTCCGGCTTGATGCATTATGGCAAATGCACATCATGCAGGGCCGGCCTCGTGCTCTGCGTGACCATGGGAATATCGGACATGATGTTCCGTGATGACGAAATAGAAAAAGCTGATCATATGGTACATAAAATAGTGACCATGGGGAAGAGACAAATCGATGGTGGTGTTCGTCAGCCAGTGAGGACTGGGGAAGCAGAAGAGATGTAATACAGCGCCGTTCTAATAGTGGCTCGCTGTGAGTCTTAGGGGCATGGTTAGCGCACCGCCTTCTGAAGCCATGGTCTTCTCTCACGCTAAAAAGTACATACACATAGATACACGCCTACACAAGTTTGGCGAGACTTTGCATCCATTAGTTGATATAAGGCATCCTGTATTTTTTTTTCTTGACAGCTGCCGCCTGCATGTGCATTGTAAAAGCTAAAGACATTACAAGACTGTTGAAGCTGCCGTCGGGATTTGGCCTGTACGCACTCCAGGCCGTCCATTGGCTGGCCACAACCCTCTAATGGTACTCCGCCATGCGCTAAAACTAGTCATCTGCACCACGCTGCCGCTAGACATGGCCCCACCATGCATGCCTAAACACCAGTGGCCTCTCCAGCTGAAACCCGTCATGATAGCTGCCATCTCTTCGTGTAAAAGAGCTAAGAAAAAGTATAAACGCATCTTGCATTCTGATCACGGCCCGCCACTATCCCATTTCTCCAGTATCGTGCTGTGTGTGGGTGGAGAAGTTCAGTACGACCGCGACGGCCCTCGCGCACCATACGTACCCTTGGCATCACTTACACACGCACCCTTCCAAGCGCAGCTCGAACCAACCCAACCCGTTCATGCACGGAGAGGGCAGCCGGGAATGCAAGACACAGTCGGTAGCTTTTCCCATCTCTGGTCTAGCAAATCAAAAGCACGGCACTGTACTGTGACTTCTGTTCGTCCATGTCGCACTTTCCCCCCACTCGATTGAAAACAACCGACTGCGTGAGTCCCATGACCACTTCGTTTCGCACCTTGGCCTAATATTGGCCGCGAGCCTGCAAGACCCCGGAGATACCACACGTTATTCCGCACTGCGTCGGGAATGTCGTCATGCTGCTGCCGCCGCTCACACTTGGGAGGCTGCTCAGCGGAAGTGCCGGGAAAGGGCGCAGCTGGTCGCGTTTGGATTGTGCAAGGGCGAGAAACAGGTTGATCAACTGCGCAATCTGGCGTGCGTACAAGAGTAGCGATGAATGCGACTGACGCGTTGCTGTCGTGATCTGGGGCTATGTTGCCTCTGATGGTGTTGAATCCGACGTCATTCGTGCTACCAGGTATGACGACCATCATAAAGCACATCTCTTGCGTTTGATATCGGAAGCAAGATATTTTTCTCGATACACGGACATATGGAAGTCTACAGTATGCAAATACGCGCAGGGTATACATTTTCTTTGACGAGCTGGCCTTTCCCGCAGGCTTTTTGGCCACGACTGCACAGCGACACTACCCAGGATTTTACCTTTTCCAACAGCGTTAATACCGGTGCCATTTTTCGTGCAACCACTATATCACCGAAGTATACATCTCATGCTGTGGTCAGATGATGGACGACTATGATACACCCGAAACAAGGCGACGCCGCCACACCGGGCATGCATCCGCCCCGAATAGTTTTAAACAACGGCAGTTGGCATCACGATTTTGACATGCAGGCGCCAAGTATTTTTCCTAGTAAATATGTCCATCCCGAGTGAATATATACGCAAATTCAATACCTTTATTCGGTATCTTGTTGCAAACAGATGTTGATTCAGTTTGCAATCTTTTCGTGAGATCACATGTTGCATCTCTGGTTGCCACATGCGACATAGCATTCGTGGCGACCTCGAATTCTTCAGCGCCAACCCCAGTAGATCCGTAGACAACCGACATCATGATCATTAGCAGAGAGCTGTTCCAAATGTTTCCTACAGAGCGGAAGCGACATCAATCGGTAGTGACCCAGTAGCCAGACATTTGGCACTTTTCCTTGAGTCTACAGGGACTTGAGGGAGTAGATTGCCAGTAAGTCTATACGCAGCATTTCCCTTTTTAATCCCCTATAGATCTTCAACCAGAGAGTTGGAACACACCATATAGCGTTGGATGCGGTCTTGTATCGATAGGTCGTGAGTTTGGTGGCAGGCCATGCATTGACTGTCCAAAGATTCTATGCGGAAAGACCTCTGCGTATGCTTTTAAAGGATTTAATGAGACATGCTGAAGTTCTGAGAACACAGACACTTACAATAACTAAATTACATGAGCGAAACAGCCATCGTTTACTGCACCAGAAGCTTTTGGCAACGTGTCTTAACGTATACTTATGGCTCTGGCCGCACCATATGACAGAAGCCATCTCCTTGCAAGTGTGAATTGCTCATTATGCCCTTCTTTCTTTTCAGTTACCCTTTTTCTAGTTGCGTACTCCTACCTCCTAAAAGTCGGCTGCAGATTGCTAGCGTATTGAAAGCAGAGCCCTTTGTCCTACGGAACGACACACCGAGCGGCGTCTGATCCCCTGAGCAACTCTTATATAAAGCACTTTGGTATTAACTATTGGTTTGCGTCCAAGCTGGCTAGACCTTCTTTGCACATGGCCTCTGATTCTCGCCTGTAAACTGCAAACAGCATTGCAACCATCAAGCTGGCAAGTTTCCACCATTACCACCTTGAGGGGCCGGAAAACGGGGCTCGTGTTTCTCGGGCTTGTCGGGGTGCCAAGGGTCCGGAGCGGGGAGACTGGGAGGAGCCACGAGGTGGTCATGTTTCTCGCAGATTTTCATCGCAATTCCTTTGATCCACCACCAACCCTGTTTTGACTGTTTCTTGTTAATGATGAACATGTCTCCGATTATTTAGAGCTTCTTCGTGTGCCACGCCATCTCTCGAAATCGGGCCAGATTAGCTCATTTCTGTTGATTTTCCCCGCAGCCCGAGCCTATCCTCCTGGGTCCTGACGTAGCACCTCTCCACCACGCTCGCGTCCCGCAACAACGATTCAAAAACACACACGTGACGGTACTACATTTCTCTGGGGAACATATTTATTAACTCGGAGGGGAAATTACTTTAAAGTAGCTTCTTCTCATCTATCCCTCATCGCTCTCATCTGATGCCCGGCACATCACTGGCGGCGAAAAGACGGTCGGCACGCAACTCGTATACTTTCCAATTGGCCCTCATTTCGCTCTTCGCCTTCTTCGCCGCCCTCACCTGGCACCTCTACGCGACGCAGCGGCTACCCACTATGACGTCTCAAAACGGCGGCGGCAAGCCCGGCACCTTTGTCTACGTCCCTCCCGCTGGCGGCGAGTCGAACCAGCAGCAGACCCCCGGCCCGATTGCGACCGACACGGCGTTGCACGTCGCCATTGACACGGCGGCGGCGGCGCAGCAGGCCACGATACCGCTGCGGCTAGTCTCGTACAACGTGCGCAACGCCAACCCCTTCCCCGTGACGGGCGAGCAGCCGTGGCGCGTGCGCGGACCCAAGCTGGCCACGCAGCTGCGCTTCCTGACCGAGGGCCACGAGAGTGCCTTCCTATGCCTGCAGGAGTGCTTCCAGTCGCAGGTGCAGGACGTGCAGGCGCGGCTAGGCTCCGGGTGGGCGCACATCGGGCGCGGACGAGACGCGCGCCCCTCGGACGGCGAGTTCTCACCCATATTCTACCGGTCCGACACGTGGGCTTGCACGCACAGCGAGACGCGGTGGCTGAGCGAGACGCCAGACCGGCCGTCCCGTGGGTGGGACGCGGCGCTGAACCGCATCGTCACGATTGGCGAGTTTACACACCGAGCGCGCGGGACGAAAGTGGTGGTCATGAGCACGCACTTTGATCACATTGGCGTCAAGGCCCGCGAGAACAGCGCCCGCCTGCTGCTGTCTATTGCGAAGGAGTGGAGCGGCGGCGGCGGCGGCGGTGAGGGGCTCGCGGCCGTGCTGGTCGGCGGCGACTTCAACAGCACTCCGGATGACGGCGCGTACAAGGTCATGGTGGCCGAGGGCTCGGGCATGTCAGATGTTGCAGAGCTGGTGCCGCCCGAGGAGCGCTACGGGAACGACCTGACGTACACGAGCTTTGGCGAGCCTGGCGAATGGCCGCAGCGCATTGACTTTTTATTCATTCAGGAGCCGCGGGCGGCCAAGATCAAGACTTTTGGCGTCCTGGCCAACAGTTTCGACGACAATGTGCGCATCTCGGACCATCGACCCGTGGTTGCGGACCTGGATATTCCCGTTTAGATCTTCCTTGTTTATATGGTTTTCATTTGCAATGATAGATTTACAATCAAAAATACATGTATGATCAAGACTACAATGGCAGCAATGAGTTACAGCATCAGAGGACGAGTAACATGAAAACCGACCGCACCTCATGCTGTCCTAGAGATATGTGTGACGAAATGGAAACGGCAATCCTTTGGCCATGTCTGCATCGTCGTCGCAGGTAACCTTGTGCAACCCCAGAGTATTGTCCGAGGTCGCGCGGAGCCCACGTCGGCCTGCAACCACCACGGCACACGACAAGCACCGCGGTTGATGCGTCATCGCCGCCGCCGCCGCCGCCGCCGCCGCCGCCGCCGCCGCCGCCGCCAACGCAGACAACGACGACGGGCCTTCCCGCGCCATTAATCATGCAAATAAAGCCCGCGTGGTATCCGCAGCGGCCATTTCCGAGCATACGAGTCACCAGAGAAGCAGACTTTAATAAGGACATTTTGCAACGAGTGGCGTTGCTGGAATTGCGGAACAAAGTACGTCGTGTCAACCCCGGGAGTCGGGACAAGGGTGCAGCTGCCGACACGATAGAGATCAGACGTGGGGGAGTGGATGATGGTCTTCGGAGTCTGGAGCGAGGGAGGATCGGTAATGGCGCGATATCCCGGTTTCTGGAATAAGAGTGTGGTTTCACAGCAGTACCAAGTACGTGAAATTGGGGGGCAGAGTAGTGGTGGTGGCAACATCAATATAAGCGAGGCATGTATGCAGTCTTCGTGTCTCCCTATCCGCAGGATAGGAGCACACCGCTACTCGTGTTCGATTAGCTTTGCAGATGAAAAATGGACAGTAAGTTCTTTTTCGCCCACGGCAGGTACCGTTGTTAGGAATGTCGCTGCGTGAGCTGTCAAGAGAGTCATGACGGCTACGCGACCCAACATGTGGGCGTGCCCTCTTGAGTGCTGCTGCATTGCATGGTGGATTGTGGCTTCACCGAAAGCCAAACCAAGAAAACTGCAGCGAGAGGCATTGGCAAGAACTGAGCAGTAGAAAGAGCGGTAGCAGCATGCGCGATGCCCCGAGATCTAGCAAGTCTCTCCATCGGCTGTTTGGCCTAATTGAGCCCGCCTAGCAGACTGCCGAGATGAAGCCATCACCAACCACGTGTGCCCGGGGCCCCGACCACGCACTCAACAAAGGTAGACGGAGCTCGCCGTGCTCTCAGCGGGCGTCCTCGTGTATTCGAGTGGCAAAAGTGCCAGACATGGCCTAGCATGAGGCGGGCAAGTCTTGCAGAGCGCTCTCAACTCCAACACGCCACCGACATGCTGCACCACGTCCAGGGCACACGGCAAGGCAGCAGCAGCCAGCGGTACGTGTTGTTGTTTTATTCTACCCATTCTGTTGACAAGATAGTCATATGCCCGCGATGCATGCAGCTTGAAGCGGCGGGAATGACTTGTAACAACTTTTTGTATCTTTTCTCTTGTTGTGTGCCTGCTGCATTGACAGAAAGGATACATTGCAGCACATCAGGTGCCCGCCAATGATGTGCTGCATCAACTGTCCGGGCTCGACTAGTATACAGGCGGACTTCTTGATCTTGGTCAGCTAACGCCTGCGAGTAATTCGCAAAGGAGAGGCTAGAACGGGCTGCATGAAATGGGCGAAAGCCGTGATCGAGTCAGGTTCAGACCAGTCAGCCACAACGGGCTGTACTTGAAACCAGAGCCGTTCAAGCTATTAAATGCTCGCCCAGCTCTGACGTGCCCAGCTAAGCGGACGGGTGTAGGATAGGAAGTAGCAGTCGATAGACACGATAATTACTCATCCCGGGGAGGGGGGGGGGGGGGGGGCCGCAGAAATGCCTTACTGAGACGCCACCTGATGCGCTGGCTAGGTGGTCAGGAAAAGAGCGACTTGCCGTCGAGAAGGAGAGCCAATGGGGTAAGGGCGATGATGTGGTGTATGTCGATAGGTAGTTTTCTTGGGCTTCGCGGCTTGTGTTCCAACCTGGATCGCACCACTAGCCATTCTTATTTTCCCTGCTTTGTTATTTCTTGGCCTCTGGCGTAAGCGTTCCTCTGGTAATCATCAAGGTTCTGGGAGCGGGAAGAGTGCAGAAGCACGACACCGGATGTGAGAGCTCACTTGGCGGCCGAGGTTGCATCGATAAGCCACGGTAGTTGCATGGGGGCATTATGGTGGTGGCTGACGCGGTGCTTGCGATGCGAACTAGTTAGAAGCTGCGACACTTTTTTACTGCTCGATTCCTGGGTGGGGGATGGTCGGACGAGATGAGTCAACCTTTGGTGGTGATGTTTTCTCGTTCTCGATTCTGCAATTGCACGACAGCAGGTGAGGGCCTATTTGAGCAAGTGTCGATGCTGCCACGGTATTTTTGTTTGGCGCCGTCAGCATCGTCGAAGCCGCGGTGATATGGGCTGATTATTGCTTATAGGTCTGTGTCTAGTGCTTCAGAGATGATGATGCCGATTTCCAAGCGTGAAAATCGGGATGTAGCATTCCGAATTTCAACGAGCTTGTGTTCAATGGGAAGCTCGCAGGGTGAGACATCAGCCCCGCTTTGGAGCAAGATGACCACGACAAAGTTGCTAGGACCCGCCTGACTGGCCGCTACAAAGGAAAATTCATGATAGAAATAAAACGGAATAAAAAAAAGGTAGAAACGAGACTGGGCGGAGCACCTCGCTGATCCAAAGCAAAGAAGCTTTTTGGAGGGGCCGCGGCGGAGAGGAGAGGGACAGGTTGAGTTTAGCAAGTAGCCAAGCCCAAGCCAGATGCTTTTTCCGCCTTCCCCACAGTTGGGCTTCCATCGGGAAGATGTGGAAGGATTTTGAACTAACTTATTTAGTTTTTAATCTTGGAGGCTGGCGAGCGAGGTACTTGGAAGTTGCAGCAGCAAAGGCTGGTGGTTGCAAGTATCCGTACCGTCGCAGCGATGAATAAGGAAATGGGCAGTTGGCAGTGTGGCAAAACGACCGTCGACGGGGGCTCAGGCTCGTGCTGCACCGGTAGATACCTGATATGAAGCCATTTGTGCCATCATGGTACGACGCTGCCAACAGAAACCAGCGCAATGCAGCCAGGAAGTCGGACGGCATCATCTCGAGATGCTGTGTGTACAGCGAAAAGTCCAGTGACTTTTCCGGACCAGCTTTCCTGCTTCATCGTGGTGGAGATGGTGGGGAGGTGATTTTGTTGAATGCACGAGAACAAGGTCACTGGGCCCGTTAAATGCCAATCGCAAGAGCCTTCGCCCTGGTGGTTTGTTTGAGAAGGATCAAATGGCTACATACGCAAGGTTGGGCTGCGAGATGTGCGTGTGTGATGCCACTGATGCGAGATGCAGCAGCCGCGATGTACTCTATCAATGGGGGGAGAATGGAAACGCGGCTCGGGGCAAGAAAGGAGGGGCGGTTATCGATCAGTACCTGCAAAGCAAGAGAGTAACTGACACGATAAGAAGTCAATCGGTGATGGATGTGGAAGTCCGGAATTGGGTCCAGACCGTCCAGTAAACAGAAACACAGTCAGTGTCTTTTGTTGCACGACGCACCAGTCCATTCTTTTCCGCCAACCGACAGAAAACAAGCATTTGATGTTGGGCAGCAGAGACAGACCAAACAAGCAAATGACTTACGAGCCAAGGTTCCACTTTGGGCGATGGGGAGGTGAGTGGTGACTCTGGTACACATTGGATCGACATGGGTAGCGTCGACAACGATTGGCTGAAGAGCGGGGCCTGCTGCATGAATATCTAATTGAAAAGAGAATGAAAATCAATTTCACCATCAGTATCAATCATCAGCATAAATGGGCAGATTACTTGGAAGCAATAGAGCCAGCTGGCATCAGTTGCTGACGTAACACGACTACTTTGGACGCAAGAACAGATATGTCATCTTGCACTGCCTGTCTGTGAATTGGCTTGATTTGATGGTCCCGAAAATTCGACACTTCGAATTTCTTGTATCATGTCCCAGCCGTTTACGTCGCAGTAACTTGGGCTGTCCAAGGGCGACAAGGCCGACGAGACTAGTTCATTCCAGGCGTGTAGAACGGGACGAGCCGTTGACTACTTTCTTGCCCAGCAACGGTCACTAGCCGACTGAAATGGAGTAAAAGCAAACATCGTTTCTTTTTGTTTTAGTAATGCCATTTGTTTGCAAAGTTGGGATTTTGGCATGTTTACAATTTCAGGGACAGCCTGGCAAAATCACCCGCAGCCCAAGATGGGTTGGGCACACAACGTGAAGGAAAGCAAAAGATGGACCCGCCATATGCCGAGCGCCACAGCCTTGGGACGCTCAATCGCCCCCCAAGGCTAGACGGGCCTGGCTAGTTCAAATTGCCTCCTCTGTCTTATTTTTATTTTTATTATTTGATTTGCTCCGCCATCGCATGGTAATGAGAAAGTGAAAAGTGGCTTGTTCTCTTTCCTTACTTTCCCCCCGGTCGGTTTGCTGCGCTGGCATTTCTGTGCACACGCGCAAGTTATTACTTGTCTGTACGGTGTACCTTGCACTTTGTTCGCTCCCCACCTCCTTGGGCTGGCTGCACCTGGTGATGGATGTGTGTCTTGCACGCCTGCAGTCGATGCACTCTTAAAATTTACCTTCCTTCTCTGAATTCGGCGTGAATAAGTTGCTGGGATGGCAAGACCAAGGTAATTTTGATCATGAAATAATTCAGGGGCAATGTAAAGAAGAATTTGACACGGCGCGCATTTCAGGCCAAATCACGACCGCGGGTTGCTGCGCTACCGAGATCGTTGTCCGTGATACCAGGACACCCAGCTTGCCAGCTAGACGGAATGAATGGCAGCCCGAAAGGCTCCTTACACAGTTGACAGCCGATTTGTGACTCTCTCTGCGACCTTTTTCATTCAATTAGGGCAAAACTTTGTCATTTCATGTCAACCCTGTTTCCTTTTCCGTTATCGGTTCCCTTGTTTGCTATTCTTACGCCATGACTCCTTCCATTTTTTCCCGCCAACAACGATGCTCCTCTTATATGGCCCCCTCGACGTTTCACGACATTCGCGAGGCGCATCCATCCACCCTCCGGGCCGAGGCCGCCGTACGAATGAACAAGAGGCGAAAAAGGAGGAAGAAAGAAATTCTGCCTCTACTCCCACCCCAAGTCACTTGTTCTGTGGTGTCCGGCATCTGGCCGCACTAGTGTCCGGGCTTGCATGAGCTTGTGGCAGAGACATGCAGCATTTTCGAGGCATATATAAGAAAAAAATTGTTCTTTCCTTTGCATTCCAGGTGGTTGGCTGGTTAGCCCAGGTAGGTACATGGAGCTCAGGGCAAATGATGATGGTCGAGGCAGGTATTCTTAGTGGTTTGCTGTGGTCGCGACTTTAGTAGAAGTTCGCCAATACCAGCTGCTAACTAAATAGGTACTGCTGCAGGAATCAATGTAGCAGACACTCAATAGATGTGCGTCTGTGGCAGAGAGTAGTTTGAGTTGGGCCAATCGTACGTTAACAATGGTACATGAGTTACTTCGTTGTGCGCGCGGCGTGCTTTGAGCGTTGCTAGAGCGCTGAAACTGCGTTGGTGGCCCAGTAACTGCGCCATGATTCACTCAAGGCTCAAGAGGTAGTCCTGTAGAAAAAGAGATAAATAAGTAGGTACCAAAGAACAGTACGTGCCAATAAGGTAATAAATATTATGTCGTGCGCCTGGTAGCAACCTTGCAGCTGTACCACCAGCAATTGCTGTCTTTGCACTCTGTCTGCCCATCAGCCATTCACGCATCAGACCACCCTTGGCTTATGATAATAAGCATCATCATCCAACCCCGTGCACTGCTTGTTTCGCCTCCCCACGGAGTTGTCTGCTTGCACGCCACCCTGCCAACTGCCTGCTGGTATTACCTCGCTCGACAGCGCTGATACCAAGCATCTCGTACCTATTGTCACCACTGCTGTGCTCGCTACTTGATATTATCGTGCACGATCAGTGCACCAATATCCGGGTCAAGGTAGGTCCCTGTCTACTTCTTCCCTATCGCATTCTGCTCGTACGAATCGACGCTCTGGCCTAGCGTCGTTGCTGTCGTCCCTTGTATCCCCTCGCCTCGTCCTCTCTTCATCGCCTTGCTTGCTGCCATTTTGCTTTTTTCCCTTCTCTTTGCCCCCCTTCGCTCGCTGATTTTTTTCCTCACTTCTTTCATCTCCCCTCCTCACTCGCTTTCACCACAAACACAACCCTGCACCATCTGCTGCCTATCCAGCCTCTCGTTTCGCCCACCAACTTCTGGGTGCCATTGAGCCCTTGGTCTTCGTGCCCGACCCCACTCGCCCACTCACCCGCTTTGCCCCAGCTCCAGCCAGCTCCTCACGTCCCGTCCCTTCCCTTCCCATTTAGCTACTGCTGCTTTTTTAAGCTGCCTCGCTACTTTTTTTCCCCCCGTTTATCTTATTGCCGCTATTCCTTTCCTGCCCTCTCGTCACCGCCCATCGTCCACCCTTTGCGCTTTTGTCGTTTTTTTCTGACGCTTAATCACTCGCTCACCTCAGCGAAACATTCTCTCTCGACTCTCTTCTTTTTTTATTGAGTACTGCGACTTGTTCGAATAGGATCTATTATTCCTGCGCAGAACGCTCCGCACACAAGATTCCGCCCTAATCGTTTTCGCTCTGCGCTACCGCCATCGACTGGAGACACCGTTTCGTCCTGTCCCAGGCGCTGCCTGACCCTCAGCGCCTCGACGCTTCTCACTTTTCCTCGTCATGGCGCCCGCCCAGCACGGCACATATGCGGCATACGTCGACGATGCCAACGAGGATACTGGCAGCTCCATCGAGGGCACCAGAATTTATGCCGTCGCCGACGACTTTCCACCATCCAAAAATCGACCCAACGTCGGTAGCAGGATCATGACAGGCTCCTCCTCCAAACGCGCCAGCTTGACCGAGTCCGACTCGGCTCGCTCCTCCCACAAGAGCTCCGACAAACACAGAGATTCAGACGCCCGCCGCGAAAGGGCTCGCCAGACCGACTGTCGCAGGTCCTCTCTCCAGTACGAGAGTGATCGCGAGCGCGAGCATCAGCGCCTCCGCCACGAGAGAAAGACGCGCGAGTCCGAGGCTCGCCGCTCTCAGGGCCATTCCCCCAAGGAATCCTCCAAAAAGACGAGGCCTGCCGTTCAGCATGGTCCTCCTCTCTCCATGGCTCGAGGCGTATCTGATGAATACCCGCGCTACGTTTATCAGCAACCTGCTGCGCCCGCTTCCCGCCCTCGCCCTGCCTCGAGGTCTGCCACCTACTATGACGGACAGCCATTCCCTCCTCCGCCGCCGCCACCGGGCATGGTCTGGCATCACCCTCCTTTTCCGCCTGGTCACTTTCCGCCTGGTCCTCACGGTCCTCCCATGCCTTTTCCTCCTCACTTGCATGACATGTCTCCTCGCATGCCTCCGCCTTCGCCTATGGGCATGGTTCCCCCTGGCTACTTTGTTGGTCCTCCCCACCCTGGTTACAGTGACCATCTCAAGGCTAGGTTCGAGTCGAGACCTCCCTCCGCCATGGGTGCCCTCGGTGGCCCCGAGCGTATTCCTCCAGGCTATAGCCCAGATGAATATAGCGACGAGTCGGCACCTAATACCATGCGCCGTCCCTCGCGCCCATCCAGAGCTGAAAGTGATCGCAGAATGATGCCGCCTCCCGACCGTATGCCCCAGCGCACCATGTCCGCTGCCCCACAGCACAACGGTCCCTACCGTCCACCTCCTGGCCGCCCCCAGGTAAGCCAGCAGCCTCGAAGGCCATCTGCCAGCAGGCACTCGGTCAACTATGGTGATGATTACGACTATCAAGAGTATGATCCCGGCCACGAGCTGTTCCAAGACATGTCTCCTGAGCCCTCTTATCGGCAGAGGCGCTACATAGACCCGGCACGGCCCAGGCGTGGCTCACACTACGAAACCGTTGACATCATTCCGGCCGGGCGGCGTAACCGCAAGGCCCCCGCCTACGGTGGACCGCCTCGTGCTGCCGCCAAATACGAGGCCCATTACGCAGACTCCAAGATTCGAGATGCTCAGGATTATCAGGATGCTGTCACTGGCGGACCCAAGATGCCGCTCACCGCCGAGATGCTGCAAAAGGCAACTCGCGGTAACCCTGGCAGTCAGTCCACGCGCAGTAGCGGCAGCCGTGATGATAGTGAGTATCGTCGCAGCTACACCACGGGCATCACACGCTCATCATCAAACAACGGCACAGACGACGTCACCATCAAAATCGGCGAATCTGAACTCAAATTTAAGGGCGGAGCGGATATTACCTTTAGTTCTCGGGGTCACGCGCAGCAGATTCGATCTGGCAGTGACAAGTCGAGCACCGTCTTTCAACTCGAGGACGGTCGTGACCAAGAACGAGAGCCGCAGCGTATGACTCTTCCCCATCGGATTCGCGCACCAAGCCACTCGGAACACCGGCCCCGTGGATACACGTCTACAGCCTACTCGCCTTATGAGTACGTCGAAGGGAGCAATTACGTTTGAGGGCGCTGACTGGACAACCTATCGACGACCGACAGTTACGACGATTTAATGACGACACGACATATCTTGCATCATGACACAGTATGAGCCTTGACTACGACAGATCAACACATTTATGACTTGCGCTTCTTTTCCGAATCTTACCCGTCTTTTTTTTTCTGGACTCTTCTCAAATTTTCTCAACGTTGTTCACTCCTGCATGTACTCTGTTGTCCTTGTTTGCTAGGCAGTCTGGCTGATGCCGTGCCGAGCGAAGCAGTTATGATACCCACACCTAATTAGCGAGGACGTTATTTGGAGTGTATAACGGAGACTGGCAGTTGTTTCTCTGGAATTTGGATCTAGAGTGCTGTTGAAGTGGCAAGTTTGTCTGCCACTCGTTTCTTTTTCTCTTTCTCATTTACTTTCATACTTGTACTGGCCGTGTGGTGCTTGTTTCGTTCAGCAGATTCCGACGCATGCCAGCCATGCTGAACTTGCGTCAGTACTATCTTGTACGATGAGAGTTGTGTACGTTGCACCGCCTCACCCTGTGCGAAGTGGTTGCTACGCACCCAGACTGTTGAGCACTTGCTTTCATTTGTTTTGCTGAAACTGCACATCGCCATATTATAGACTGTACAGGCGGACGAGGTTCGCGCCTCTTTACCGTGTGCCTGCCGATCTGGGGCCGGTAATAACCGGCGCCATCTGTCGGGGGTTATTTCTTTGGTTTTCTTTTTGTGCTACGGGTTAGACAAATGCTTTTCTCTTTCTGCTCCTCTTCCTTCTCCTCGGTAATTGTTTCCTTGGTTTGAAAAAAGGTTACGGCATGTTGCAGCAAAAAGATTGGAGCGATACGAGCGATGGAACTTATGACAGATAACAGCAATAAGACTGATAATATCCTGTGCGTTCTAGACATGGAAGAGAGGGACCCGTGAAGTGACTTGAGTGCTTGGTGACGGTGGTTGCTGGGTCAGAGATGAGATCCACTGGGTTTGTTGACTTTGAGCGTCACCGGGCGTGACCAGGCCGAGCAAAATGCGCACCAAGGGCTGAATCAGATGCGATACGACGGTTACAAAAACTATTTTCTACTAAATGCGTCTAAGAGTTCAATGACGCAGATCTTGTCTGTATATTATGATGCTCTTTCGGGCCTAGTGTAGCTAGTTATTTACATGAGATGTGTTGGGTGCACGGCAGCCCAACCTCGTCACTTGCCGCCACCGCCCAGCCACCCACCCGATGCTGGTTTCTGTAGGAACACCAGCATCCTTGCTGCAATGCTTTTCTCTCTCCTGCAGACTGCCCATTCTTGCACCACACTAATTATCTGTCATTCTTCCCGACGACCAGTTTCTGACATTTCACGCAACCATAACGACCAACGATTCTTTTTCTTCGTTCCGGTCGCGCATAGCCTCTTCGTGCCTTTGGATCGCCTTTCATCTCACCCACAATTTCAGACAAAACATTCCTCGTACCTCAATTAACCTCTTTTTCGGCTACGAAGAGGGTTCTCATTCCAATCCATATCTCAAACTTGGACAATCATCTCTTTATTCCCCGATCTGATCCACCACAACTGGAACGAGGCCTGAAGGTCATCGAGAGGCCAAGACACCATGGCACCGGTTCTGACACCGCTACTCCGACGAGCGTTTGCCGTCGTCGGCGCCTCTCCGCTGCCAACATCGGCGGTCGTGGACGGCGCGGCTGATGGTCCTCTGGCGGACGCCACACGCATGCACATCACCCGGGACACGCCCAGCAACAATAAGCAGGACCCGTCAACGGGCGTGCTAGACCCGCACGACATTTCCAACGTGGGCTTCTTTGTGCTCTTTGCGCTGCTCGGGCTGTCATTCGTTGGGGGAATCATTTGGTTCTTCTTTTGGGCGCGGAATGGCGGCTTCTACTTTAAACAGACGGATTGGGAAGACTACAAGACGGCGGTGCTGCGCCGGCGCGGTCCCAACGGTACGCTACTTTCGGGTGCAACCGAGTCGACGAACCTGGGAGGCGGTAGCGTGTACAAAGACGTGGCGGACGATGGCAAGACGACAATTACAGACAGCACAGGGTTGAGCGGCATTACGGCGGGCGCGAGCGACATTGCAGCGCGGGAGAAGAGAGAGGAAAAGCGCGCTCAGAGGCGTCAGGAACGCGAGAAGCGCAAAAAAGGCAAGAAGCGCAGTGATGTCAGCGGCGGCGGCGGCGAGTACGACGAGAAGCAGAACAGACGACGCGTTGAGGACGGCGAGGTGCAGGATGAGGAGGCGGAGATGAAGGCACGCAATGAGCTGCGCAGCTACCGGCACGAAAAGGCGGCACGGGTTGGCGGCCTGAACAAGCAGTCGGAAGGCTCGTCGTGGGACGGCTCGAACGCGACGATGAGCCACACTGGCACGGAGTCGGAGCTCCTCCCCAACAAGCAGAGCACGCCGACAAGCACACCGACCAAGGACAAGAAGCGTGGGGGTGGCATACGCAAGGTGTACTCGACGGCGGATCGCAACGCGGAGCGCGAGGCGGAGAAGAAGCGTGTCGAAGCGAGGAGGCTACGGGACGAGGGGCGCACGCACCGCCGAGACTTTTCGTTTCAGCGCGCCAAGGCAACGGATAGCTTGCTGTCAGGCAGCGGCACAGGAAGCAGGAGCGAGATGACAAGTGGTGGGGATAGCAGCGAGCTGGGCACCAAGAGCTATCATCACCCGCGACCGGAGATTTCGAGGGCGCAGAGGGAGAGGGAGAGGGAGGAGAGGAGGGCGAAAAGGGGGGGTTATAGACGTGGACGAGGGGATGATGAGCTTTAGGGGTATGCGCGATGGAATTGCTTGTTGGATGAGCTGGGATCAATTATGATGTCAAGGCTATGATATGTTGCTAGCCATGACGTGAGCCGCGATGCAATCAGCCAGATTGATACTTGTAGATTAGCATTTGACAGTAACGTCTTTAAATTGAACATGAGATTCATGAGATTTCCGCACTGCCACTGAGTCCAACGCTGCGCGTTTATTAGAGAATTCGATATGGAAGGATGGAAATCTGATAAGGAGCTCGGGCACTCTATGTAGCACCCCAGCAAGGTGTGACAAGGACTGCGTCAAGAGCGCAGGGCCAGAAATTACGGAGCAGGGGTCACGACTAGAGTCTGCTAGCCTTTCACCTATCGAGTTCCACAGTTGAAGTTTTGAGTTCACTGCCTGTTCAAAATTGTTTTCTATTTCCTTGTGGTCTCTTATTTGCCAGTCGTTGTGTGTTGTCTCCATGTCTGGTGATGGATGGCCTTCTCACGCGCATTATGCTTTGCCCTGTGGCTGCAAGAGACCGAAGCCGCCCCGCTCCGGCATCGAGTTGTCTGCCCCCCCAAAAGATGGAAGATGGGAAAAGGGCTCCCCATAATTTAAAGGCATGTATTACGTCGCATCCAAGGCGACAAATCAGGGTCATCATGCGCTATGCCGATGTTCAAGACCATGTAGGTAACCACCTAGGCGGTAGTTACGATGGACTCACGATCTCGTCAAAACCGCGAATGTATCGCTGGATGCAATAAAAGTCTGGATAATGGCGCGGATATGTAGGTAAGCAAAAACTGCCCTACGACGACGATTCCGCCGCCTCCGCCTGCCGCCCACTTCCGTCATCGACGCGCGAGTGGGGGCTATGCCTGATGGGGCCATTGTGGGAGTAGTTAGAGCAAGCCATTTACATGTCGTCTGCCGGCCGATGGAATAGACTTGCAGATGGGGAAAAGCAGGCGGGGGTGTTATATCGTAAAGACATGCCGCACTCCTCCAAGATATTACATGATATGTAGATGCTGGCCCGAGGCGTGAGCGCAGAGGTTGCGCGGTGGGTTGAAACTGTGAGTGCCACTGTTTGTCTCCGCAGCAGCCGCTGAGCCTGAGACTGAGAGTGATGTCGTCCAACCACTGGGACCACTGTACTGCTTGACTGCTTGCCCAGTAAAGCATCTCCACTTGCGCGATCCTTCTCTTCCCCTCTCCTAGCCGTGGAATGCCACAGATGGGTAACTAGAACATAGAACTAAAGACGATTTGGAATAGAGCTAGATTCACACAGTATCAAGCTGCACAATTTATTCAATACATGGGCAATGTGTAGTCAGTCTTGCAGCGGCAGTTTCTGTTTACCCGCTTAGAGCGTCCACTGCCCAGCGCAGCCATACCCACTGGCCCCGATCTTCTGCCTGCCTTTCCTTGCTTGGCTCGCCTTTTTGTCTCGTCAGACGCTTTCACTTCTCCGACGCTTTCTCCTTCTCCCTCCAAAACAATCCCCAAACCGACGCCCAAAAGTCAATCCCCTGCTTCGTCATTGCCCGTGCACCCCGACCTTTCCCATCCTGTATCACCTTGCTGCATCTTGTCATTTTTTTTCTCTGTTTTTCTCGTGGCTTGACCACTTCTCACTCCTGCGATAACCCGTTTATTCTATCCCGCCTCGAAGAGCGCTTCGCCACCGCCTGCCATCGCTCTCCCCGCAAGCATAAGGTACTACGTATTACCTACCTACTCTCCTCCCGCCCGCCCGTCCGCCACGCAACCCGACGAAGCAAATCACAGTGCTCGCCGTTTCTTCACTCTCGTCCTCGATCACCGCTGCGGCGGCATCGCCGGCGTCACTGTCCACTTTCACATCGACTACGATATTCCTGACGGGGCCGCTCGTCGCACCCACGACGGTTGCTGCTTTCGAACCACCGTCACGCGCGGCTGCTCTGGCCTTCTCCAGCCACCACAACCCTCAACAACTCTGCCTGGCCGCCCTCCGCCGTCATGTCAGACCCCTCGTCGGCTTTGACGGGCGTCGTCATTGGCCTTGTCTCGTCATTTGGCTCTATCCTCCTGATCGGCCTTGTCGTCTTCGTCTTTTGGGCCTCGGGCTGCGCCGGCTCCGGCCGCATCCTGCTCGACCGCCTCGGCCGCCCTGGAGAGTACGATGATGAGCAAGCTTTCTTGCGCGAGGAGGAGGAGGCCTTGGAGACGATGGACGAGATGGCCCGTACAGACTATCTAAGAGCAAAAGGTGCGTCTCGCCACGATGAAATATTTCGAGTCCCGCTCGTGTCCCTGTTGTGTCGAGACTAATCAACATGAACTGCGCGCAGCTTTTGTAACCGCTAACCCTCCCGAATCACTACAAACCGATATTTCCCTCTCCCAGTACCTCGCCATCCAGGAGAAGGGCGTCTCCGCCTGGGAGTTTGAGCCCGAGCTCGAAATCGCAAATTGCTTCGTCGAAGCACGTACCGAAATTGAGTTTTATGATTCAGAATGTACCGTCATGTGCAACCTGCCCGTGCCCAAACAGAACGACGTCTATTACTGGGAAGCCAAGATTTACGAAAAGCCTGAATCTACCCTGCTCGGCATCGGCATGGCCACCAAGCCCTACCCGCTCTTCCGCCTGCCAGGTATGCTGCACTGATCTGTCCTAACGCTCTTTGACTAACTCATCAGGCTATCACAAATACTCGGTTGCGTACCACTCAAACGGTTCGCGCCACTACAATCAACCTTTTAGCGAAATTCCCTACGGTCCCCGCCTAGTCCAGGGCGATGTCGTAGGTGTTGGGTATCGACCTCGGACCGGAGCCATGTTCTTTACTCGCAACGGCAAGAAGCTCGAGGAAGTCGTTCACGGTCTCAAGTCGCAAAACTTCTTCCCTGCTGTTGGCGCCAACGGCCCGGCCACGGTTCATGTAAATCTCGGCCAGTCCGGCTTTGTCTTCATCGAGGCCAACGTCAAGAAATGGGGACTCGCCCCGGTTACCGGCAGTCTCGCGCCGCCACCCCCGTACGGTTCCGAGCAGGGCAGTATTCTTCTCGAGTCCGGCACAAAGGACGGCTACGCACCACCACAGGGACGTCGTCATGGCCACTCATTCAGCGGTTCTACGTATAGCGTCCGCGGAGGACAGCAACCCGCCAATGCCTCACACGGCCGAACACGCAGCGGCAACTTTCGAATCCTTCCCACAAGCCCGGGGCCCCTACGAAGTCCAACCGATATTTCCCTCGCCCAGCTCGTTCGCACTGATGACGGTGGTGAGACAAGCAGCTCTGCCCACCAACAGCGGGAGGAAGAACACAACGAGAACCCTCTTCACCTGCATCTGCTGGACGCCACAAACCCGCCGCCTGATTACACGAGCCCCACTGGCTCCGATGGTGATAGCAGCAGTCGCCGACAAAGCACGGACAGCGACGACACGCCCTTGATTCAAGTCATGAACCGTAGCCGCGGCAATTCAGCCGCTGCACCTGGAACCACCGTCAATAATCTCCCGCTACCGAGCTACAGCGATGCTCTCGAACAGGGGGCCGGTCAGCGCAGGCGGAGCAGCTTCGACTCGGAGCGCTCTACGTCCGAAGCAGCCGAGGATGACGACTCCGAATCTAGCTCCGACGATTCCACCAATACAGTCACACCTCTATCTCATAACCCTACATCAGCAGTCTAGACACAAGACATGACATTTGTGCTCAACGACGTTGTTTATGAATACTATACTGCATCGGATGCCGACTGGCTTTGGCTTGATACTCAGGGCGTGCCACCAGTACGGCATTCGGAGTTTTCCTCGTTGCAAAAAGAGGAGGAAACGGGAATCGCAAATTTGTCTCTTTGTTTTTTGCAGGCCAAACTGATCATGGACATTTTCGTCGCGTGATTTGAAATTTTTAATGCTATTGCACAGGCGCTCGAGGAGTTTACCACCACCTTTATTTTCTTGTATAGCATGTGGAAATCACTCACTCTTTTTGCCAATTGTTTCTTTTTTGTAACTTGGGATGTCGAATAAAGGTCAGAAATTAACCTGGGATGTCAAATGAGACCAGAAACACTGTTTAACCTCGAGCAAATCGGGACACGGGGCACGTGGGATAAGAGAGATAACATAGTCATAGCAATGCGCACGTCATGTGTCTCTTGAAAATTCGGGATGCTACTTCCGCGGTCTTATGCCTATAACTTGGGCAGTCCGAGTCCCACAATATAGTTTTGAAGCTCGTCGAAGCTCTCCAACTCGGGCTTTTTATCAAAGTGACAAGAGATGCGTCATTAGCCGCTGAGTCCCCTTTAACCCACACTAACAGGGGGTCCAGCTCACTAAAAGGAGTCACATGACAGCGTGACCATGTTTGCATTACATATGGCGGCCAACAACCCCATTCTTGGTCACATAGTGTCTTGTTGGCCACCTTCCTTTTATTGTTGGCCATGACTCCTCCACTGTCACCGAAAAGCCAGGATCGCATGGCCGCATTGGCCGCAGCGACCTTGTTTTGCGAGCTGCTCACCCAGCGACTGCTCACGCGCTCGACAGAACTGCCCTCCGAGGCTCTGGCCTGGGTCCTGCTACCGCTCCTGGTGCGAGCGGGCGGGCGCCAACGACGCGGCGGCGAAGGCGAGGAGATTGCGCCGCCGTCCTCCTCCACGGCCAAGGAATCCGGCGCTGTGCTGTTTGCGGCGGGCATCGCCGCGGCGTCGTTTTGCAGGGCGGAAAACGGCACCGCGCGCTTCCATGTAAGAGGGCATCGTAACTCGAAATAAAATGAACCTCTGTTGGTGATGCTAACAAGGGAGCGCAGCCTGCTTTAGTACCGATTCTGCTAGCGGCGCAGCGGTATATGCAAGGTGACGCCGCAGATGCGACGTGGGATCATTCGGGATCTGCATCGCTCATTTTCACGTCGCTTGGCGCCGCTTGCGTCATTGCTGCCGTTGCAGTTCTGGATCTTTTTATATGGGATCTGAGGAAGTGTATATATGCCAGCGTGGCACTGATGGCAGTTGCTGTCGCCTACATGACGCTTTTGCCTCGGAGGCGGCGAAAAGCAGTCATTGTTCCGCCCGTCAGCATTGAGCAAGACATTGAGCAGCTGTCGAAATGGGTTGTTTTTGGTGTCGCCTTCGCGTTCATAATCCAAACCCTAGTATTTGGTCTCACCACCGGTTCTTTATCAAGGACCGTTGCCGCCGCCGTATTCAAGTGCTTGACTTGGTTCTTTGCCATACATCTAGTAAGCCTGAGCCCACTTATTGCAGACATGAACTGTGATTTGACTGACGGGGCCAACCAGACTCGAGATGTGTCATGGGCAGTTCTTCCGTCCATGGGAGTATTCACCCTCATGGCCGGAGAAAGCCCCTTTTTTCAATCATCCGCCTTTCGGCCCCTGCTGCACATTGCAGTGTCCGGGTTCTCTCTGGGCCAGGTAATATATACACTTCCCAGCCGCTCCAAATCACGATCAACGCTTTGGGTATTCATGCTCGTGACGCTGATTCCCTACGGGGCAAATATGGTTGCTATTCGACGCGCCGAGAGCGCCGTGCAGCATACGTTTGGCGCAAATCGCGAGCATCCCGTCGATATCTTGATGCGCGGAGCCAACGCGCAGTTTAGCGGTCTGCTGCATCGGCAGTCGAAATCCTTCGAGGAAGCGCAGGCCGAGTACCGTCGGCGCTATGCAATTGACCCCCCGCCTGGGTTTGAAGGCTGGTATAGATTTGCAGTGGCGCACAAGTCGCCCATAATCGACGAGTTTGACATGATCCATAAGCAAGTCGCGCCATTTTTAAAGCTGAGCGGCGTAGAGCTTCAGCGAATTATGGATGCGGCATTTTATGCAGATGGGAGTGAGCTTTGGTCCTGCGAGTATAACCGTAAAGAGGCGAGAGCTCGATGCAACCACCCGCATCGCTCGTACGATCGTCACATTTCCTCCTTATTTGAGACTGTAGGCAAATTCGCTGGCGCAGAGCTGCCTGACGTCAGATTCCTGGTCAATCACCTCGACGAACCAACCGTCGTCCTGCCAAGCGACAAGACGATAGAAGTACGAGTCACTAATCTATCTCGCCAGCCGACATGGACGAATATCACACGAGAATGCGTAGCTCATAGAGCCGATAATTCTCACGCAAAGGACGAGAGGGAATCATATGCGTTGCCATTCATCAAGGATGCGGCTTCGGCAATGGATATTTGTCGACATCCAGAGTATGAGCACTTGCATGGCCTCTTCATCAGCCCAGTCTCTTTCCGGCTTACCGAGGGCATGGTGCCCGTCCTCTCCACTGGAGCACCTTCCACAATGGGCGACATTCTGATGCCTAGCCCAGCTTACATGGAAACTGAGTTCGTATACGACTCCGACCAGGAGCCATCCTTTGACAAAAAGACCAACAACTTGTACTGGGCGGGCTCGACCACGGGCGCGTTCGCCCACGATGATGGCTGGCGAGCCTACCACCGGCAGCGCTTCGTCCGGTTTGCGCAAAATCTCGGTCGGGAGCAGTATTACTACCTGCGAGAAGAGAACGACAGCGTCGAGCGCGTAGCGTCATCCTTTCTCAACGGCCGTCTATACAACGTAGCCTTTACGCGCATCTTTCAGTGCGCGGCGTGGGCGTGCCGGGCGCAGCGCGCCTTCTTCCCAGGGGGCGCATGGGCGGACAAGGATGCGGCGCTGCGGTCGCGGCTCGCGTTCGACCTCGACGGCAACGGCATCAGCGGACGCTACTATAAGCTTCTGGCGTCGGGGTCGTTGCCGCTGAAGCAGACGCTGCTGCGCGAGTGGCACGACGAGCGCCTCGTGCCGTGGGTGCACTACGCGCCCGTGAGCCAGAGCCTCGAGGAGCTGCCCGAGCTCGTCGCGTACCTGACGTCGACGGCGTCGGGGCGGGAGCGGGCGAAAGAGATGGCGGTCAAGGGGCGTGAGTGGTACAGTAAGGCTATGCGCAGGGAGGACATGGCGATTTACGTGTACAGGCTGATGCTGGAGCTGGCGCGGCTGCAGGACCCGAACCGGCAGCCTCGAGCCTAATTGGAAGAATCAGAAAGAGGAAACTGCATAATCTTCCATTAGTTGCTGGCTCAAATTGACACGTGTAGTAGTGCTTGCGAGGCATGACTGCGCTCGACAGATGAAAGATTCACATTCACGAACCGGTGAGACATCAATCCCGCCTGCAGTCGACGACTAGTCTGAGTCTAAGCGAATGATTGCTGGCTTGTGATGATCAGACAAGGCTGGCTGCTCAACAGGCTGCGACGCTCGCCATGCAAAGCATATAGATGGTTTGCTTGTCTCGCTGGCGGATGCGCAGCTTTGCGAGTTCCTGAGCGTATGTGAAACAAATCGACGGGCATGTCTCAGTCCTGTCTAGGTGGTGTGCGGTTCGATCTAGACATGTACGGACTATGGCCGAGTCTCCGCTCCAAACTCGATTCTCTGCGCCATTGTCCATCGTCAGGCTCGGCCGCCAAAGCTATCAGGACAAATGGGGAACTCGGGATTGGCGACGAGCCTGGCAGGTCAGGCACCCAAGGTCGGCGCCGGCCCGGAATAAACCTTTGAGATGTGGTGGCTTGCCACGACGAGAGATTGTGACGCGTACTCGTTGAGCGACTAGTATGTCAATATGTGTCCGCAGGGACGCTGCGAACTTTTGCAAGCCATGACCTCGACTTGCTCGAGTCAACTTTGTATCTGGTCTCGTGAGACATGTCTCTGCAGAAAAAAGTTGCCAAGTCATTTTGTCTGCATTGCGGGGTGGAGGAGCTGCCAATCATGTGCCTCATATTACCGATGGCGTTGATAGTGCTCTTCGCCTGGCGTTTTAATGCCCAGAGTTGAGCGCCATCATCGGCGAGCGTTGGCATATCTGGGTTCTTTGCGTCTCGTTCCAGCAGGTGGCAAGGGAAATTCGGGTCATTCATTGCCACGGTCGGAAAACCGGCAACATGGCGAATAAAGCAGCATCTTGTTTTGCCATTTCTACCCTTGTTCAGGCTTCAAAGGAGCGAAGGAGCTCCTAGACGCCAAGGCGATCCAAATAGCGGATCGGAGGCCCAGGCGGGGAGCCACTGTATCCAAGCGAATCTCTGTGGAAAGTGTGCCCCAGAGCCAGGCGCATCCCAGCACCTTGCCCAATACTCACTCGTTCGAAGCCTACCCGCTCTTGCCGCTGCTGCAAATAGGCATGATAAGCTGCAGGCCACTAATAAATGATTAAATGCGTAATATCAGTCAATGTTATCAGCTGCCACGCCCGGGAACTCTACCTCAAGCGGCGCGCTCCGTAACTAGCGGGTCGGTGCAAGCTCTAGTTCATTGGCATTCTATTACCAGACCTTGCTATATGAGAGGCCCATCTTGATGGCCCTATTGTTTTCGCGAGCAAAAGTCTCTCTGCCCACACAGCGCTTGTGCCGGCTTTTCCGGGCCCCCGTCACCGAGACGGCGCCGACGAACCGCCCCCTAATATCAACCCCCACCAGCCACCAAGGCCGGGGAAGAAAGCCACAAATAGCAATGGCCACCGGTCCTGAGCTTTCGACTACTGATACGCCCAAATTTGGGGTCTTGGGGGACTGACAACTAGTGACCACTTATCGCTTTTATGATACTGCTGTCGATGGAGATTTGGCACCGGTCGGGCACCTGCCAGGCTGCCAGGCTGGTTGCTGACAGACAGACGACGAGGATCCAGCCTCGCTGCAACCCATTATCGTTCCCATGTAGGGGTTCTTTGATTCTAGTGGGCTCATAGCACATGACAAGAGCGCACAAGACTCTGTAAGTGGGTGTCGTTGATGAGAATTCGGGGCTTCTGTGGCTCGGTTGTGCTTCTTGCTACAAGGGTAGCCATAGTTTGATGCAGCCCGGTTTTAAGAGGTCCTTTTGTGGTAATAGCATGAGCACAGAGATAACGTGCCGGCTCAATGAAGGCAACTTCCCGGTGTCCCATACAACCAGGATGGCAAGGGACCTTTTGTCCCCGTTGACGATGTAGGTAGTCGTCTAGTGTAGGTTCCGACGCCTGGCGTTTATATATATTAACGGCTTTCCAGGGATCTGCGTCTGACCCTCCTCATGTTCTCCATTGATTCTCTCCCAACAGTTACGAGAGCTGCATCGTGGTTGCACATGTGCAGCAGCAAAAGGGCCCATTAGCGAGGACCTGCCCCCAAACCAAGCAACTCCCCTTTTGCACTCTTAATGCGACGTCCAACCAAGAATCATGGGTGAAAAGCACTCCAGCGGCGTCAGCGTTGCTAGCCAAGCCGTCGGCGATATCTTGCAGCTCGAGGCGCAGGAGCAGCTGCGCAACGTGCAACGGCACCATCTCAATGACCCCAATCTGCCCGATGAGTTCATCGACGAGGTTGCCGACGCGCTGGCCTCGACGGACCCCAAGACGGTGATTGCCGAGGTCGAGCACATCCTCGAGGACTCGCCGTACCCCGAAGTCCGCGCCGCCGTGCGCATCTCCGACGAGGATGTGCCCGCCAACACGATCCGCGCCTGGGTCATCGGCATGCTTTTCACCACTGTCGGTTCCGGCCTGAACATGCTCTTCAGCATGCGCGCGCCTTCCATCACCATCACCACCTACGTGGCCCAGCTACTCTGCCATCCCGTCGGTGTCGCCTGGTCCTGGGCGCTGCCGAATCGTCAGTTCAGCCTCTTTGGCCTGAAGTTCAACTTGAATCCTGGCCCGTGGAACAAGAAAGAGCACACGCTCGTTGTTATCATGGCCAATGTCAGTTTTGGAGGTGGCTCTGCCTTCAGCACCGACATTATTCTGGCCCTGAAGCAATTCTACAAGCAGGATTTCGGATGTAAGTCTTCATTGACTAAACGAGTGACCGGCTCAAGTCTAAGTTGTCTGTAATTGCAGGGGGATTCCAGCTTCTTCTCACCTTTACCATTTCCATGTGCGGCTTCGGTATGGCGGGCTTGTTTCGTCGCTATCTGGTTGAGCCCGCCGCCATGATTTGGCCCACCAACCTCATCAACACATCACTTTTCTACGCCCTGCACGACCACTCCCCCTCCGATCCCGCCAGGACCAATGGCTGGTCTATTGGTCGATATAGGTGGTTTTCGTATGTCTGTCTGGGATCTTTTCTGTGGTACTGGTTCCCCGGTTTCATCGCGCCGTTCCTCAGCGTCTTCGCCTTTGTCACCTGGATCAAGCCCCAGAGTCCAGTGGTCAATCAGCTCTTTGGAGGCTGGACTGGTATATCTCTGATTCCAATTACCTTTGACTGGACCCAGATTAGTGGTTACACAACCTCGCCGCTCATTTTCCCGTGGCACGCCATTGCCAATACCACTGTAGGTGTTGTCATCTTCATGATGATTACCAACATTGGCATCCATTACAGCAACGTCTTCTACAACCTCTACCTCCCCATTAGTGACTCTGAGAGCTACGACAATACTGCTCAGCCTTATAATGTCAGCCGCGTGCTTACTCCAAACTACGAGCTCGATCTAGAAAAGTACCAAGCTTATTCGCCACTCTTTCTTTCTGCCACCTTCACCATGGCTTACGGCATTTCTTTCGCCGCCATCTCTTCATTGGTGGTCCACACCTTTCTCAACCACAGCAAAGAGATCTGGCTACGACTCACTACCATGGGCAAGGATGACGAAGACGTCCACACGAGAATGTATGCAAAGTACGATCCAGTTCCATTCTGGTGGTACGCCATCCTCTTCTTTTCCATCTTTGGCATGGGTCTCGGAACGGTTCTTGGCTATGAAACTCACATGCCTGCTTGGGGCTACATTGTGGCCATGGTTATTGCTTGGCTCTTCATCCTTCCTACGGGCATCATTCAGGGTGCAACCAATGTTCAGCTGGGTCTCAATGTCTTGACCGAGTTTATGGCCAGTTACATGCTCGAGGGCCGTCCCGTTGCCAACATGCTCTTCAAGGCTTACGGATACAATGCCTTGTACCAGGGTCTTGCCTTTGTCAGCGACATGAAGATGGCCATGTATATGAAGGTCCCACCGAAAACCGTCTTCATGGGCCAGGTTATAGCTGTGATTTGGTCTTCCATTGTCCAGATTGCCGTGTTGAATTGGGCGCTCGGTGCCATCAACGACATTTGCACAGCAAAGCAGGAGAATCATTTTACCTGTCCGGGTGCCAAGGTCTACTTCAACGCCTCTGTTATCTGGGGTGTCATTGGCGCCCAGCGCATGTTTGGCATCGGAGCCCTATACTCGTCCATGCTCTGGTTCTTCCTCATTGGTACCATCTGCCCGGTTGTGACTTGGTTTATTCTACGCCGCAACCCACGTTCTATTGTGCGCTTCGTCAACTGGCCCATTATCTTTGGTGGCGGTGGTATGATTCCACCCGCCACGGCCCTCAACTATCTTTCCTGGGCCTGGGTTGGCTTCTTATTCAACAAATACATCCGTAACAAGTACCGCGGCTGGTGGATGCAGTTCAACTACATCACCTCTGCCGGCCTTGATGTCGGCTTGGCGTTGAGCACCATCCTCATCTTCTTTGCCCTGAGCTTGTCGGGTACGGAGATGGCTCCCTGGTGGGGTTCTGTGGGAGCTCTGAATACCATGGATGTTCAGGATACTGCGATCATCAGGCCTCTTGCCGATGGCGAGAAATTTGGGCCCAAGACTTGGTAAATTGCAGAGTGTCATTCACGAACGTGTATGATTATATATAATGAAGATTAAGGCATACCACTTACGTAGTTTGTATCATTTTAAGTCAAAATGGAACTTATGCATTCATTTTTTTGTTCCTTTTTAATCTCCAGAAAAAGGCTGCGGGTGTCGCTCGAACCCCAGATGGCCTGTCGTCAATCCCTCGAACACCGACACTGTGACCCAGATGTTGATACCATCATACAAATAATTAAAACTCTGAACTTCATTAAAAACACTTTGGCCGAGTGGTTGAGGCGGTGTCTGCTAATACGCAAGTGTTATAAGAGAGACATTACATTCAAGTATGTAGATTTTAGACAGTAGTCTGAGTTATCGAGCCTGTTCTAATACGGATATAAAAAATAGTAGATATTTGTTTCCCCCATTTCTCGACTTACGAAAGTTTTCTGTCCAAATGATGTTGGTCATGCTGCCTCTGCTTCTAATATGGGTCAGCATGTTAGCCGGCGTGCGGGCTAATTAGTAGGGCCCCGAGTCTAGCCGTGACGCTATACCTAGCTAGCCAGGTGGTATTGAGGGTAAAGAGTGAGTGCTATGCCGGACGGAACACGACGCCGAAACTTTCGGGATTGATTTGGTAGCACAGGGCACAAACTTTTGTCCTAGGTAGGTCGCGGAAGCTGCGGCGGCGGGAGCCAAGGCTGAGCATATACAGAAACCATGCCGAGAATGACGAAGGACCTTTTGTGCATCTTACGAAGCAGTGGGGGGAGGAAGAGTCTGATAGTGATTGCCCCCACTGTCTTCATCTAATCAGGTGGTGAATTCTCACGATAAATACGGATAGTGTGGGTTTTCCGATCATCACGTCTTCCAGCTATCCCTGATTCTCAGTGACGCTTGCCCATGATGGGACCGAGAGCCTCATTGCCTAGCGGCACTGCATGTTTGCGCGCCGTCCAGTTTGGCCGGCCCCTATTTGCAGGGGCCTGTTGGCCGCGGTATATGTAGAGCCTGGCCTCCCACCCGAGACATGCCCTGAGATGTAGCCGGTATCTGAGAAGCTCAAACTTTTACTTGTTTGTTCTGTACAGAGAAATGAAGAGCCAATTCATCCTGAGTGGCCTCATCGGCCTGGCCAGCCTCGTCAGCGCTGGCCGAAGCAGCCAATCGGGCGACGCGTTCCTCCGCCGACACATGCCCGAGTTTCAGGCGGCGCACCACATGCGCCGTCGCGCGGTGGCCGCCGCCGAGCCCAAGAACCAGACCGGAGAGGTCCTGCCGCCGCGCTTCCGCGACAACGGCACCGAGAGTAAGTGACACTGCCAAGAGGTCGAGCCGCCCGTTTTGCGGGCTTCCCACCTCCGCCGCGAGACCGGGCTTGGCGGGCGCCACCGGCGTTGTCTTTGTCTCTCTCTCTCTCTCTCTTTTGTTCTCAACATTGTTTTTGCTAACCGGCTCTCGGGGCAGAATTCTTCGTCGACGGCAAGAAGCTGCCGCTGATCAACTGGGATGTTGGTGAATCCTACGCGGGCAACCTCCCAATCACGGACAAGAAGAATGAGACGAGCGAGCTCTTCTTCTGGTTCTTCCCCACTGCGACCAAGGAGTTCGTGGAGAAGAAGGAGATTGTCATCTGGCTCAACGGCGGTGTAAGTAAGAAGCGGGGAAGGACATGCGCGATTGGCAGAAGGCCTGCTGACCAAAGCGAAATAGCCTGGATGCTCCTCGCTGCTCGGATTCCTCGAAGAGAACGGTCCCATTTCCTGGGGCGAGGGCATGGAAAAGCCCAAGCGCAACCCATTTAGCTTTCATCTTCTGTCCAACGTTGTCTGGCTCGAGCAGCCCGTCGGCGTCGGCTTCACCAAGGGCAATGAGACCATTTACAACGAAGACGACATTGCCAAGCAGTTCATCGGCTTCTGGAAGAACTTCTCCAAGACCTTTGGCCTGGAGGGATGGAAGGTCTACATTGCCGGCGAGTCGTACGCCGGCATGTACGGCCCTTATCTCGCCAAGCACATGCTCGACCAAAAGGACAAGAAGTACTACGACCTGAGCGGCCTGCTCGTCTACGACGGCATCTCGTGGGGCGACGAGCTGCAGTCGTCGCCAGTCGCCTTTCCGTACCTGGACCAGCACTACAACCTGATGCCCGTCGACCAGCCTGCCTTTGCGAAGCTGCGCGACCTCGACAAGTCCTGCGGCTTCGCCGACTTCCGCCGCGAGTATTTTGTGTACCCGCCCAAAGGCCCGATCCCTAGCCCGTTGCCCCATGCCAAGGTGCATCCCAACGGGAGCTACGTCGACCGCGGCTGCGCCGAGATTTTTGATCTCATCTACATTGAAGCGCTCAAGAAGAACCCGTGCTTCAACATTTACAACATTGTGGACCGTTGCCCGGAGCGCAACGATCCGCTGTCCGGCAAGGACTCCTGGTTCAACCGCCGCGATGTGCAGTCGGCAATTCACGTCAAGCCGCACGTCAAGTGGGCGCAGTGCAAGCAGGTGTTCCCCGACGGCGTCGAAGACCAGTCGGAGCCCGCGGGTGTGCATGCTCTCCCGCAGGTGATTGAGCAAACCAAGAACGTCATCATCGCGGAGGGCACGAGCGATTACCTCTTGTCACTCAATGGCATCCTCTTAGGTATCCAGAACATGACCTGGGGTGGCAAGCTTGGCTTCCAGCAGGCTCCCAGCGACCCCTTTTACGTTCCCGCCTATGGCTACGACCCTGAAAAGATGTACGACGATGACTACGATTCCAACTTTTATGGCCACGAGCTCCCAGCCGGCTTCGGTGTCATGGGAACCTCTCACCATGAGCGCGGTCTCTGGTTTGTGGTTTCGCAGCTGGCCGGACATGAGGGACCCGAGTACACGCCTTCTGCGTCGTTCCGTATCCTGGAGAAGCTCCTGGGTCGCATCGACAGTCTGAGCCAGGTGTCCGCCTTTACTCTGCCCCAGATCAGCAACATTACCCAGCCTAAGGGTGAGCTGGGCAACGGCACTGTCAAAATTCCCTGCTGGACGAGAGATTGCTAAAAGCGTTCCAGTCGTCATCGACATCAGATGATGAGTGATCTAGACTCCCAAGTAAAAGTAGTTACTCTAACAGATTAAATGAAAAAAAAATGTCGACTCTTATTCAAAGAGCTTTGTGCGTACCCCAGTGCCATGATATTACTAATTTCTGTGCCGATCAGAAGCCTCAAAGATATCAGACAGCAGGCTATCAAAAAAGCATTGAGGCGATGGCTGGCTGCCTTTCCAGAGGTGGCTGCAACAAGTAGCTAGATTGGGTGCACACCTAACGAAAGCCAGGAGCCTCGTGTCACAGTCATATGTCCCAGCCACACCTTCTCTAGAAGGGCGGGCACAACCACCTGACGATAGCTAAGAAGGGAGGTGGGTGGTTACTTGCTGTTTTGGAGTTTCCCATCTCTCCCTCTCCTTCTTATTCTTGGTCTCAGTAAGCAGACTCCTTCTTCTGTAGGGAGGCTGGACATGATGACGTGAAGTATAGCGGAGTTCTGGCAGACAGTGTTTACTTGAATCAGTCTGGATCTGAGGCCGGATCGCACACGAAGGTACAACTCGGAGGCATAAGTAAGGCAACGAATCGGCAGAGGGACGGCACTGGAGAAGAAAGACGGGACGGAGGCGCACGGAGTAGGAGGGGCAAAAACAATCTGCATAAAATTCTGCCATGCAGAACATGCATGCGCCGGTAGTAGGATTTGTGCTCAGCGGGCGTGGTATGAATGATGATGCTTGTGCTGGCGATGATGATGTGTCGGCGAGTGTAGGAGAGACAGAGGCTGGCTGGGATCATAACAAGGCGATGGTGGTGGAGTCTGGGACAGCCGAGTAAAAGTACCTTGTGGGTGTATTGTTGGTGGAAAGAGTACTTGAAGAGGGGGGCCCTAAAAGGACGCGCAGCCGGCGGTGCTGCAGCCAAGTGGGGTGGCGTTTGAGGTGCGTCGGCCACTATTTATTATGAGAGTTGATGTATAGGTACCTAGCTATGTGGCCGAGACCACTGTAATCGGAATATTGTTAGCAAGTGATTTGGGTTATTGTTTTGATAAGACGGACGACAAAAAACCACTTGATATTGATTTACTGGTACTAAAATAGTGTCATATCCCTGTAGCTCCGTCAGTCCCCTGTCAAGCTGCGCGCAGGCCCAAGCCCCCTCCCATTGTTTACCAATACCAACCTACCCATGTTGCCATGCCCCCACCAATGTAGCGGGCCCCGTTGGTTACTGCGGCATCCAGCGCCTCGACCTTAGGATCCAAGCTACCTACAGGCAGGTTGGCACCTGGCTACCTTGCGCTACCTCATTCACGTTAGCTGCGACCACCATCTCACAAGCTTTCGTCGCATCGTTGCATCACCTGCGATTCAGACGCGGCGGGCTACGTCTTGCACTCCCTCTTTGTTGCCCTCCTCCTCCATCATCACCTATTATTACCGCTCATTTCATTTTTTTTTCGCTGTTCTTTTGTACATTACCGCTCGGCACAGACTCAACTCTCTGTACTCCGTACGAGCCCAATCGAATCCAACCTTGCACTTACATTGCATACATACCCACCTGGTTACACACACCTCCGTTTGTAAATAGCTGCAACCATCGACTTTCAGCCCATACTCACCGCCCGGCATTGCCCATATTGCGGCCCGAGCCTCCTTCACGTACACATATTCAAGTCAGAATCTCGTCTTTCTGAGCCTGTTTCTGGGCCTGCCCGCCGTTCTTGACGCTACAACAAAGAGGCTCCTCTGCCACCTCGGGTCTTCGTCCCTGGCCATGTTTAGGTAGCACAGAGTATCACTTTCTGCTCGCGGGATACTCAAGCATGCGGCTTTCTCCTACTCAAAGTACGCTCTTGACTCTTCCTCGTTCTCTGCTCCCAGTATCGCTGCTGCATTCGAGCGCATCGCTTTACGCAAAGCCGCCATTATGCTAATACCGCCACCTTGCTCAGGGAACAATGTCGTCTGAACCGTCCCCGAGCGAATCTGAACGGCCACCTCCTCCCACGACGCCGCGCAAGCCACGAAATCAAACATCCCTCGAGACGCCACAAGAAAAGATTCAACGCAACCCCGGAGATGCGCCTCATTCCGCTCCTGCCGCCGCCCAAGGGGGCAGGCGCCACGATTCCAAAAAATCGGAGCCTACTCTCTTGTCCGACTTCTTCCAAGGCAGACAAACCGCTGCCCGCGTTGCCGCTGACCGGAAACGACGTCAGAGCGTCGGCGCTGTCAAGGCGGAGTCGCGCGCCGCCATGCGCCATGAGATGAGGCAGAATTCAGTCCGCAAGCTGCAGCAGCCAGGCGGTGTCCGAGATCGCGTGCAGGTGTGGCAGCGCAAGCACGGTGCAACCATGGCCACATCCAACCCAAACTATGCAGCCACCGAGCCCGACGACGTGGCCTTTGACGGCGAGGATCTCGATAGTGTTACCGAGGAGGACCGTGTGAGGATCAAGATGCGATTGCGATCGAACCCACCCGTGCCCAAATTTGTGCCCAATACGCCAAAACACAACGACAATCCTGGTTCCTCTGGAAAAAACGATGGCACAGACGATGTCAGATCACCTGCCACGCCTAAGAAGCGTGTGGTGAGTGACTCAAATTGGATGCGTCAAAAATCGAAGAAGTCACCTTCGCGAAAAGTCTCGCCTTCAACTTCCAAAGGACCCAGTCCGCCAAAATCGAAAGCCTTTGTTTTGCATCCGATTCCAAATCCCCCCGTTTCCAGCAAGATCAAAGCCTGGGCAGCCAAGATCGAAATGCCAGACGAACACGAATCTGGTTCCCAGGTTGGCAGCGCCGCTAGCCGCTCGACGGCGCGCTTAAAACCGAAATACAAGCAGTTTGGCGACGATGATGGAATCCATGTCACTGGCTCAAATGATTCTTCAGTGATTCGAGACGATGGCATTCGCGTCCGTCCCACTACTACTGGGTCCGACATGTCTTTCCCAGGACAAACATATCGCCCACCGACGAGCCGGCGGAGCAAAAGTGTTGCGGACTCGTCACGGTCAGCATTGAGTGCCGGACTGAGCGACATCTCCTCTTCGTCCTCAGAAGGCACCAAGGAGCCTGTTCGTCGGCGGAGCAAGAGTATATCGGCCGACAATAAAGAGTCTACCAGTTATACACCAACCAAGACAAAGTCAAGGCGATCAGAAGCTAGAAAAGAGACGGCTGCTAGCTCATATCTATCCACGACAACGGCAGAAGCGGATACATTGTCACACCTTGGCGATGAAGGGTCCAATCTCAGCAGCTCGCTGCGGCCTGACTCTGATCTTGATTCTAGACTTACCTCGAAGACCCTTGCCGATATCCCTGGCGATATCCCTTTTGGTCATTCTGCTTTCAGCGAGCTCGATCTCTCTGGCAGGTATCGGCCCAAGAAGCTTAACGTTGACCGCAAGACAAGCTTCAAGGGAGTCCCTCATGTCTTCAGAAAGGTTGTCGAGGAAGGAAAGAAAATGATGAAGGATATGAATGAACCACCCCGGCCACAAGGTCCAAACAAACCCCCGAGCATTGAAAAATGGCTCAACACGACTGTTGATCCATTCATTGAGACTCCAAAAGAAGTACCGGCGCCGACCATCAAGAGGCAACACCTGGTTGAAGAATCCGTTGTCACAGAGGAAGCTGCCGTTTCAAGAACGTCAATGCCTTCACTACGGAAGGAAGCTCCTGCCAAATCATCCAACGCACCCAGCTCCAACGACTTGACTAGCACGGGCGAAGCTTCTGAAGATCATACAAGAGCCCACACACATCGCAGGCGACGCGCCCATACCGTTGGATCGCAAAGACGCCACTCGAGCAGAGATGCTGCATCGGAACAGACCTCAGATGTATCTACAGCTGTCACCGATGAAACAGCAACGGAAACTCTGGAAGGAAAGAAGGATCCTGAAGAACAGGCAAAGGACGTTGGCGCCAGAGGAGAGAGCCCCATGGAGCTGAAGAGAACACGGGCGAAGCGAGCAACGTCCTCGCCCCTTAGAAACAAGAAAGACTTTCTCGGCATGTTTAAAAATGCTCTCTTAGGAGAGTCTGCAGCGTTTTCTGGGACTGGCAAGGCGTATCGGACCGAAGAACCGCAACAACATGAACTCTACGATCAGGAATGTAGCGATGACTACACCGAGGGCTCAGCTCTGTCTAGCAGAGATTCGCAGTCACAGCTCACGGATTCCACTGCCAGTGGTCATCACACCAAATCTCATAAAATGACCGCCCCTAGGAACCCCCCTCCTACCAAAGGGAATTACGAATTGTCGACGATTGTGTCCGATGACGGATCTAGTGCCATAAGCTCAGCGCTTACAAGCTCCGATGCTACGTCTCGTGTCACACAATCTACCGGGACTGAGTCAACTGTCATGTCCAAGTCTAGTCATGCCTCTCTCAAGAAGAAAGATGGCCTGACGAAAAGGCGCATTACTAGCCATTCTGATCTCATGTCAGTTCTGTCGCTACCGGATCAAGCTTCTGTTCCCCAAAGCATGAAAACCCGATCCCGTCCCAGCCTCCGCCGAAAGCACGGCATCCCAGCCGGCTTCTCTGAAAACGATCTCTTGCAAGAATTCGAAGATGATGAGAACCTATACAACCGAGAGCTCAAGACTTTGGTCGACGGCGTGATTCCTGTTCTTCTGGGCGATGTCGTGAACAACAGCGACGCAACGGCCCTCTTTTCAACTGGCGGTGGCAGCCAGGCTGATGCAACCTCCAGAGCTGTTGTTGGCATGGGTGTGGCGCTTGAAAAACTTAAAAACGCCCATAAAAAAGCACCTCATCAAGACATTCGTCGCCTAGCTCACTGGGCTCATGGCGTCGTACCCATGTACAACAGCTATCTCAGTGCTTGGAGACTTGGCTTTCAAGATTTGGTCGTGAACCTTGCCCCGGCCACTGGTCGGCTCGAAGAAGAAGACTCACTATTAGATGCGCTCCCGAGAAACGAAAATGGCGATATCGTCAATGAGAAGGGAGAGAGCGTGGCCGTCGGTTATCTGCTGAAGCGGCCTTTAGTCCGCATAAAACACATGACAAAACTTATCAAATGCATCGATAGCATTATTGACAGTCAGGATACAAACCAACTCCTGCGCGATTTCGAGAACCTCCAGGACAAGTCTCGACGCCGCCACCGTGAAGAGACAGCACGAATCGAGGATGAAGATGCTATAAATACTGATGTCACCAGGTGTCGAGACCTCAGGACGTTGGGGGCCGTCACGCCTCCTGTCATCGACGCCAGCTTGCAGGTCAATGCCAAGGATACGTTCTCCCTGTCTTTGGCCCACTCCAACGGGCAGCGCTTGCAGTGCCGAGTCGAGCTTGTCTACCGTGACAATCCTTTACAGCCCAATCAGCCAGGCGATTTGCTCATTCGAGAACCTGGTGACAGTAAAAAGGGCAGGAACTCATATCTCCTATTTCCACCATTTCAGATGCGTTTTTGCTCTGCCAGGACTGGCGATGGCCATTTCGACATGGTCATTATGCTTCGAGGTCATCACCATAACCGCACTTGGCATGAACTACTGTTCTTGACGGCCAATGACGAGGACCAAATACTCGACTGGCTAGATCTCCTACCGGTAAACCCAGTACCACCAAGAGAGCCTGAACCAAGCGTCGTTGGCGATGACGAGCCAGATAACTCACGCGACGTGCCGGTCGGTGTCGCTAGACCAGTTACCCAACGTGGCCCCGAGTTTTCAGATCCTGCTGTCCGCACAGCTAGAGCGCAATCACCTCTTATCAGCACTTACAAGAAACCTCAGACACCTTCAGAACAGAAAGCTGATGCCGGCCACGATGAGAAGAAGCTACGTTCGTCTCCAGAGAGCGGCCAAGACCAAGCTCCCGCTCCACCCACCTACAACGTCATGAACTGGGATGATGGCAGCTACCAAGAAGAAGAAAATTTACTACCTCAACCTCTCAATATCAAAAAACCATCCCCCTCGAGAATTTCGCGAGAAAATGGCGCTCCTCCTCCCCCAGTCCACCGCACTCTTCCGTCGACGACAGACCAGCAACAGAAGGACATCAACCTCCTTGTACCGCCAGAGCCAACTGAGCGAGTTAAACGGCGTAGATCATCGCCGCTCAAACATGAGTACCTACCTTCGGATGCTTCCTCGGGCGGATCGAGCAGCCCAAGTCCCGAGCATTCGGATGATGAGTCTTCAGACGATGATCTCGATAGTATGGACATACCAGAGACTGAGCTTGGTGTAAGCATCCCCAAGGAGTCTCATCAACCCTCATTGGCTCAGCCAAAGATTGAAAGCCTGCTATCTCAGTCGGAGTGCAGTGTTTCGCCATCCAATTCGGCCTCGCAGGCTTGTGGAGTTTATCCTCCACGAAGCACTACCGAACAGCACGGCAGTACTACTCGCTATATGGCATCACTCTCACGATGGTCCGATCGGGGAGCATGGAAGGACCTGAGCCCGCAATCCTGCGCAATCGTTGTCTCTGCTGGTATGGTAGAGGCCTATGCTCTCCGCGCTGCTGGCGGACGGGTCGAATCCATCAAGTTAGACGAGCAGCCGCTGATTGCTCTCGACCTAACACCACTTGTGCTTGTCAGACAAAGTACGGCTTTAGATCTGGAAGTCAGATCGTCGGTTCAAATGCACTCGCGTCTCTACGAGACGTACAATGGCGGCAATTTCCGCTTCCGATGCCACAGTGCCCCGGAGTGCTTTGCACTGTACATGGCTGTTCATCAAGCACGCCTCAGCAATCAAAAATTCATTCAGTTGGAGAATGAAGCGCGCTTCAGAAGTTTTGGAGAGAGACATGACGTCGAGGGAGACGATCGAGCCGGACGGCGTCGTAGCTGGTTCAGCCGCAAGAATAGCTATCGTAGCTCGCCAAGAGGCGCAGCTCGCTCTCAGGACGGCGAGAGCGCCGCACACTCATCGACACCGTCCGCAACTAGCTTCCTGAAGCGCCTCACCCAATCCAGCAATTCTGCTTTCAATCTCGAGCATTCAACAATCGACAGGCACAGCCGTGGCGGTAGCGGCAGAAATAGTCTGTATACATCTGGCTCATCTTCGGCGAGTGGCGGCGCGTCGCCCCGCTCCCCATCTGTCAGTACCGGCCACGCAATGAGACAACGCGGCCCTATGGATGCTGAAAACATTCAAATTCGACTCCATCTTCTCGTCTCATCTACGAAATGGGAAGACTGTGGTAACTGCATTCTCAAGATTCGCACACCGCCCGTTGGTTGGCACCAAGCTCTCCTTGCCGATCACGGGCTCGAGAAGCGCATCACCGTTTTATCGCAACCAAAGAAGGAGGATGAAGAGCCCAAAATGCTGCTAGATGCGGTCCTGGGAAGTGGTTGCTTCTCTGCCATGGGTAGTCGCGGAATCGTCTGCGGCATCTGGGAAGAGGTCCAGGGGGCCGACGGTGTGGTTGGCACGGTTCCTGCGAAGAGTAACCCTGGCGGCAAGATTAGGAAGTGGTGTTTCCAGCTGTCAACAGCTGCGGAAGCCAACTGGGTGCTGCGGCTGGTGCACCAAGAAGTCGTACGTGCATAGTACGCTTATAAGCGTGGCAGCAATTATTGCTGATTACCTTTTTGATGGCTTTTCTGGTTCCGTTTTTGTTGTCATTGACCTGCGCGCTATGATATCCCGCACATATTTTTATTCGTTGTTTCTATTGCTTTCTGTCATTTGCGCGAGGACGATGTCATCGGATTGATGTCGCAGTTTCTACATACAGGTGGACATATGGGAGGATGTTTGGACGCTACGGTGTCTTTGCTTTAGCGTGTATAGATGTAATTGGACAAGGAGCAATATTGGTTGTGTATACTTTAGAGTTGGGGTTAGATGGAAAAGATGACGATGTATAGGTAGTGAGCGAATGAGCTGTTAATATAAGATGTATCTATTCGGTCTTGGCCGTCGAATGCTTCGCCCGCGTGATTGACCTCTGTTTCGAGTAATTTGTTGTTAATTTGATAGGCTTGGGGATCCTCCTCTGTAAATTGCATTGTAGTGGCCATTTCAATTGTTTCCGTCCATGGTCGTTGAGCAAGCACAATGTGCTTGACGGTTGCTGGTCGTCGTCTTCTACTTACCCACAAGTTCCACCAATGTTCATCCCACTTCAACAACGGTTTCCCCCTCTTACCTCTCATCTTGGCCCATCACTTTTATATTCGCCGTACACTACCCAAAAAAAAACAAGGCCAAGGACCGAGTCCCTTCTCCCCCCCTCCTCCATTCCCACGTCTCATCTCTCTCCTTACAACCCGCACCCCGTGCGCCCCTCCCCGCCCCCTCACCATGGTCCTGCCACTCGAGGTCGCCGTCTTCAACACCTCCGACGCACTCAACGCCAGCCACCACGGCGCCGCCCGCGTCGAGATAAACGCACCCGACAGCTACTCCCTCGGCGGCCTCACTCCGCCTGCCTCTCTACCCGCCCCCTCCGACCTGTCGATCCCCGTGCGGGTCATGATCCGGCCGCGCGGGCCTCCGCCCTCCGGTCCCGACTTTCTCTACGCGCCCGCCGAGATTGACGCCATGCGCGCCGATATAGCGCGCCTCGTGCCGGTCATGCACACCAGCCGCGGCGACGGCTTCGTCTTTGGGGTGCTGAAGCGGAAAGGGACAGAGGAAGAAGAAGAAGAAGGAGAGGAGCATCTCGAAATCGACGTGGAGACGTGCGCGGAGCTAGTGCGCCTCGCGCGGCCGTTTGAATGCACGTTTCACCGCGCGTTTGACTTGGTGCGCAATGTGGACGAGGGCGTCGAGGCGCTGATTCGGTGCGGCTTCGCGGGCGTGCTGACGGCGGGCGGAAGGGCCGAGGGCGGGTGCGCGGCGAACCTGGACAGGCTGGAGAGCATCTGCGACCGCGTCGCGGGCAGGATGGAGGTGGTCGCAGGCGGCGGCGTGCGGCACCACAACGCCCGGGCGCTGGCGGCGAGGCTGGCGAGGTACCAACGGGTGTGGTTGCACACGGCGGCCATGGGCGTGGAGGGGACGACGATGGATAAAGACGAGCTGATTCGATTGACAGAGGGGCTAGCGACTTGAGTGTTAAAACAACGGGTTTTGCATGGGAGGGTCATGGACGAACAGTCACACAAAACACGCCTCGAATTGTATATATGGAGACATTATTTGCATGGAAACACCAAACGCAGTCTATTGCTTCAACCAATCCGTTTACGCCCCCCCTCAACCCCTATTTATACATCAACTTATGTTGTTTTCGTCAAATTATATACATCATAATGATATTGGGCGACACAGCACCGAAAATGAATTCTTGCATTTCATCATCCACCTCGTCCCATCTACGGACTGGGGTGAGGCACGGCGCAGCCAGCCGGGCTGGTGTGAGCGGGGTCGGGCTTGACTGTGCTGGTGCTATTGCCGCCGGGACGGGGTGGTGTGCCGGGCTGGTGGCGGGCAAGACCTAGGCACGTAGCAATCTTGTAAAAGACATCGACGTTGCCGTAGGTGCCGCCAAAAATGTCTTGACAGGGACCCCAGGCATAGACGGGGACATCGGTCAGGGAGTGGACACCAACGGCCTCGTCCGTGTGAAAGGTGCCGTTGACGACGAAGCCGTCGGGGCTGTCTTTAGGGTTGAGGTAGTACTCGTCGCCAATCTTGACGGCGGGGATGCGCGGGCCCTCCTTGTGGACAGCAAAGTTCTCGCGGATGTCGGGGTGCGCGGCGACACCACCAGCAATGGCGTAACGAGGCTCCCAATTGGTAGGAAAGTTGGCGCCAGTGCCGTATGTGACGCCGTCGGCCTTGTGATACTGAGAAAGACCAGACTTTTCGTAGGTGCCAATGGCACGGCGCTTGCCACGCTGATCAGGCTGCTCCTTCAGGTACTTGGTATCGGCAGAACCGTAGACACTGCAATGAATTAGGAATTGACTCTGATTTGGTGGGATAGGATAACTTACTCGAAACCGTGACCGTGGTCAGCGGAGACGAGGACCAGAGTCTCGTCACGGATTCCGAGCTCCTCGAGCTTCTTGATGGTGGCGGTGATGGCGTCGTCCATTTCAAGGAGATCACCCAGGGCGCGGTCATAGTCAAGAGTATGCATCTGCTTGTCAATGGAAGCACCCTCAGACATGAGGAAGAACCCCTTCTCCTTGCCACGCGTAGCGAGAATCTCGACAGCTTTGACGGACATCTCCTTGAGGCCAGGAATATCAGTAGCAGAGCTGTTTTTGCCAGAAGGGTCGTTGGTCAGATTCTTGATGTTGTCCTTGTACACGTTGCGGTCCAGCCAGACGGGAAGGTTGCTCTGGCAAAAGACACCGAGAGCAGGCTTGCTGTTGTCGGCAGCCTGGAGGGCAGTGTTGTTGAGGCTGACGGAGTAGCCCTTCTTGAAAAACTCCTGATAATAATCCTTGCCCTTGTAAGAGCCCTTGCCGGCGATGAACTGCTCGGCGCCGCCGCCAAAGAAGACGTCGGGGCCCTTATTGGCAGTCCAGGTCCAGTTGGTGACACCGTTGAGAGCCTGATCAATGAGAGCGCCGTACTCGGCACGCTTGCGGGTGTGGCCAGTGAGGGCAATCGGAGTGGCATCAGCAAGGAAGGCAGTAGAAACGGCACCCCATGCGCCGCCCTGACAATGTTAATATTAATAGTCTGTTGGAAAACATGGACAGGCTTACCCAGACACGCTGAAAGATTTCAACAATGGTCTCAACCTTGGGGTCATCAAAAGCATCAGGCGAAGAGTCAACGTGGACGCTAAAGCTGGTTAGCTATATGGAATGCCATGCATTGAGAAAATCCCTACCCCATGGCGTTAACAGTGCTCTTGTGGCCACAGTAGAGAGCAGAAGCAGAATTGGCAGAGTCGGTAATGTAGGAGTCGAGGGAGTGAGTCATTTGGTGACCGATAACAGGAAACTCATCCATCTTGAGGACGGACTGATACTTTCCGTTGATGCTCTGGTGTCCCAGCAGACGGGCGGCGGTGATCTGGGGCATCTGTCAGCTCTGCGCCGTTGCGCGCTGTGGCTAGTACTTACCATGTTGGTAGTCATACCATCACCAATGAAGAAGACGACGTTCTTGACCTTGCGCTCCTTTGAGATGTCGCGAACAAGCCAGTTGGCGGTGGTCTTGCTGCCATTGTAGTAGTCGAGGGTGACCTTGTACTTGCCGGGTTCGTAGAGGGCAATGCTGCGATAGGCCTTGGCGGCGACGTTGACGACGGAGGGGGTTTTGGCATCCTCAGCGTAAAGATCCTCATACCACTTGAACTTCCACTTTTCGAGCTGGGGCTCGGGGATGTTGAAGGCTTTGGCAAAGTCCTTGGGCTGCTCGCCCTCCTTGGTGATGGTGACCTTGAACTTCTCGTCGGGCTTGCCGTCGTGGGCAGCCTCGGAGCCGTTGACGGGAGCGTGAACCTCGACGCGAAGATCAAAAAGCTGGCCGGGTAGGAAATCGCTTTGATCGGGGGGTAGAACGCAGCCAAGATCGGGGCAGCCTCCGAGACGCTGGAATGTCTGCGCAGAGACCTGGCCAATGACGGCGGCCGCAATGAGCGCGGTGGCTGTGGTAGACTTGGCAAGCATAGTAACGAAGCTTCCGATTAAAGAAAAGAAATAACCAAATTGACTTCCTCGCGACAAGGCTTGGACCAAAGTTGACAAAGCTTGGAAGCCAGCTTTGTGAAATGAGGAGGGACATTGCTTTTTATATGCTTGGCGCAGCTCTCTTCTCGGCGATGACTGCCACGTTTTCCACGACCTGGGCCCTGATCCGGGTGCCGTACGGTGAGCTAGCGACGCTAGTTGGGAACAAAAAAGCCATCAAAAGTTAGTTGCAGGGAGCTTGGTGTAGCAAAGATCAGCACGTTGACAGGCGCGAGGCTACTGGAGAGTCTTGGCCAGTGGATGCACTGTCAAATAGCGTCATGCTGCGATAAGCAGGAGGCTGTGGAGTGAGTGTAAAATTGTCGTGCGATATTGCTCTTTCTCCTCCCGATGTGTAGGTAGATTGTTGCGTGCTCTGCTCCCGCGGTCTCAACGCAAGGTCACTTTGTTGGACAAACCCTTCACCATCAAGCAAGACAGCCACGTGCGTGCGCCACGCCCCATTTGGTCGATGTTGGTATTTAGTGCGGGCTGGATATCTGGGGGAGTGGAGAGGAAGGATTAATGCAGAAACGAGAGTCGGCAAAGGCCGTTACTTTGCATACCTAGCGGCTGGATGTGATGTTGATGCGAGGATGCAAGTGGTCGTTGTGGCTTTGGCTAGAACAAGGCTACGCAGGTGGTGGCAGCAGCTGGACCAGTACCTATATTACAGGGCTCTGCTGTACAGAGTATAGGTACATACCTAGGTAGGTACCTACATAGGTACTCAGGTACCTAAGGTACTTTAGGTAATAAGGTTAACCTGTACGCTTGTCTTAGCGGCTCCACAGCGGCCGGCCCTTGGCGTCTTCTCACAGATGCGATCCACGCCTCGTGCGTCAAAACTGGAGCGTCATTGGCGCGCGAAAATGTCATGAAGGTGGGTGTTTGTGAATTGGATTCTGGCTTTGCAATCGTTCCAATTTTGGACTTTTTATTCCAGGTCGGTATCGGGCTTTCGGTGCAACATTTGTACTTCGTAGACAAAATGGAGAGCCGTTGCAATGGCCAGCACTAGAGTCATTAAAACGAGTACAAAACGAGTAAAGAGACTCATCTGAACAGGGTCACAAACTGACAAAAGCCGCCTTCCAAGTTGGAGATGAAAACGGGGTGATGATCCATCAGCAACCAAACTACGCCTCTGCCAGCGCTAGTCATGAGCTGCATCAATTATCATTTCATTGCCGCAGTGACATGGTCTTTGCATTGCATGGCGTTATATCCACAGCGCACAAGTTCTCTTCATTTCGCTAGTCTGTCCGTTTCGGCGATCGAGCAGAAGTCGTTCGTCATGCTTCGTCGACTTACTGACCCTTCCAATTCTGGCCAGGGTGGAAGCCGCCGGGCCACGTTCTCTAGTACTGATCTGGAAAAAGTAAGATTCAGTCAACAATTCCAGAGTCGAGAAACGACACCATTAATCAGTCTAGCACGTTGCCGCACTCCAATTAATTACACGGCTTTCCATACATGGTAAGCGTAGAATACGGCCCGGAACGACCAATGTAACGCTAGGAACGTGGACGCGCCTAGGGCTCGGGATGCCGACTGGTTGTTCATCCAGTGACTAGATCCCGAATTTTCATGTCGAGAGAAACCTACGTATTGCTGCCAGCCAGCTAATGCCAACGATGGACCCAGCACCCACGTGCTGATGGACCTGCGTACCATGGACCTAAACACTCGGAGACCAACGGGCTCTTCGATGGGGATTTGCGTCCTACTTGATACCCAAACCTCCATGCCAACTTGATAATGGATCTTCGGAACCATCAGGCGTCTTTTGGTCTCCCTATTCGACTTGCGAGAATGTCATCTCGTCACATCGCACATTGATGCTTCGATTGTGGCTTGAACTCGATACAGCCCCCTGCTATTATCGCCACATTTGAGACAAATAAGCAAAAAAGTTGGAAACTGACTCTCGAGACCATATGATCTATACCTCTAGTTCGATCCAAGAATCTCCACCTCGGGCTTGAGTATGACCAAACGAGGTTCGGCTACCTGCGCATCCACTGCTTCTTATTTCGACTGCGAGACGCCGCGGACCATCGAATTGTTAGCCAGATATATATTATTCAGCTTCAAATATAGTCTCATGCTGCATCTGGAGATAGCCACCAGGCTTACACGTACCAGCCCCGTCAGTACGGGCTTCATAATGGCAATGTGTACTGCCGCTCCAGCTCCATTTCAATATATCAACTCCCAATCGTCTTTTTGCCCCGATCGTGATATCGTTGTTCAGTAGTTGTCTACTCGCGCTTATCTTGTAAAAGGTCACGATGAAGGACAACCTTACGCCAAACCACAGCTCCGCCAGTGGCATCACCCAGAAGACCACGAAGAAAGAAGTCGGAGGCCCTCAAGCATTAATTTACGGGAAGAAGTTTTGTTCGGGGATTGTAAGTAGAGGCCGAGGTTGCTCCTCAAGTATATGCGAGACAACCTACATCGCATATTTCCAAAGCTATGGTAATCGAATAACCTTGTTTCCTTCTTGAAAAACGCATGTGATAAAAACTTCAGTGATTTGTGAGATTCAGACTGTCATAATCTTCTCAGCTGGAAGCGACCGTGGTAATGTCATGCCTTGTCTCAGAAATCGCCACTCATGAGCACATGATCAGCTGGGGGCTACGGACCCCAGGGACTACGCTCTTGAATCCCAGTATTCTCTCGGTTGGTTGTTTGGTTGGCGACATCATCTTCTTCCGAGCTTCGGCCCGACTCCTCATATGCACGGGGTAATAATGGGGCCCTTGCCGTATTCCCAAAGCCAACTCGATTTGCTGCAGTCGCTGCACTGGTGGCGGAAGCATAGTAGTCTTCGAGCAGCAAGTATAAAATCTATATCAGCGTTTCATGTTAGTCAGTCGTAATGTCCACCACGAAAGCAGACATACCTTGATCAGACCACTGATCATTAAGACTCCAAACTCGACCCCAGATGCTCTTTGTAGCGTCGCCCGGAAGGGTTGATTGCAGGCAATTGTTCTGCCATACATTTCCTCGCAGCTGCGGGCCGTTTCATGGGTCGGAAACGGCCATGCTCTGTCTCTGACTGTATTGAAACCGCAACAATCGAATGCATCCTGTATACGACGGATGGTCTGAGCATCATGGCTACTGAAAATGCGTTGCCAAACAGTCGAAAGCAAGCAATCGCGTGCGTCAGAGGATGGGATGTACGAGAAGAAGAGCGTCGCCAATATAATCGTCGCCACACCCTGAGATAGCCACACCCCACGGCCAATCGCTCTGTACGCACGGGTTTCCTTAGCCCATCGGTAGTAAAAGGTTGAATCGATCAAGGCGAATAATAAAAGGAGAATAGTGCTAATGGTAAGCTCAGAAATGGGTAGTGACAATTTGGCGGATGAGATGTGCTGATATCTTGCACAGATCAGCATAACATCTGAGGATGAGGGAAAGGCAACAAACATGGCTACACCGATGAGAAGAGGCATCGACTAGACTGAGTTAGCAAAGACGAGGCAATTTGCGTAGCGGGGCTCTATTGCATACCAATATGTAAGCAACGAAGAAACTTGTTCATTTTGAGTTCGAGGCCTCGAAAGGACGAGTGCGGCAATGTGGTACTCCAAGTGATGACAGCGGGATCCTTTTCTTAATGTTGTGCCGGTTTCTGAACATCCCCGCTTTCACCGTTCACGACGGCAAAAGAAAGGTACACCTGTCATGTGACGGACAAAGTGCAAGGTGGTACGTGGACGCTACCTAGGTAGGAGTGGACGGCTGGCCATGTACTTGCTAAGAAGGGAGATTCTTCTGCTTCGAGTCAACATTAACAGATGCAGTGCTTTTTGGCTCTCGCATCCCTCTTTCTCTGACAGCCAATCATCCCTGCTGTAAGAGCTGCTTAGCCACGGAGAATATGCAGTCGAGGATCAAGATAACACCATTGACCGGTCTACTAACTGCACGAGGAACAGCTTCTATATTCTTCCGCAGGTATTCGTAAATATCAACGTCCTTCATGTAAATGCATGGGCACACCACAGTGCACACTAACCCTGAATTAATAGCGCCAAACAACGGACGGTTCAGGGCGCCCCACCCACTAACAGGCCGCCGATGCTACCAGGAGAAAATTCGAGACTGCATTCCTCCAACAATCCCTGTTCCTGTCACCAACCCAGCCCTAGCACCACCAACAATGAGCTCTGCGGATGGCAGTCGGACGGAGGGTGTAGAAATGGCTGCTGCGCGAACGCTCTTCACATCAGCGGCCGTCGAGGGCGCCACTGCCCGGCTCGGCCGTCTGGCCCTGCCGGGTCGTGCCGCCTTTGACACGCCCAACTACACGTCCGTCGCAAGCCGCGGCGCCGTGCCGCACCTGACCCCGGATAACATGACGAGACACATGTCGCCGGGCTCTACATATATGGCCCTGGAAGATTGTATGTTGATTCTTCCTGCTCTTCATCGTGAGTGGAGGCCCACCGCTAACGTGAGGGTGTCCGCGCAGTTATTGAGAAAAAGCAGCCTCCAATCTACAGGATACCCGTGAGTCGGGAAAATAGACTGCACAGCTTCACTGGTCTGCCATTGTGCAATACCACAATCCTGGCAGCCAGGCGCAGCCAGGCCGTTACCACACCCATGGGAAACACGGCCAAATCGGTCACGCTCTTCACCTCGACAGGATTCCGGAGCCTCACCATCCCAGAGTACGTTGAGGCCACTGCCCTGCTGAGACCCGACATTGTCGTGCCCTTGGCCGATTTGTTTCACATCAGCACCACGCCGCCATCCAAGAAACTGGTCCGCATGGTGGACAGGACAGAGGAATGGGTCGACCAGTTTCTCGAGGCGACAGCACCAGAGCCAAGCGCGGCGCGGCAGAGTGCCGTGTTCGCGCCAGTATTGGCTGTAGAATACCCGCTGCAATGGGCCTACCTTCAACATCTCGCAGAGGACGTCCTCGAGTCTCTGTCCGGTCTTGCTCTATACGACACACAGCTCCTGACTGATATCATACCAAACTATGCACCGCTTCGCAAACTACCACGCCTATCCTTGGACCCCCCCGAGACGCCCCACGAAGTGCTGAAGCAGATCGCCCTCGGCGTCGACGTCTGTGTCCTACCCTTCATCAACACCGTCTCCGACGCGGGCGTCGCCCTCACCTTCACCTTTCCTGCAACTTCCTGCTCCTCTGCCTCTGCGCCGCAGCCACTCGGCACTAACATGTGGTCTGAGGAGCACGCGACAGCCCTGCAGCCGCTGCGCGCGGGTTGCAAATGCTACGTGTGCACTACGCACCACCGCGCCTACCTGCGGCATCTGCTCAACGCAAAGGAGATGTTGGGCTGGAGCCTGCTGCAAATACACAACCACCGCGTCATGGACGACTTCTTCGAAGGTGTTCGCGCGGCGCTGCGGGACGGCACTTTTGGTGTCGCGGCGGAGCGGTTTGCGCAGGTGTATGTGGCGGCCTTCCCCGACGGGACGGGGGAGAGGCCGCGGGCACGGGGACACCATTTTAAGAGCGAGTACGGCCAGAAACAGATCAACAAGACAACGTGGGTCGATGTCGAGGCGACGCTGGCGGTGCAGGCCGAGACAGAAGCATAAATGAGCACGGATTGTGGTATGCTGGTAAACAAACGATACTACTCAGCACTGATGCATATATGAAGGAAGGGTCTTGATATGTGAGTTGATCATTATATTGCTATGTAATTGGCCAGTATCTAGAACGGGCTATTTAGGTACTCATGGGCGGCAGAATGCATACGGATCAGCTTCTCTTAAATTTCAGTCAAAACTTGCTACACTTCTAGATGGAGCAACTTGTCACGCAGCTTAGCAGCTCACGTCCTTTCCGAATGAAGTCTTTGAGGCATCCCGATCGCTGGCCCACTCGGAGCACAAGATTGAGCTGCAGCGCAGAGCACAATTGGGGGAACATCAAAGGAAGAATATGCTATCTAAACTTAGAAGTAGAGAAGGAATTTTTTTTGTCAACCGGACATTCTCGAAACATCGGGGTAACTATGCATGCCAATATTGAAGCACAGACCTGCGCCAAGAGACGTAATTAACACATCGAGAACAGGGCAAAAAAAGAAATTATCCCCGGTGTCTCTGGCCGGTCGCGCTGCTCCCCTGGTCTAGGCCGCACTGCCGCAGACGTTGTCTCAGAGAGGTGCCGGAATTAGAGACGAAAATGTCTGAGGATCCCAGCGAATCTGCATGCGACGAGTGAGTCACATACTGATAGATGGTTCATGTCGATGAAGACGTAAGAGATTGATGGACCTGACAAAAAGAACATCGACGAAATTATCCGAGAAAATTTGTCAGAACATATATCTTGTTAAGACGAGTCTGAGCTGACGCGGACACACAAGTGATAAGCCCCACTGGCCAAGCTTCCGACTGGACCAACCGTTCCGTTTGCCCCCCCACAGCAGCGACGGGTCAGCCAGCCAGGCCCAACGATTGTAACTTCGCCATCTAAACCCCAAGATAGAAAAGCACCAAAGCAGTTCTTGGACTTTTGTCCTTGACGAATTGCTTCCCCCTTCCCTAAGCATATTTTATTAACCCTTCCTATCGCTCTGTTGCTGTCTTGCTTTGCTCACACGCCATGGCCGCATCATGACCGATGAGCCTGACGACGAAAACAGACCGCTAATGGCCACCCACGACCATATTCACGGCGCCGAGGAGCGCGGGCGCAGGCGCCCCGACGACGACGGCACAAACAAAAATACCATGACATCTACGACTGCCACGCCCGAGGATGGCTCGTCCAGTGTGACATCTGCTCTCTATCACGACAATAGCGACGACACGCCGACTCCACGTTTCATCCAAGATCAACAGCAACAGCAGCGGGATGCCGGCGATGCTTCTTCTCAGCGGAGCCATCACCACAAGTGGCCGAAATGGGTGCCGTATTCCGTCGAGCGCACCGGCCGCGCCATCGCACGCTGGTCGCGGGGGCCTCCCAACGCTCAGCCCTACCGCATCAGGCCCATCTTCCCCGCTGTCCAGGAGTTCCCGCTGCGCGTCCTCGACAGGCTGCTACCGGGCCGCCGGCGCCGCCGCTGGCTGCTGTTCTTCTACCTAGCCATATGGGTCGTGGCGTTTGCGCTCATTAAGCGCCAGGAGACACTCGCGGGCAACATTGCGGACTGGGGCCGGCCCAAACCCATTGGCTGCGGCGCGGCCTACTTCTCGCGCAGCAACATCTGTGGCCTCGACGGCAACGACTGCCGGCCCTTCAACGGCAGTGCCCTACCGTTCCGCTGCCCAGGCAACTGCGCCAGCTACCGCGTGCTGAACCCGCGCGCCGTCGGCGACCAGGAGGTCATTTACCGGCCGCTGATTGTGGGTGGGCCCACGACGGATCTCGAGCCCGAATTGGCGACATATCGCGGCGACTCGTACATTTGCGGCGCGGCTGTGCATGCGGGCGTCGTCTCCAACACCAACGGTGGCTGCGGCGTGGTGAAGCTCGTCGGCCGCCAAGAAAACTTTGTCTCGTCGGTCCGCAACGGTATTACTAGCGTGCCGTTTCACTCGTACTTTCCGCAGGCGTTTCAGTTTATCAAGGTCGACTGCCACGCCACCGACGCCCGCTTCTCCATTCTCGCGCTGTCCGTCGTCTTCACCGCCGTGCTCGGCCTCTTCACCTCGTCGCCCGCCGCATTCTACTTTCCAGCATTCATCGGCGCCTTTTGGACCGTGGGCATGGCCACGGACACGCCATCCTACACCACCGTGGCGGCACTCTTCTCCAACATTCTCGGCAAGTTTGTGCCTGCCATGTTTGCCGGCTGGGTCATGTACGACAAGATGGGTGTGCGGCGCACCTTGCAGGGCCTCACCGCGCAGGTCGAGAAGATTGTCCTTTGGCTCGGCGCGTGCTGGGTCGGCGCGCTCGACAACTACACGCTCGATTTCATCCCCATCCAGCGCCTCAACGGGCACGACCTCGCGCAGCAGCCCGGCGCCCGCGCTGCCCTCGCCATCATCGTAATTGGTCTCTTCTTCATCATCGTCTTTCAAGCCTGGTGCTTCCGCCAGGAGGCGCGCTTCAACAAGTACATCAAGCTCTACGCCCTGTTTCTCGGTGGCATCGTTCTCTCCCTCATCCTGCCCGGGCTGAACCTGCGGATCCATCATTACGTGCTTGCGCTGCTGCTGCTGCCCGGCACAAGCATGCAGACGCGGCCCTCGCTGCTCTACCAGGGCCTCCTCGTCGGGCTCTTCATCAATGGTATCGCCCGCTGGGGCTTTGGCTCCTTCCTCGAGACCGACAGCGCTCTGCAGGGTGACGCTCAGCTCGGCACGCTGCTTCCCGGCATCCGCGCCCCGGTCATTGCCTGGTCCAACGACACGGCTGCCCAGTCATCCATTACCTTTAAATGGGACCTCCCACCGCTTGACGAGTACGACGGCATCAGTATCCTCGTGAATGACGTGGAGCGGTACCGCGCCTACTTTGACGACACGCTCTCGCCGGCGCAAGAATACACGTGGACGCGCAACTCGAGCCTCGGCCTGCCAGAGTACTTCCGCTTCGGCTTCATGGTCGAAAGTGATGCTGGTGATTATACAAAGGCGGGGGTCTGGAGCAAGGATGGCGAATGGACAGAAATGGCAGCAGGCCCTTCCAAGTAAAGAATTTTCATACACGAGCATATACTATAGACAGAATTTTGGTTCACGCAGTTGCAATGTATTTACAACACTCAGTACATGACGATTTAGAAGAATCGAATATACTCCGCAAGTTCGGTTCATAGGAGCAAGCTGAGGCATGAATGATTCATCTATTGCCGCTACGGTCCGTCTGTACCGGTTACAGCCTTTCGAAGAGCCGAATCTGGGCCTTGGAAGTAGTCAAAAGCGTCCGTAGTCTGAACTATTAGCGTACGAGCAGTGGCTCTACTACTTCTTGCCCTCTTCGAGAGCTCTGGAGTGTAGGCCACCCGCCTAGTAAACCTTGACTGGCCACTAATCTGCAGGTGGTTATAATAAACGACACCACCAGTCCTCGATTCTTGACCGTTAGAAGCTGTGTGAATTTGAAGAGCGATGCATGCTGCATCGAGGCCTGCAAAGCGAGTTTCCACGCCACCACTTACAGTGCGGTCTGCCACCCGCAATTTGATCATATAGCAGCACATGAGGATTAAATTAGGCCAAGGGTATCAAAGCTACTTTGAATTGATGTATTATATCTTTTGGACTCTGGAGCCAGTTTGGAAGTTTCTTTGGCCGATTCTGTTGCAGATACAAATACTTCGTTAATGTACTTAGTATGCTCACCAGTTGTTAGGCCTTCTGCCCAATTTGACGGGGACATTTGTCGATGCGCAGAAGTTATGACGTTCTAAGTTCTTTACATTCAAATGACAGCACTACAAGCGCTCTAGGCCCGGAAGGCCGTTGCAAGACAAAGAGCTGGCCAGTTATCGCGAAACTTGAATCGCAGCACAGCCTACCCTGCAACCACGATGGCGTCGCGGCCCGACGACTTGACCGCGACATGACCGCTACCCAGACATGACCAAGACATGATTATGCAGGGGAACTTGAGCATTGTTTTGACAGAGAATGCCAAAGAGACCAGACAATGGTGCAGCTGATGCTCATTCACCTCGTGTTTATCAAACGAAGGCCGCCTCCATCGTGAGATGCTACAAGCCGGAATATATCTGCATTTGAGTAGCTATACCAAAGAACAGAAGAAGGTTTGACTGTGTCAGTAACACTTCCGAGAAGAATCGCGATGGATGACATCTACTTATCCTGCCCACGCATCACAGTTCTCGAACCGATACTACTAGCCTTTGCCACCCACTTAGACACAGCGTCAAGACGGATGAAGTCAGCTTCGGCTTTCTACTGGCAGTTTTTCTGCGCCGAGTAACATGTAGCGGCAAGATCATCTGCCAAGTTATACCAGACAAGCTGAATAGCGGAGAGTTAGCCGCAACAGCTCGTTTACGTAGCCAACGGAGCTCAGCATTACGACCCAGCTATCGATCCAGGGCTGAGGGCTAGCTATTGGCATCGCCCAACTAGGAACTTTTACGACACTTTTACGATGACGCATTGTAGAGGAAATGCAGCTTTACAAGAGAAGTATTCTCCGCACCCGAGTCGGAGGGTTTCTCTGATTGCTTGGTTGAGAGTACTCAAGATCGTAGTATAACGGAAGATCATCCACATCACCTGCCACGTTTCAATCCCACACACAGGGCACGGAGGATTCTCTTTACAGAATTAAAGAAAAAACCCCCGACTACCGGGAATACGCATAGTGATGGAGCAATGTAATGCTCTACCGAAGTCAGCTTAAATTCACAACATGAATCCTGGGACGTCTTGTTTCATCCTCTCCTTCTCGGCCCATATGTTGGTAGTCCATGAACGGCTGAAAGACTGACTACCTGTACTTGAGATTTCTTGTGTAACCCACCACTACAATCAATAGCGTGTGCCTTTTCTGACTGGAACCCATCCACGGGGAGAAATATAGAAAAAAAAAAAAGTCCCCCAAAAATGAAATGCAGGGGCGTGCATCTATACCGGTTTTACTGCGTCTTGCCTTGAAAACCCTCTCTCGTGGTTGTGTGACGAGGTAATGTGGCCAAGAGCAGGGCTTGAAGCTTGTTAGGTAGCCACCCCTCCCTCCCCACCGCTCCCCTCCCCCTTCTGCGAACCCCGGCAGCCTGATTGCGAACAAGTTTTCTTGTTCTGAATACCAATAGTGTGCGGGTGTGTGAGGGGAGGGCAACGCAATCTCCACAGGTAGACGCCCAATCAATGCTTGCGTCAAGCCACACTCTACCTGACGCTTTGCATCATTGCGCCGCTTCGCCATCAAAGAATCGAAGCTCTCAAGTCGACAAAGAAGAGGATCGAGAGGGGAAGGAGCGGGTAGGGAGGTATTGAGGCCGGAACCGAAGCCCCCCCCCCCAAAAGCTTTCTTCAGCAGGATCCATCCTGGCGCCCGCGCGCGCGGAACCACTCCTCCAACCCTTCCCTTCCACATGGCGTGGCGGCGGCGACGGCGCCTTTTTCCGGAGCCAACTTGGTGCTTGTTGCGAGGTTGCTCCTTTCGGTCTATTACCCAAGCTGGTCGTAGGCCGAACCTTGATGATATCTTTGGAGAAACTAGGCAGTTTCAAGTGCCGTAGTGGGAACAAGCAGCGGAGATGGGCGTCTATAAAGAATTCTTGTTGGTCGCCCTGATGGATTCCCTGGTTCCTGGGACGGCTCTTCAGCTGGGCAAGCGCAACGCCACCTGGACTCGACACAACCCAACAGAGAGACCGAGAGTTGTGGTGTGTTGTGCCTGTGCACCTTGCTCCCCTGTGTGCCTTGCTGCCTGGGCTCTGATGCGAGGAGGAGGACGGCCAGCTCGATCGACCCTGCCCAGTTCGGAATTGTACAGCGCCGTGTCTAATTATCAAGTGCCGCAGCTAGTGTCGAAATAATTCCGTCGACCCCATCGTAACTTTTTAGTTTCCCCAGGCGCGAACTGCATGCGCAGAGGCCGACCACATGGAGCCCCCGACGCAGGAGCACAGTTTATCGATGCTTTTGGCCTCAAAAGACCTTGTCCATAACTAAAGCAATGACCTTGTCTGAGAAAATCTGCCTACTCGGCAAAATTGTACCCCAATCGTCTGGGATGGGAGTTATCCTCCTTTCCATGTGACGCAGAGGTATTTCCCTTTTGGTACTGCTGCAGACACACTAAGGCACCCAAGACAGCAGCTGAGCGTTGGTCGTCGACGACTTTCGCCGGAAAGAGGCAATTACGAAAGCAAACAGAAAAGAAAGCAACCCTCTACTATCAGCCCGGCTATTTGGTGACCAGCACACCCCCCCCCTTGCTCCAGACCATTCGCTCTCCGTTTACCCGATGTAAGCGAGTCTGATCACGACCGGGCTTCGCTATGCGCCGTATTACTCCCATACTGGGGGTTTGGGGCAAGGTCTCGTTGGACAGACAGGTCGATGAGACTAGTGGATGTAACCTTGTTCCAGCGTAACCAAGATGCCCGCGCGAGATCTACGAGACAAGCCATGATGTGGATTGTGCAGCAAGCGTTTTCTCGCACTCGGCCCCGTCCGTTCCTCCCTTGTTGGAGAGCTAACTAATTAGCGGGCTACGGAACGATGGGCAGACCTCCGCGGCTCTCTTTTGCAGTCACCCCCTTGCAACTATGGAGGAGCAAGATGAATACACACCACGAAGCCTGCAGAGAACAAGGCCCATCATCTGCGCAAAAAAAAAGATGACTATCGGTAATCATCTATCTTGTTTTTCCCTCTCTGCGGGCTGCCGTTCAAGTAGTATCATGGAGATATTTCCAATTGCAGATGCTGTGCCGTGGGGTCTTTGTGCGATTCAAAGGGGGGGCGGGACAAGCACGCCACGAACAACATGTACTGGGGAACACCCCCAACATTCATGCACGTTCCAATGCAGGTCGACCGGTGAGAGATAAAGATGCTCTGATTCCAGCATGGACAGTGTGCCTGGAGCCGAAAAGAGAAGTGCAAGACAACGACGGGACGAGGAGGGAGGGGCGCCGAAGCAGCCTCACACATGCTCCAAGATATTACGGGCCACCGTCGACTCAGATAGTACATGCGCCTGTGCATATGATGTGCTAAAAACGGGCCTACTGGTACACGGCATCGATGCTGGGGGGCTGAAATCTTCCACGCCGACTGCACGCCTCTCTTGTGGCCTGCATGACTGATTGCATACACTGGATGCATTGCAGCTAATCTCTAAGATGGGTGGTAATGGGGATTTGTAAATGAGTGTGGTCGCCCGCTTTGCTACGACAATAGCAAAGTACTCCATGGCGGGCCCTCGGAGCCTGTTTTCCCAACTTGGCCTCACTTCTGCTACGTGGGAGGGTTAGAGGGGATCAATACTTGCTCACATGTGGCTTCGACTTGACACTGTGCATGTTTGGCCGGCCGGCACGGAGCGCAGGATGAAGATTGGTTTCAGGTCTCGTCAAGATGACTGTACTTGTTGTTGTTGTTGTTGTTGTTGTTGTTGTACATGGGCAAGGACGACCAGCCGCGGCTGCATATTGCATCAAGAAGGGATCGCCGGGCGCATCCGCCCTGGCACCCTCCCTTTTTTTTCGAGGCTCTTGCCCGCCAACCCGCGTGCTGCTGTTAGTCAAAAAATCAGTAATAATGGTGAGGCTAATGGACAGAGAAAAAGTCTGATGACGCCTATAGGCAGCAGTTACATAATATGGCAACTAGCTGGACCCAGAATAGTAAACGAGCAACTCCATAACTAAGGTAGTTACTGGTAATCCGTACTGGGGCCGGAATGCTACTCTGGTTTACCGCAGTAAATACCAGCTGCCAGCACCAGTTATGATGTACCAGTATGATGTAGCCAGCCAAATTAGTGGACAAGAAATCATGGCGGGTACCTAGGTATACACGGCTTTTCGCCCATGATTAGCGGGGGTTGTAGGTAGACTAGCGCCATAAGGTATCTTTTGTCCACCAAGTGCCAGTGTGCCAGTGTACACCCCGCAAACAGAATGTCAGCACTTTCTGCAAGCATTCTCTTGGCGTTCATCCTATTAGTGCGCAGGACAGCCAACCATCTAGGAGAGCAG